AGAATGAAGCCACTTGTGGATATAACGCCCAAACAGCTCGCCAATTTGGCCAAAAATACTCCATTGATCACATATTCAAAGCCTTTGGGGCACCCATATGCTCCTAAAAATATCACCTCTACAAAACGAGAATGTTACGTTGTACCCAGGTTTGGAGCCGCTATGGGAGAAAGCGGTATAGGCTGGGACCTTCCAGTCATCAAGGTGATTCAGGTGAAGAAGAACGGGGCGTGGGTCATTGAGCACTAAATAGCACAATACTATAAATTGCAGTTTGGACTGCAGATTGCGATTTCGCAGTCGTAAATGTTTTGATTTCGATGAGATAAATACTGATGTCAAATTATTCACACCAGGGTCGATATGCTGGTGACTACGACTCAAAGAGTACTCCAGCGACTTTGAAGCCACACCGCAAACATACTAGAACCTCCCATGACTCATACCAAGTGGTGGATCCAGCTTCAAAACGACTATTTTTCTTGTCGTTATTTGTGTTGCTCGAAAGCTGGAAAATTTACGACGCAATTGCATTGAAATCATCAAAAATAGGCGTGAATATCACGTCTCTAAACAAGTTCACCTTTGTGGTCAAATACTTTTTACTTGAAGGAATTTTTTTCTGGACGCTTCCCTTATTCAATGTTTCACAATTGTCCTTCAATCCAGTTACAACATTTATTATCACAGCTGTTCTCAACATTCTTACGTTCTTTCTCGTCAGCGACAGCACAATTCCAATAGTGGGTGGCCTCATATTTCCTGCTATTGACTTTATACGTCAAAAAAGTGAGCTCACGTTGGCTGGCGACCTGGTGCGCTCTGGAACTGCCATTGATATCGACTCCTATTTCAAGGGCCGTTACACAATTCACTACGTTCCTGACTCTACGGCCTTCTTCAATCCCTTTGAAAATAAAGATTTCTGCCTCATTGATGGCTCTGCAATTGGGGTTCCCGTACAATTCAATACCACAAACGAACTTGGATGGCTTCAATTGCAGCATATTTCCCCTGAGAAAGAAGTCAGCTTATTCAACTACACTCGAACCGACATAGCGAAGCTCCTTAAGCGTGATTACTCTCACTTGATTCATAATCCCGGATACATCTCAAATGATGAGAGAATCTTTTACCTCGAATTACCACTCAGAGATCCGGGACAATATAGCATCAAAGAAGTTCGAGACGTCGATGGCCTGAAAATTCGCACATACAAATCAGATTTAACCATCTCGTCTTGTCCTTCAGCTCGGGTGATCTCTTCCGTTGATGATTCCCAGTACATTTGTGTTCCAGAGCCAAACCGAAGTAAACTTGGATCTCTCACTCTTCCTCAAGTTGAAGTTAATGGTGTATATCCCATGGAGCTTGAGTTCGCGGTCTCCATCGGAAAGAAGATCATTAAGCTGAGGAAAGTCACTATCAACGGTAAGCCTCCTGAAAATGGACAAATAAATCTTCGCCTGGCCCGCTCGGTGAAAAATATATTCCTAGAGAGCTTGAGCGATAATATTGATCTTCCAGAAGTTGCCAATGGTCCACTCGAATTCAGGATCTTGCTGGTTCGTGATGCGTTGAATGTGAACAGAAAATATAATCCTCACTCAAATGCTCGAGATTTACTAGGAAGCATTGACCTCAAAACAAAACCAGTCGTTAAATTATCTGATAGAAACCGGGAAAGTAAGCTTCTTGTCAACGGAACCAAAAATGTGGCGATCAGTGTTGACCGCTCACGTATTCAAGAGGCAGACTGGCCCATCACAATTATGATCGAATATCTGTCACCTTCCAAATTATCTTCTTATAATTTCAGCCGTGTCTTCCACAGTGTGCACGAAGCCTCAAAAGGATTTGAAGTTGCCAAGTCCGGCAGTTACAGACTAGTTTCTGCATCCACCAAATTTTGCGATTGTAAGTTGGATGGTCGAACCATTAAAATTGACCGGGCAGACCCACCTCAAATCGAGATAACTTCTGAACCAATCGTTGATAAATGTGTCGGAATGACTGGCTACAACTTCAAATTTGATGCAAAGGGTCAACCACCATTTCAGGTTCAGTATCAAGTCTTTCAAAATAAGTCTAACGGTGTTCTAAGACCCGTGCACGATGCTTATGGAAACGTGCACCGTACGTTGCGCTTCCAAGACGAAACTTACGACTTTGAATATAAACCTCCGGGCGAGGGAAATTATATTGTCGTTTTCAAATCTCTTCGGGATGGATACTACCAAAAGACGGGTATACCTCTTGACGAGAAAGTTCACACGTACCTGACTTACTTCAGGCAAAGATCCCGTCTGTCGATTGAAGCCGCTGATGATTCCAATGCGTTACCAATCTGCTTAGGATCCCAAGTAGACGTTCCCATTTCCATGTCTGGAAACTTTCCGTTTCTGATGTCATATAAGGTTATTGAGATGAGTTCCGGGAAAGTGATCGAGAGTAGCACGGTAAAGGATCTTTCCGACTCAAGATTTATTATTCAAACCCCAAAGTTTGATAAAGGTGGATCGTATCGCGTACAAATCGATAAGCTTACAGACTCCTTGGGCTGTGAGGCAAATCTCGTTGGACAGAATTACCGTACTGTGAACGTTCGGAAGGACATCCCAGAAATTTCCCTTGGTATAGAGGCTGACAGTTGGAGCGTTTCTATTGTGGAAGGGGACTCGTTAAAGCTTCCTTTGAACGTCCAATCGTCAGTGGGAAATACGCAACGGGATCGCTTGGTTTATTCCATCACTGATTTGAATAATAGTTCAGATACCAAGGTGCGTACAGCTATTGGGATTGAAAACTTGAGGATCAAAGAAGCGGGTCGCTATAAGCTACTTTCATACTCTAGCGGGGGATGCGAAGGAAAAGTAGCAAACCCACAAAAGGTAATTACCGTTGATTACATTCCTCGTCCGTCAATTGTGCTAGGGGCAATTGATAGAGGAGACTTAAAAAATGACGACTTTGAAGGTCAACTTGGGCCCGTGTGTCGCGGAGGTACTAAGAAAGTTGAAATGTTTTTGAACGGAAAAAGACCTTTTATTGTCAACTATCAGATCAAGGATCCTTCAGGCAGGGTGGAAAGTAGGACAATGACAGTCAATAATGACCGTGTTACTATTACCTTGCCAACCGAGAATCATGGCATTTATCGTCACAAGTTCTTGTCGGTGTATGACAGCTTGTACACGCAAGAAAAGACCTCAAGGTTAAATGTTCCTCCTTTGACTTCTCAGCTTCAATATGAGGTGCAGTCGCTCCCTGAACTTGCAATCAAAAGTGGATCGGAGTATCTACAATTCTGCGAATCTACTCTCAAGAAGATCTCTAAACTGCCTCCAAAGATACAATTGAATCTCAAGGGACAGTTCCCAGTTACACTAGACGTTACTCTACAAAGGGGAGACGCTAATGAACAAGAGAAATTCCAAGTGAAGCATCTCACAACTTCGGAAGTCGACTTGAACGATATTATATCCTCAATTAATGGCAAAGCCTTGGACCAAACTTTACAGGTAGGTGATTACTTCCTTCTGTTTGACAGAATTACTGATAATAATGGGTGCTCTAAACAAATACAGGACGCCAACGTAGTGGTTCTGGTGACAGAAGTGCCAAAAATGAAGAGAGAACCCAACCAAAAGTATTACTGCGTGGGCGACCATATAACTTACGATCTTGTTGGTATATCACCATTCACTGTGTTCTACAACTTTAATGGAAACTCCCGAAAAGCCCAACTGCATAACAAGTTCTCAAGGCTAGCTTCTAAACCAGGTAATTTAACAATTACAGCCTTGCTTGATTCATCTATTGACCACTGTTTGGTGAATTTTACTGATGCGGCATCCTCGATGAATAGTCTACAGGCTGAGATCCATGATCTTCCTTCGGTTGAAGTTAATCAAGGGGAGTATATTGTGCGGAACATCCATGAGGGGGACAAGACTGAAATCAAGTTTTCGTTCACAGGGGTCCCACCATTTTCGCTAACGTATGTGCGTATGCTTGAAGAAAATTCGAAGGACAAAGGTCCACGGAAGCAGCATAAACCTCGCGTGGTTGAGAAGGAAACCATAGATAATATTTGGGACCATGAATATGTCTTGATGGCTTCGTTGGAGGGAACATACGAAGCGATAGAGGTCAGAGATGCTTACTGTAAAGCACTGAAAATCGATTACGTCGCATAGTCTATACATTTAATTGCATTGTAAATACTTGGGATCGGTTATACATGCTGTTTTGACCATCTTTTTGAGTTTTGTCATAGTTGCTACGTCTTCCCATTCACCAAACGAGAGCGACCGCAGCAACCAGTATTTTGAAGGCAAGTTGATAATTCTCCGTTTGACACCATGAATCAAAAGCGAGTTCATGTAAAGCATAAACTGAAGCTTTTCCCGAGGCCCCACCACACAACTAACGGTACCCGAAATACTGGAGCCCCAATTGCTGGATATCAGATATTCTGGATGGAAACCGAAGACCTGCGATATCGAAACAGAAGCCAGAACCGAGCCTCCACCAGTGGCAGTCCAGCTTCTGAAAACCTCTGCCTTGGTATCAGAACGAGCGTTTGAGTGACAAGGACCTAAAGGGGTCCATTGACCGTCTTCTTGGATAACGTATGAGTCGTTATACATGATTTCAACAAACCGTGGAGTTTCGGATGAAATAGTTGTACTTGAATCGGGATAGTCAAGTTTTTGAGCCAAGAATTCGTTTAGAATTATTGAATTGGTATCGTTGACTTTCAAAATACTGTATCTTTGCAATTTGCTAGGAGTCAAGTCACTAATTGATTGAATCACAGGAATCTTGTCACCAATGTCAGATAAAGTATTGTACAATGAACCATGTCCAATGGTCTGGGCATACGGTAAGATCAGTAGGCAGTTCACGTACGCGAAGAGAAATAGGATGAATAAGTTCATGACTTGAAAATTGTCGTAATTCACAGAGATTCCAAGTACCTCACGACAGAAATTGGTATGCGGAAATTAGTTCATGCTCATAAAGTAATGGGCATTATATTGTTCAGAATGGTTCAGTGATATGCTGTAGACCATGAGTTTTTGGTTTTTTTGGTTTTTGGTGGTGTTTGTTCTGTTCTGTCGTAAATGTGCTCAGTTCTTGGCCTTTCCATTTTTCAAAGAAAGGAGCTCATCGATCATTTTATCAGCATTGGTGAACGAAAATTGTTTTCTGGACGTCTTTAGTAAGTCTTCTACTTGTTTCGTTGTTGACTCTTGAACTTCCCTTACTTCTTCCATATATTTCTCGGTAATCGCCAGGGCCAACTTTACATCTTTGTATGTGATTTTGTTCCCTGCGTCATGAGTCACAAGCGATAGATGAACCTTGTTATAGGTAGTAGTAATAGTAGGGTGATGTTTCATTGTGTGAGCGAGAATGGCAACTTCGTTTAGAAATTTCCAAGTTTTGGAAAAGTTCTTGAACTTGCAGTCAAATACTAGAGCATCTTTATCGGTTTCCGAGTCAGAAACTGACCATCTATATTTGTCCAAGCCAATATTAAGTGCTTGTACTTCCTTCTGTATATCGGAAACTGTGCTCAAGCACCTCTGAAAGCGTCTTAACATGGTGCAAACGACAATCAAGTGTTGAAGTTTTGTCGCGATTTGGCGCGAATTAAATTAAATCAACTGATATATAAGAGAAGCTAGTACCCCAGCAAAGTTGGCTTGGAGCACGCCTATATGATATCTGGCCTCTTTCTAGTCCACTGGGCCGAAGCAGAAAGCCTATATGCCCACAGCGAGGTTCTTTTGTATCGACAGTACCACAATGACCTTCCCCATCCGCAAGTCCTCTTCGGTAAATTCGACCTGGTGTACAAGTTACAAGAGGAATACGAACGAACGCCGTTTATCAGTGTTGACGGTATCAACTTTGCATATATTCCAGGAGACAATGGCATTTTCGTGGTAGTCGTGAGTCGAAAAAACATCGATGCCATGCTGGCTGTCTTATTCCTCCATCAATTTTATGGAACACTATGCCATTATTTATGTGATTCAAATACGGGAGGTGAATCTGCTTCTGAAGCCAACAAGCCAAGGCTCCAAAAGTTGCACAAGGACACAATTATCGATAACTTCAACTTGGTGTATGAGCTCTTTGATGAGTGCATGGACTACGGAATTGTCCAATTGACTGACTATAACATTTTAAAGGAGTATATAAAGGTCGAAGCTAATCGTCCCAAGCTAGTGGGTGTGGAGTCTATAGATGCAGACTCGTCTTCTGACTCAAGCTCGGACGAAGAAACCACGAAAAAGAAGAAGAACAAGAACAAGCACAAAAAGACAATTAAAGAGCATAAAAATGTCAAATCTACCCACAATCAAGCTGTGAAGACGGATGTGATATCGCCGGAATCAACTTATATCAACAGTTCCATTCTCCGGTCATCAGCACTGAGCATTAGTTGGAGACCCAAAGGAATCTTTTATGCCAAAAACGAAATATTTATAGACATGATTGAAAGCTGTGAGTTTGCCTATGATCTTGAAAGCCAGTTTATCAAGCGTAACGAGATCCGAGGCGTATGTGATGTCAAGTGCTACTTGTCGGGAATGCCGTTGTGTAACTTGGGGTTCAATGAAACAAAAATTTCAGGAATTGCATCCAGTGATGACTTTGATTTGGAAGGTAACCAATTGACAAGTGTGGAAGTAGAGGACGCTGAAGAAGACCAAAGTAGTGCAAAAGAACACACACATGTACCAATTTCCAACGTTCAATTCCACCAGTGTGTCGACTTGAGCACTGTCTACCGCAACAACCTTATCAAGTTTATTCCTGCCGACCACAAGTTCACGCTAATGTCTTATCGAGTCGAGCAGCAGAAACAGCGCCGTAAACTTCCACTAATCATGTTAAAACCTACTTACGTTGTGAACACAGCTGAGAAAACAGTCCAGGTCATGTGTGAGCTCTCGACCCATTTCAAAAAACGGCTTCGTGCCAACAACATTCAGATTGTGCTCCCTATTGATCCTCATATATTTTCCCCACTGGCAAGCAATCCGGACTTTAAGTATAAGGCACAGCTGGGTGACGTGAGTTACAAGATTGACTCGTCGCTGCTCTTGTGGAACATCGAAAGTTTAGTTGGTTCGCAGTCTTCGGTCAAAATGATGGCACAATTGAACTTAGATTCATGTCTTGAAACCAAGGAGCTTTTCTCGTATATCAGGCGGGAAAATACCCAGTTCAAGAACCGACCACAACCACAAGAAGACGACGCCGGTATTGACTCACTAGACCAATTTTATGGAGTCAACGGTGCCTCCTCGTCCTTAGCTCCAAAACTTCACGAGCTCTCTAAAAAAACACACAACTACAGCGATATCAATGTCAAATTTACTATTCCCATGCTTTCCTATCTGGGTCTAAAAATCACCTACGTCAAAGTGGAAGAAGAGCAAATGAAATATACCTGTTTCCCGTGGATCCGGTACCTCACGCAGTCCAACTACGACACCTCACTTTCACAAACCAACATGTCTTCGAATTACGTATTCAATTTGGGACCCAGTTCCTTCCAGGTGATCTAGACTGCTACCAACGTCTCGCGGGTAAACTTGCACAAATCACTGACGTCCTGCAGGGCGCACAGCTGTCTAGCGCGTTATCGGCGTAGGATTTCCGCATTGGGACATGCTATCCGCACTGATAAGCATGAAAACTGGCATTTCAACTGGGTAAAGAGTCTTCTGGAGAAAGTAAGCAGAAGATCACACCATCATGTCGAGCGCACCAAAGAAAAAGGTCACAAAGTCTCGCAACGGCTGTATTACCTGTAAGAAACGACGAATCAAATGCGATGAGACGAAGCCAAGATGCAATAATTGCGTTCAAAAAGCTATAGATTGTGGCGGATACGCCACAAATTTTAAGTGGAGGTCGTTAAATGAAAAGGGCAATGTGAAGCTGGAAGACGAGAAGAGCTTTTTGTACAAACACTTGGAATTGGCGTCGCTACAAGTGACGGGAAAAACCATTCACGATATCAAGGCTGAACATGACATGATAGCATTAGGTGTGAACCCCCGACGAGGGTCTCAGTCTCCATATGTGAGTGATTCGAACGCTTCGGAATCATCAAAACCGCTGCTAAAACGATCTTACAGTCAGTCCAAAGTCGAAGAATCTCACAATGTGCCTCGAATGAAGAACCATCCTCGTTCGCTCAGCACGAACAATGCGGATAATGTAGCCAGTATCTCCAACTTTCGCAAGACTGCTATGGAAAGAGACAGAAATGACGGTCTTCAATCTTTAGTTGAAGTTGCAGTGGACGAAATCAACATGCGGTCGTCTCCTTCATTGCCCTCTCGGGAACTATACCATATTCAACAACGGAGCCCTTCTGCTCCCAGTCCCAATCTCAACCAGGTACCTTTCTCGCCAAGCTTGCCAAGCTATTCTAACAAGGATGTGAACTCTCGTGGATTAGTTACGAGAAGTCCTATCGAGAGGTCAGAGAACGACTTCAATATCAACCTAACCCCGTCACTTTCGGCTCTCATCAACAATGCATTTCGACTGGGATTCGAACAGGATTTTGCGGATTCCTCTGGTAAACCTCCAGAGATTCCTTTGAGTCCACTCAATCTCAATACTGATTTCAGAATCTCTTCTCCAGATGATTCTCTCTATAGTGGGAAACAGTCACACCCAACAATCACCTTTTCTCCGGCGCCTGATAACAAAATCATGAACATGTCTGATCCAGAATCTCCTCGTAACGATCTTTCGTCAACCGAGGGAAACAATTTGAGTTCTGTATCAGCCAGTCCCCATCAGCCAAGTAGCTTGCTTCGCAGTTCGGACCAAACCCAAATACTCTTCCTATACTCAGAGTATACTTGTACCATTATGTCTATCAAAAATGGACCCAATGAAAACCCGTGGCGTAACCTTATCGTTCCATTAGCCACAACCTATCCGTGTCTTTTCAATTCCATTGCGTCTATGACCATGTTTCACTTGGCAGGCAACCAGAGAGACGCAGATGCCAGCACCACCTTGCGCTCGCGAGGTTTTCTGTATATGAAGCGGTGTGTGTTGGAGCTTGCAAGTGGATTGTCGAAAATGAACGACGAAGGAATGGAAAATACACCAGAATTACCTGCCGATGTAGCATTGACTGCGTGCTTAAACTTGGCAGTTTCAGAAACCTGGGATACCCATATTTTCAGTGGAATAGCACATTTGAAAGGTGCCAAAAGTATGATTCAAAAGGTATTGACTCTTCTCAAAACCCAGAGGAATATAGTAGCTCGAGACCGTAAAACACTTGCTGGACCGTTAGAAGTGTCAAAGCTCATTGAGCTGAAAAAGAAAGATTTGAAGAAGAAGCTTGTTATGGTGGACGACGATGAGTGGGACGACATTCTTAATGATAAAACTCCTGATATGTCAGGCACGCTAGGAATTTCAATCCCTCGAAGCTTGCAGTTTTTGTTCAACATTTGGATTTACTTTGAGGTTCTTGCTCAAATGACATCTTATCTGAACCAGGACGACAAGGGCCTCGATTTGGTGGCTACCATCACCGACATGCTCCAAGAATCGCACCGGAAAAAGAGCAAGATCATGAGCATCGATGGTGACACTGAATCGGTAAGTATGAAGTCCGACTCGAGCCAGCTGTCAAAGGGAGGGCCTGTTGAAGGCTCTGTTGCATCTTTTGATTTTTTCGATAATTTGGAGTCGTTCGGATTTTATGCCGAGGAAGTGGATCCTTTGCTAGGATGTGCCCAATCGTTGTTTCTGATTATTGGCAAGGTTGCAAACTTAATTTCTAAGGTTCGCAAACTTCAAATGAGGAATGGTTTTAGGAATGGACTTCTGGTTATAACTCAAGCAACTCAACTAAAGCAGGAACTTGTTGAATGGCGTCCTGTCATATCTGATAATATGGTAGCAAGAAGTATGGTCAACGATGGCGAAGCAACGGGAGTAAAGTCTACTTGGGACATAGCTTCTTGTATTGCTACTGCTGAGGCGTATCGATTTGCATCCATTCTCTATTTGCACCAAGCCGTGCCTGAGATTCCATGTTTAACATCTCACGAATTGGCAGAGAAAGTATTTATACTTTTGGCATCGATTCCTACAACTTCGCACACATACACTGTTCATATCTTTCCGCTACTTGTTGCTTCTTGTGAAGCACTTCCCGGAGAAGAACGAGACTGGTGTGTATCACGATGGGCATTACTTTCAGAAAAGCTCTGGATTGGAAATGTTGAGAGAGCACTAGAAGTAGTGAAAGAGGTCTGGAAGCGCAAGGATGCGATGACAGAAAGTAAAAGCACCGAGGTTCGGGTCCATGGCGATGGAAAAGTCAAGAATTTCACCAAGCATATTAGCGGGCTAATGGCTGCAATCAATGACGATCAAGCCAGTGATAATCATGGCCGGATCAATGGAAAACTGCATTGGAGCACCATCATGAGAGAGTGGGGGTGGGAGGTGATGTTAGGCTAGTTATAGATTTGGCCAAAAGCATATATCATAAGGCACTAATAGTTACAAGTAGTTGTAGTTGCGGCTTTCTGGTTTGCATATACCGGTTTGTGCGAAGCGAGCAACAAATCTGGAATTTGTTCATGATAAGGTTGGTATCAGAATTAAGCAGTGTTTCAAGTCGAAATAGATTTTCACGAAGATTCATACGCGGATTGTCATCTTTGGTCTCAGAGCCGTTCAAAATTCAAAATGCTCGCAAAATGAGAGACAATAGTGATGTCTTTGCCAGGCCCGAAATCGTTTCGTTTGATGGGTTTGGAACATTATATTATCCACGGAAGCCAGTAGCAGAGCAGTACAGCGATATAGCAAGCTCAATGGGCCTAAAAAAGTCGGTGGAGGACATCGAAAGAGATTTTGGAGTGATCTATCTGGAACTTCAACGAGAACATCACAATTATGGGAAACGTAGTGGCCTCAAATCCACCGATGAATGGTGGCTGGAGTTGATTGTGAAGCTATTTGGTATCCCTCATTACTCCAAAGACGATTCTTCAGCAAAATTGTGCCGCAAACTCTTGGACCATTTCACTTCCGATAAGGCTTACGCATTATATGACGACGTCATACCCGTGCTTTCAGTTTTACGGGACCACGATATATCCGCCGTCGTGGCTACCAATTCGGATCCTCGCGTTTTGAAGATCCTCCAAAGTCTCGGCGTTTCCAATTACATCAACGACTCGGATGTCTACATCTCGTATGAAATCGACGCTGCCAAGCCCGAAAAAGAGTTCTATGACGCAATAGCCAAGCGCTACCGCAGCTCGCACCACAGTGAACGCCGACTCTCGTCCCAATTCTTGGAAAATTGCTGGCATATCGGCGATGATTACGACAAGGACTTTCTTGGAGCAGTTCGAGCAGGCTGGAACGGCGTATATTTAGACCGGCGCCGCCAATCGCAGTTTTTCTCTGGGAAAAAGATTCCTGTAAGCCAGCTCGATGGCTGTTTCACCGACCAAGCCCAGGAGCTCGATCTGAGTGATGGAGATTTTCACATCATTGCTAATAATCGGTTGGTGATTTCCAACTTGACACAGCTACTCCGGGTATTTGACTTGGAAGGAGAGGGTAGGGGAGAGGGTGTATGAGTAAAAGTGAAGAGAGAACAAAAGAAGAATGAAGATTGAATACTGTCGATCACAGGTTGTCGACGGAATAAAGATTGACGAAAACTGTCGAAATAAAGATTAAAGACTGGAAAAAGTCAGTAGTCAGAATCAAACAGTACATACGACTAATGCACGAGCAAAGTATATGATTCTATTAATAACCTTGACTTCTCTCTGTTCCCTCATCTTTCGCGCTTCCCAAATCGTACCCAAATACCAAGACATCGACGCACCCACAGCCCACCTGTATACAAGGAAAATTAGCCAAGGCGCGGTAGATCATAAGAACGATGTTTTTAGTTTCCATTCCAGCTGTCCCTAGCTATTGACTTTTATCGGCAATATTGTTATCTAAAAGTGCTTAAAGCTAGGAAAATGCGATCGTTTTTCTTTGTTCTGGCATTATTGGCTACGGTTTCAGCAGTTTCCATCGATGTCAACGACAAGGATTCCATATGTGAAGCTGCTTCTTACGTGGCCAATGGAGAACTTAACTACTACGAAGGATTGAAATACGGAGGTACCGTGGGCATGTTTGCGTCTCCAAACTATTGGTGGAATGCCGGTGAAGCTTTTGGAGGTTTGCTCGATTATTTCACATTCTGCGACAGCGGAAACAAATCACTCGAAAAACTTATATTCAATGGAATGTACCATCAGGCTGGTGATCAGTACAACTACATCCCCTCCAACCAGTCTTTGACCGAAGGAAATGATGATCAAGGTGTTTGGGGTATGGCTATTATTGCTGCGGTTGAGCGTAACTTTACCGATCCAGAGCACAGTTGGTTATCGATGGCTCAGGCTATTTACAACACTATGAACTCGAGATGGGATACAAAGCACTGTGGAGGAGGCTTGCGGTGGCAGATTTTCACTTGGAACTCAGGTTACAACTACAAAAACTCGATTTCCAATGGATGTCTCTTCCATATATCGGCTCGTTTGGCTCGTTATCTCAAAAATGACACTTATGCCAAGACAGCAGAAAAAGTTTGGGACTGGATGGAAGAGTTGTTCTTCCATGAAGACGATGGAGAATTGGTGATCTATGATGGTGCACCCATCGAAGAAAACTGTACGGACCACACCACTCTCAAGTGGTCTTACACCTATGGAATTTTCATGTCGGGCGCGGCATACATGTACAACTATACCGAGGAAGCCATCTGGAAACAAAGAGTGGAAGAAATCTGGCAGGTGGCGTCGTCATTTTTCTTTGACGACAACAAGATTATGCAAGAAACCCAGTGTTGGAACAACGGAGACCCCAAGTGTAACAATGACCAGCGTTCGTTCCGATCTTTGTTCTCTCGGAGTATTCAATTGACGTCGGTCTTGGTCCCCGATATGTACGATGAGATGAGACCGTACGTCGAGGCTAGTGCTGAAGGAGCTGCTAAATCGTGTTCTGGTGGTAGTGACGGGGTAACGTGCGGTCAAAATTGGTCCACTGGGAAATGGGATGAAGTTTATGGATTGGGTGAGCAGCAGTGTGCTTTGGAAGTGATGATGGCGTTGCTTGCTAGAGACGTTGATCCTCCATACACTTCCAAAAACGGAGGAACATCAAAGAGTCAGCCCAATGCCGGTATCGACTCGCAAGATAACATCAACGAAAATGAATTGAAGATTACTGGAAAGGACAAGGCGGGTGCCGGAGTATTGACGGCGATTGTGCTTGCAATTATCCTCGGCGGTGCCGTTTGGATGCTATTCTAAGAACCAATTTGTGTAAACTAAAGAATATATATCTTACGCCTGTATGTGGGGCGGCCTCGGAGTTGGCTTCTTTTGCGCGAAACCAGCATTCTACAAGCTACAAAAATGGTTCTCTTCCTGACCATAAATAGGTTGGCAAACCCTAATGGCGGTCTAAGTCGTCGCCGCCGGCTTTTCATACCACCATCCACTAATAAACCACTTTTTCTTTATGACTCTGATGAAGATCAACGCTCGTTTCTTTCCCTCATCGAAAGCACCCGAGATGACGACGAGGTTTCCGACGCTGCCAGTGTATCGACTTCTCGATCCTTGCCTTCCACTCTTTCGTCTGTGAACGACGATCAAGCATCTTTCCACTCTTGGCTCTTGGAGGAGCAACAAAGACGATATCTGGCTGCCAACTCCGAGGACGAAGGCTTGGATCTGTCCGACCATACAAGTCATTTAACACTGTCACGATCTTCCCGGTCGTCGGCAAGCCTGTCGTCATCGCTAGGAAAGTACGAGGACTATGTGAACCTCCTTACATCTGTACCTATAGAATTACGGATTCTTGGACGATATTCACTTCCTCTCATTATCACCTTCATTCTCGAACATTTCTTCTCGATTGTGTGCTTGTTGGTGGTGGGTCATCTCGGAAAAGACGAATTGGCCGCCGTATCTTTGGCTACTATGACTTCTACAATTACATACGCTATTTTTGAAGGCATTGCAACGGCCCTCGATACCCTTTGTCCTCAGGCATACGGAGCAGGACGCTTTGACTTGGTCAGCGAGCACGTCCAGCGATGTATATTGTTCTCGTGGGTGGTGTTTATCCCGTGTGCTTTTTTATGGTGGAATTCGTCTTTTTTCTTGCGCTACATTATAGAAAGTGCACAAGTGTTGCGTCTCACCAACCAGTTTCTCCGCATAATGATCGTTGGCGGCCCAGCTTACATTTTCTTTGAGTGTGGGAAGAGATTCTTGCAAGCTCAGGGTATTTTCGAGGCAGGAACGGTGATTCTTTTTGTCAGTGCACCGCTTAATATTTTCCTTTCATGGTTCTTGGTGTGGAACAAAACCTACGGCGTGGGCTACGTGGGAGCTCCCATTGCTACTGTCATAAATTTTTACTTTATGTGTCTCCTCATGGTGCTCTACGTTGTGTTCATCGATGGGTCTGAGTGCTGGTTCGGCGTTGCTAGCTTGAAGCACCTTTTTAAAAAATGGGCTAAACTTAGTCACCTTGCTATACCTGGTATTATCATGTTGGAATCGGAGTACATGGCATATGAAATCATCACGTTATTTGCCAGTCGTTTCGGAACTGTGCCATTGGCTGCCCAGAGTGCTGTATCTAGTATGGCATCGCTTACTTATATGATACCTTATGCCGTGAGTATAGCAGCTTCCACTCGGATTGCTAGTTTTATTGGCGGTGGAAATGCGTACTCGGCAAAGGTTTCTACAAATGTTTCCCTCTTCATCGGCTTGGTAGTGGCAGTTATTAACTGTTTTGCACTCTACACTTTCAAATACCAAATCGCCATGCTCTTCTCCAAAGACCAGGAAGTTATCGACGAGATAGTACAGCTACTCAACCCACTAGTGTCCATCATACAGATTTTCGACGGATTGGCATCGGTTGCTAGCGGGATCATAAGGGCACAAGGTATGCAAAAAATAGGCGGTGTTATCAACTTGGTAGCCTACTATGCATTTGCGCTTCCTTTAGCTATGATTCTTAGCGATTGGTATGGCTACGGTCTTATAGGACTTTGGTTGGGAATCGGAAGCGGCATGGTCGTTATTGGCGTAAGCGAGACAGCACTCATCTTCTTCACCAATTGGGAAAAGCTTATCACTGAACATGCCATGGTATGACGAAGTCACTTCAGTCAATTAGGCCATTTTGTCCCGTTTCATCGATACGCTATTTCAGCAAAGTCTAATATTGAAGTTCTCCTCTTCGGGTTTGTGGGGAGCAATGCTTCCCCGGCTAACTTATTTTTTACGGCGTATCTACGGATCCGCATCAGATACCCGGATGAGGAAAGCGCTGATAAGATAGGCGCGCACAGTACATTTGAAATTTCAGCTATAAAATGATTGCAAGTGCATGAATTGGTACGGGTACTAACTATGGCAATGGTTTCTTCCAATGAAAAGGACGCAGCCAGCATCGAGATACAGCAACAGAACTCCAGCTCCGATGGTGACGACTTGTCAAAGTTTAACGGTCCTATGCTGCTGAGACTCGTTGGAACAGATAAAGAACGGATATTGTTGGAGGAAGCTCAAGCCAACCTTAAACTTGCAACCGAGACAGGTTATGCGCCTGAACTTCGTCGTAACTTTGGTGTCTTATCACTTTTGGGTGTGGGGTTTGGTCTTACCAATTCATGGTTCGGAATATCAGCTTCGTTGGTGACAGGAATTTCATCCGGTGGACCCTTACTCATTGTATACGGTATCATTATCATCGCTACAATATCGTTGGGAATTGGTTCTTCTCTCTCGGAACTTGCAAGTGCAATGCCAAATGCCGGTGGACAATACTATTGGACGATGAAGCTTGCACCCAAAAAATATGCTGCTTTTGCATCTTATATGTGTGGTGCCCTTGGTTGGGCTGGTTCTGTATTTACCAGTGCCTCCGTCACTATATCCATTGCAACGGGGCTTGTTGGAATGTACGTTTTGGGTACTGGAGACCCAAACAAAACGGTTAAAACTTGGCAAGTTTTCATCACATACGAAATTGTCAATTTATTATTGGTGGTTTTCAACTTGTGGGAAAGACCATTGCCAACTTTCCTGAAGGCTTCGTTATACGTATCGTTAGCTTCGTTCGTTGTGATTACAATTGTCGTTCTTGCAAAATCTTCTGGTAACTATCAAGATGCAAGGTTTGTGTTTGTGGAATTTTCGAATGGAACCGGCTGGTCGTCTTCAGGCATTGCGTTTATTGTTGGTCTTATCAATCCAAATTGGTCTTTTAGTTGTCTCGACGCAGCAACACATATGGCAGAAGAACTTCTTGAGCCTGAAAGACAAATTCCTATTGCAATCATGGGAACCGTGGCTATTGGTTTTGTTACCTCGTTCATCTACTCAATCTGCATGTTTTTATCCATTCGTGATTTGGATGCATTATTCTCTTCCAACACTGGAGTGCCCATCATGGACATTTTCTACCAAGCACTTCAATCGAGAGGTGGAGCAATTGGACTTGAGGTGTTGATCATGCTCACAGCAATCGGTTGCAATATCAATTCCCATACCTGGCAAGCAAGATTGTGCTGGTCGTTCGCAAGAGATAATGGACTTCCAGGGTCTCGTTACTGGTCTAAAGTGAGTCCACGAACCGGAGTTCCTATTAATGCCCATTTGATGTCATGCGCCTGGTGCGCAGTCATAGGGTGTATTTACATGGGATCAACTACAGCTTATAATGCTATGGTTATTGGATGCATCATTTTCTTGCTTCTTTCATATTCTATCCCAGTTACGTTCCTCTTGTTGAAGGGACGGGATACTATCAAGCACGGGCCATTTTGGCTTGGTAAGGTTGGATTTGTTGGAAATGTCGTCTTGGTCTGTTGGACAGTGTTTGCTACGGTGTTTTACAGTCTCCCTCCAGTGATGCCCGTGACGGCTGGTAACATGAATTACGTTTGTGTTGTCTTAGCGGTCTACGTTGCGTACTGTGTGATCTACTGGGTGTGCAGAGGACGGTCCAAATATACCACCATTGAGGATCGCGAGAAGGAAATTGAAGAATTGACCCATCAGTTATCAAACAAGGTTGAGCAACTTGAGTTGAGCATGTCCCACCCGGCTCGTGGTATGTAGCTAAGTGAGGCTGACTTGTTTATTTCAAGGCGAAAAAATATTAAACTTTCAGTAGCTCGGGTGACAGCCCGCCCATTAACTGCCATTCAAGCTACTGATTGCGTTCAGTGACGTGCATATTTTGACACATGCAGGGACGTGCGTATGACGTGCGTACGACGTGCGGCTTACCGTTGTGGTCTGGTCTGATAGCTGCGTAAATACCGCTTTCGAGCGATGGGTATCGCTTTTGCGGTAATATACTTCTCGACCTTTGGCCGTGAAAGTGGGGTAGGGAACGTGCGTGGGCCGTGATCATACCATACGATGTAAAGTTTCTACGAAAGGCTATTTTTAGCGAACCCGAAAATGCCTTACTTCGCACGGACGTGAGTACGCAATATGTGCTGCACGACAAGAAGATAGCATATGCTTTGGACCAGTTTGGAACAGGATGCTAGTGATGCCTTTAGGACTGTAATTTCTCGAAATTCGATACTTCAAAACTCAATTCGAGCAGTAAGTAGTCGGCCGTTAGATTTCAAGATTGTTAGTCAAATAGGCGAATGAATGCCCGGTTCGGTCCAATTGAACAAAGCAATGGCTGCGAAATTCCATATATGGAAAACGAGTATACCAACTAAATGATGTCAAGAAATCGACTTTGGCTCTTGCTTTGCAACTGGTTTGTAGGCTCGGACAGAAAATATTATTCAAGGTGATTGGGGTACCCCCAGGGTAGTCGGCAAGTTCAGTGGCCCTCGGTTTGTAGTCCCTTGCAGCAAGGAGTAGAATTTAATGTTCGGTGCATAATAGCCGGGATTCAACTCTAACCGGTTCGGTGTCCACGGTGCCGTGCGACTAAACGTGCAGAGCCGTGCGTCTTGTCGATTCTGCAAGAATGTGTCGATATGTAGCATATTCTATCAATGCATGCTTCACCTACAATAGAGAGAACCAAATCTTCATCTTAATCTTCTTTCAAAAAAAGGCGCATTCTTATTGAATAATATACCCGCGTTGAGCGGTTTCGGATATTATTTCACCGGGCAACTTTCCATGCAGCGGGAATAGAGTTCTTCAATTCCGCTCGCAATCAGGAGGTAAAATTGCTGCTACATTGCGCTTCCTGGAGTATATAAGTCCGCCTTGACTCCAATAATGACATTCTGAAAATGTTCCCATTCAACATCGCTGCTGCTCAAGCACTAGTTCTCGCTCTCATCGTTCCGTCTACTCTCGGTTTGTCTATCCCCATTCAACCTAGAGATGACAAGAAGGTGATTGCCCTTGACTTCAATGTGACACCACCTCAAGGAACCAATTTCACATTTAATGGTGATTCTTTGTCGCTTCTTGTCGATGGTAACTCAAAGCTAAAAGTAGCCAATAGCCCTATTTCAGTCCCAATTCACGGCAGCGGTGGATCTTATATCATTGAGCTTTTGATCGGATCCAGCAAAAACAAAGTGACGGTGGCTCTCGACACTGGATCATCTGACTTGAATGTGGTCGATTCGAACCTGTATTGTGGTGATAATCTGGACTGCCATGCAAATGGTCTGTATGATCCTAGCTCGTCGACCACCTCTCAGAATCTCAACATTCCTGTCGATTTGGAATATGGTAGTGGTGCCTCAACAGGGACCTACTACAAAGATGATGTTTCTCTTGGGGAAGCTTCCGGTGTCACTGTCAAGGGATTGCAATTTGCAGACATTACCGACTCTGAAGGTGCGTCGGGAATTTTGGGAATTGGATACGAAGCTAATGAGGCTGCCAGACAAGAGTACCCTAACTTTGTGTCGTTGTTGAAGAGCCAAAACTATATCAACAAAAGAGCATACTCTCTCTATTTGAACTCGGTCAATGCCCAAACCGGAACCATCTTGTTTGGAGGTAAAGACACCCGCAAGTACAAGGGTAAGTTAACCACCTATCTGACTTCCGGTAACGAACGGTTGCAAATTCCACTCCAGCTGCTCTCAGTCGGTGGTCAAAGTGTCAGTCTCTCTGGTTTGAACGGAGTTTTGGACTCAGGAACCACCTTGAGTTATATCAAAAAAGAAGAATATTACCAATTGGCTGCGAAATTGAATTGGATTGATGTTAGCTCATCTGCTCAGCAGCCACCAGGTAACTACTATGCCGGCCCCTGCAGTGGACCGGACTTTGTGTTTAACTTTGGTAATGGAGGAACTGTTACCGTGCCTTATTCGGCTGTTACTATGTCAGTAACCGACGACAACAGCCTTTGCATTATAACGGTGTTGCCCAACACTAATCCGAAAATTGAGGGTATCACCATTCTCGGTGACAACTTTTTGAGATCCGCTTACGTTGTGTATGACCTTGATGCCGAGCAAATTTCAATTGCTAATGTTAACTACACCACCGATTCGAACGTGGTTGAGTTGTAATTCTGAGTTTATACGACCAATGTTTTCTTGCTTATAATGTGTAGAATTTGTAGTAATTCGATTCGGGTAATCCGATTTGAGTAGACCGATTCGAAATTACTCAACATAATTTACGGACCAGTTGTGTTGGTGAAAATCGGGTATACAAATCTGTGAATTTTCCTGTACGCAAATGGTGCGGAGTAGAGGGAATCTTCTTTTGTCAGGATGCCGAGGTATTTTATTCATGTAGCTTAGATTCTTTGAAAGGAGCATGACTTAGAGAAAATGGAACCTTCCATCTGATTGAAATCTATATCTTTATTTGATATATTTTTTCTCACCAAAAATCTCTCTTGAGTAAGAAGTGTGAGTTGAGTCAAGTGGACTTTCTAGTCATTGGCAAATCTAGACATTAAGCGAGAGAACTCTAAGTCCGCTGTGTCATACGAGAATGAATTTTGACTCTGTCTTATCAATTCACGAATGTTTTAGGCAAAAATCAACTTGGGCGGTTTAGGTGAAATTCTTCAAAACTTCTATTCCATCTATTATGACGGCTAGAGATAATTACGATAGCAATTGGTGAATGGGGTAGTTATTACCGCGTCAAATTGACTCGACTCTGACTTCGCTGGTATCGTGGAATGTTGAAAGCGGAGTACCTGTAATTTGCAGTTTGACGTGGTCAGTGCCCATAACCTTTTTATGCACAAGGTGCATATCTCCGCTTGAGTTGCATATTTTGCTGCAAGCGAGTGTACCTCATGTTTAAGGGGTTTTGATTGCAACGTTCATTGCCAATAACCAAAAGTTACTCAAAATCTGTCAATCAAAACCACAATGATCTGGTGGTGCTCAACTCACCCAATTCAACTTTCACTTGGTATACAAACTCTACACTAAACGGTTTTGCAATAATTGGTGGCTGCTTATCGGTGAAAGACGTACATTGTGCGTTTAGCCGTTGTACGTGAGACCCCTTGGGAATACGCGATAGGATGCGGCTCAAATTAGCCGCAGCATTTTTGATAGGTACTGGTTATCAGTGCATCCGACAAAAGTTGCCATGGTTGGTCCAAGTTTCGAATATAAAGTGACTGGAAAAGTACCCTCTCGCTACAATGGTTTTGCTTTCAACTTTGGTATCCACGTCCCTAAGTGCTGCTTTGGTGCTTACACCAGCGTTTGCGGTCTCGTTGCATGAACTAGTGCCTCGCAGTGCAGCCAAGTACGTCAAGCTTGATTTCAATCGTAAAGTGCTCCCCCACAGTTATCTGTCAAATTTGGTTAAGAGAGACATCTCAGTTTCGGATCCTATAAGAGACCGTTTCTTCTTTTTCGAAATCGATTTGCTCGTGGGCTCGAATGAACAACCAGTATCGGTTTTACTTGATACCGGGTCGAGCGATATGTGGATTCCGCAAACCAACATCACTTGTTTCTCAAAGTACGATTGCAAACAGTATGGTTCCTACAACCCTTCTAACTCAACCACTGCAAAAGATATTGATATTGTTGCAAATTTCACCTATGGTATTGGCGGAGCGTTTGGAGAATATTTCACCGATCGTGTAGCATTTGCAAAGATGCCCGATGTCGTTATACCAGATTTTCAATTTGCTGCTATTGATAAATCTGATCAGCAGATTGGAATTTTGGGTGTTGGCTACGAAGTTAATGAGGAAACCGCTCGGGCGTATCCCAACTTCCCCGTTCAATTGAAGAACCAAAACTATATCGACAAGGTTGCATACTCAATTTACTTGAACGAAAAATCTGGTGACACGGGCTCTATCCTTTTTGGTGCCATTGATACTGCAAAGTATGAGGAAGGTCTGTTGAAAACATTTCCGGTTACTTTGCGGAATCATTTATCAATCGACCTCGTCAGTATTGGTGTCAATGATAGCATGGTTTCTGGACAAGGTATTCCTTCGGTTTTGGATACCGGAACAACCAATACAGAATTACAAGCTGAAATTCTTGAACCATTGGCTAAAAGTCGTGGCTGGGTACTTGGTGAAAACAAGGCTTACTATGGACCTTGTTACGACAAAGATATAATTTTCAATTTTGGACAAGGCGTTAATATCGTCGTTCCTTACAGAAATTTGATTACGCTTGATGATTTGCGGAAAACTCCCAGCAACGGAATGTGCCAACTTACTTTGGAGACACAGACTTGGCTTCCTGATCAGAGACTCAATATCATTGGTATAAACGTCTTGAGGTCGGCTTACCTCGTTTATGACCTTGAAAATAAAGAAATCTCCATCGCTCCAGTCAAATACACCGATGAGTCCAACATTGTTCCATTCTAAGGAAATTAAAATTAGTTATGCTTGCTTCCAATCTATGTTTTCTTGATGGTATTGTAGGCGGAATTCTTTTAGCAGCTAAAACTGAAGTAGAATTATGCAGATTGTGAGCCATGAAGAAGTGTAAATTTGTCACATCCAAAACGTTTGCTATTCCATTTGGTGGGGTAAAACACGAATTTTTCAAAATGTGTAAGCTCGATAGCCAGGTCTACAAAACTCATATCAACAGTATGGTTTTTTTCTAAGAGTACTGGCTTCAGTTGTTCCATGTTGCAATTGTAAAGTTTCGGCATTGACTCTGCTGGGTCCGGAATATTTTTATGCACCTTCTGCATGGGGCAGCCGTTTTCGGGTGCGCTTTGTGCATGAGAAAAAATATATCCCCGCCTGTTGCTTATTTGCAACTGTCACCGATAACGGAGAACCTTAAATTTCATCCTGAGTCAAAGCTGTGCCTCGTTACCTTGGACACATTTTGTTAAAAACTTTTGAATTCGGTTTGGGGGGTGAGAAATGTTGGTATTGAGTCAAGATGTTACGATGACGGGCGATGGTTGCGAAGGAAGCCGCAAACGGTTTGCCTGTTTTTTCGTTGGCGGTTTGAAGCCAAAACCACTGGAATTTTGGTGGGACAATGCTGCGGTTGTTAACATAGGTTGTTAATACGGTCATGTTTCACCTTGAATTTAAGATAAAAATTATCTCATTCTTTTTTAGAGTATCAAACATGGTTAACGCTTGTTATAAGGTGTCCTTTGTGACGTTGATTATACAGATGGTTTTATATTGTCCGATTCGGGTCCCAATATGAGTCCTAATTTAGGTCCCAAGCTTTGCTTTTGTCAATGAAGATTATATAAGTTTTTTTTAACCTCACTAAGAGTAGCGGTACTGCTCACTTGCATGATTTGACTAAGCTCTCTGAGCAGAAAACGCGTGTGCTTTACATCACGTTCATGGAAGCATACTTCATAAACTACTTTTTCAAATGAGCGCGACATTTTTGCAGCTTCCAACTCTGCACCTGGAATCAGAAAAGTAGAATATTTGAACAGAAATGAACGAAGTCAACATCGTGAGGCCATCTGGATTTGCATGGAACCAGTTTTGATACTTTGATAATTTTTAACTTGAAATTTCTGTTTAATGTTGAGTAGTCATTTTGCACCATTTACATAATTTGCAAAAGACACAAATCTTAAAATTTTATAAATTTTGAAAAGTCTTGAAGAATTACAGCAACTCAATCAACCGTAAAGAGATACACAATCATTCCAAAACATATCATTGTATCTTTTCATAGGATGTTTTACACTAGGTACTACCTGATTTTTCGTAACCCGACACACCCGAACACCACGGTATCATTGAGTCGCATTCTCGGCGAAAAACAAATTCAACTTCCACCATCTCGCGTAACTATGGGGCGTAACGGTAAGCACTATTCTCTGCAATCAGAGTACACAAAAGCATATACAACTTCAATACTAACCACAGAGCAATTATCCACCGTTATTGATAATCTTTTTGTTGTTTTCAAGCGAGCGGATGAAGATGTAAATCTTTTGTCACGAAAGGTGATTCCTCAAGACTTCCATGAAGCCGAATCGAGCCAAATTATTCATTCATTTACAGCTTATATCGAGTCGCATCCGAAACAAAAGACTTTGAGCATACTTGACAAGTACTCGAATCGTCGATATACCAGCATTTATTCACTCCATCATGATATTAAAGCAGTATGCTCTCTTGAAATTAAAGAGTTCAGAATTGGATCAGATGAATACAACAACATAGACTTATTTTATAAATTTACCACAGACTTGATCTTGAGAGAAGCAAGCAGGTACCATTTTGCACTCCAGAAGGGCCGCTCTACCCCAGTTGCTACAGAAATACAGTCACAAGTCCAGGAGGATTTCATGAAGATATATAACAGTGTGAGTCCTAATGGTGAGGTTTTCACTCATATGCTTCCAGAACCCGAAACTGAACCCAACAGCGAGTTAAATACCCCAAATGGTTATCCCAGTTTATACAATCTGTTTCTGCCTCAACCACAAGCAAAAGCAAAGAAACAACCTCTCTTTTCGTCTTTGACAGGAAAGTCTGAAATTGACCCTCGCTACACTATAGTGCCAGATCCTTATGGCCTTGCCAAAACCATTCCTATTAATACTGCGGCGGCCAGTAATACTACCACTCTCGAATCACTTTCCCCACCAGTGTCCAAAATTCCTCCTCCAAATACCCTACCAACAGATATCATATCCAACTACTTCCATTCAATATGGTACACCACTCCTATTCCAAGGTGGTTGTCTTATAAAACTAAGATCCTCAAGCCAGCAGTGGAGTCGAGTCTTCTCAAGGGCAAGCACAATGATGACTTGAGACTTGTTTCACGTACAGACGATTCTTATGCATCGTTTGCGCCTGTGGTGGACACCAGTGATTCGGCTGTTACTCTCGACTTGAAGAACTCTGTGTGGTTGAGCCATATTGGCCGCAAAGAGATCGAAGAGTACAAGGCTTTGTATTACCGTACGAAAGACTCTCAAACGAAAACGAACGGTACCACTGAAACCAAACCAGTAGAAAAGGAAGAACACGCAAGAGAACCTGTAAATGATGTTGGAGAAGTGGAAAAGCATGAAACGTCTATTGAGACAGATCAAAAAAAGAACCTTGAAATTGACGTTGCCAATTTGGTTCAGTGGGCGCCTGGAAATTTAGCAGAGTTGGAATCGATCAAGCAGGAAAAAGAAGCCATCAAAAGATCCAGTCGGGACTTTGCGAATGTGATCACATCTACTTTGCTTCGGTTAAACAAGTTGAGGCAGGAGCGCTACTATCAAAGCTCAAACAACAGCATCATTCCGCCCACACAGACAGAAGTTCGCTTGTACAACAAAGCCACCAAATTGATAATACTATTCATCGAGGTCTACAATGTCAATGCCAGTGACTTGGCGATTCAATTCAGCAAAAAACTTCCCGTTCTAGTGGCAGACTACAGTGGTACTTTACCAGGAATGCTGGCTATCAGAGCCCCAGCTATTACTGGAAAATCCACCAGATTGCCCAGTATCAGAGGACCTTACAAGAAAAAAAATAAATTGCAATGAATTAGTTAAATGTCTGCGCCATTGGCAAATGCTATAATCAAATAAATATTCAAGAAAGAAATGATGGCCCACGTAGCGATGCTGGCACCTGCCAACCACCTGCTATTTTCATAGGTGATTTTGGTTACTGTAACGGGTTCCTGGTGTCCTTCTAATAATGGAGTGGTTTCTGATTGAGGAGCTGCATCGTAAACCACCATAAATTGCTTCAAGCATGTAAAGTATATCAATGGTGCACTTACCAATGGAAGTATGAAACTCAACACCACTTGTGAAGAATTCATGATTTTAGAAACTCCTTCACGGCCCAAGATGGATATGACAATAACGACAGGAATGATAGCAAGCACACGAGTAATGATACGACGGATCCAAGGCCGGAACGTCCAGTTTATGAAGCCCTCAGAAATAATTTGACCTGCCATAGTACAGACAATGCCAGCACTTTGACCCGAAAACAACATCGAAAGAGCAAATACCAAGCCGGCAGCAGGCGAAATATAGTACGAAAGCATCTCATAGATGGACAAGAGGTCAGCGTCTTCGGCATCCGGTTTTCTGTAAAGCGTACTTCCAGCGACAATCAATATAGCTGCATTGACAAACACTGCTATCAAAAACAACGAGAAAATCAATTCTGCGTACGAGAAGTTTAAGCAGTACTTGATAGCAGCTTGTGAAGGTCTGTACCGGTGAGCAAGAGCACTTCCATCGGAAATGCTACGGAACTTGCTCACTGTATTGGGCAACTGTGCTGGCTCTTCATCGGTATCTTCGTGCTGAACAATACGGCCATGTTTTTCATCGTACTCTTTCAAGCGAGACTGGACCAAAGCCGAGCCCAAAAAGAGAGAATGAGGCATAACTGTAGACCCAACGATACCACAACTCAAGAAGAGGGCATTTGACTCTCTGAAAATCTCGCTGTTCACGGGCAAGAACCCCTTTACTATGGAGCCAAGGGCACCTGGTTCAAAGTCACACTTGAATAACTCAACCACAAAGCAAACACAAGTTGCTAACACCAATATTGAAACCATGATTTCGAATGTTCTCGTTTGTCGCATAGAACCATCTTTGTGATAAGCCATCAAAACTATCAAAACATCAAGCACAGTAATGAAAACTCCATATATCAATGGAATACCAAACAAAATCTCCAATGCTATTGCCGTGCCTACAACTTCAGCCAAATCTGTGGCTATAATGGCAATTTCAGCACACACATATAACGACAAATTGAGCCAATATGGCAAGTGCAACCGACACATTTCGGCAAGGTCAAGCCCAGTCACCGTCCCCAACTTGACACACAAACATTGCAAAATAACGGCAAACAAATTGGACATAAATACCACAAATAAGAGGTCATAACCATACATGGCACCGGACAGAACTGCAGTAGAATAATTGCCCGGGTCCATATATGCCACAGAAACCATGATTCCCGGTCCGATGAACGAGGCATATTTCCTGAGACCTTTTAAGGCCACAGAAATGGTATTACGACTCCACAATTCAATAGACATGTTGCAACTTGAGCAACCGCCGAGGCTGGGTATTATAGGACGGTGTCTGGATGCAGAAATAAATTGCTCAATAAACGAAAGTAACGACGAGTTTCCTCGTAGGTAGCTTATAAGATTTAGTGGTTTAAGCGGAAAAAGTTGAAATAATCCCTTCTGTTTCGTTTCTACTTTTTGTTCGCTATCTTCCTATTTAACTCTGGGTGTTTGGATGCACCATCTACCAACTCGGGTCCGACTAAAATATCAGATATGGCTACAATTAAAAATATGCCTTTGCGGCACTTGAGCTCTCTCGGTGGGTGTACGCGTCATTGTGGGAAGCGGTACATTACTATAGTGAGCACCAGTGGACCAAAAGAAAATTCTGGAATCGAAAAAGGTCCACTGAAAAACGACTTTTCAATTGTGGAACAACTTCAACGATACAAAAATACATTTCCCGAAGATAAGGGGGCCACCAAGAGTATAAACGAGTATCTTCACCATCGAAAGACCGGAAACATAAAAGAATTGAGGCTTGGTATCAAGTATAGTAGTGCCAAAGTGGCCCATCTGTCGAGAATTATAGAGGCTATACTAGCGGAGCCATTGGCTGCTGGAAACCAAGAATGGCTTCGTGATATTGCCCAGCGAGATCGCAGTAAGAATGCGACCTTCAGATTTAGCCAGGAAGTCAATGTTGACGAAGAAACCAATACTTTTTCAATACCTTCATCAATGCTCTCTGCGGAAATCCGGCCAGTATTTTCTGAGATTCTTGGAGCTCCAGAACAATTGCAAGATATCGAGCTTGTGGAATTGAATGAGCTGACTGAAAGCTGTGTACTTGAGCTCCTAGTCACCGACTCGGTGATAGTTTCTGGCGAGAGAGCAAACGCAGTGGTGGTAGACAACAGCGAGTATACGAAAGCTTCGCTTCAAAAATCACCAGTTTCGTTCTCAAAATTCACTCCGAGTCAAAATACCATCAAGCTCGACTCCAGCTTGTATCTAGAAGCCGTGGAAGCTTTTCTCAAGCACGACACAAAAGCCACCGACACTTTCGTCAGTGGACTCCAAAACAGCAACATATACGAGCTCCAGAAACTCTTATCGTGGTATCTGAGACCACTGGTCACCCAGAGATTACTATTAAATGATATTGTCTCCAGAGTTGAGGCTAATAATTACGAAGTTGAAAATGATCTTCCAGAACACATTATCTCTCAGTTTCGAACTGACGCTCATGGCGAGTTGCAGCGAGACTTTGAACCAAACCTTGCATTTTTCTTCAAGAGAAAACTTCCATGGTGGAAACTCTACCTCAAAAATGACAATGTGGAATACGAGTTGAAGGACTACTTCAGCAAGAATTTCATGAACAAAACCATCGAAGCCTACGGATACACTCGGGGACGCATTGTCACCTCTTTACAAAACCAAAATGGACAGAAACCAACCGAGAATTTTGAAAATCCAATTTATGATCTTCGTCAGTCCGTTATCGAAGACCGTATTTCTGCCGAAATTCAGCCACAAGTATACGCCAGAATAACCCAAGCTCTCTTATTCTACCAAGTGCCCTTGACTGCTATAGCATTTTTAGCGTACTGGCACTTTGACTTCACTGCTAATGCTGCCTTAGCTTTGACATCGTTGGGCATTGTGGTTGGCTTCAACCATGTTTCAAAGCACTGGACAAAACTTCAAAAGAAGTGGAGACAGGTACTATACAACGATATCAGAGAGTGCATCGAAGGACCATGCCAGAACCAGTTGCTGAAGGAGCTTGCATGGCAGTTGAACCAGAGAAATTTGCGCAACAAAGTGAGATCAGCTACGCTTGAAAGCTTACACCAAGAACGAAATGGAATAAATATATCGAGCTAGACTCGTAATGTACATACAAATGCAAGTAAATCATAAGGAAGGTGGAGGCAGAGCTTCAGCATTCTTCTTGGACTTGAGATTCTGTTCGAGACGCTCAAATTCTTTCAAGGCGATCTCTTCTTCGGGATCCAATATCTGCTCCACTTCCTGTACTTCTTCAACATAATGTTTCAACATCGATTCTATGCCATGCTTAAGGGTATCTTCGCTCGCGGAGCAAGACTTGCATGCACCTTGAAGCTTCAAAAAAACAGTTCCTGTTTCTTCATCAAATGCTTTATACTCGATATCTCCACCATCATCCTGAATAGCAGGTCTTATTCTCGTTTCTATCAATTCTTTAATCATGCTCACAATTTCCAGGTCATCTGCATCCGCTTCAGCAGCTTCCTTTTCAGTGGCTTCTATCAACTCTTTTGTGATGACTGGTTCTTGTTTTTCTGTCAAAAACTTATCGAGCAACGACAGCACTTCCGGCCTCAAATGAGCCCAGTTTACATGATCTTGCTTATTCACGGTAAGAAAGTCCGGGCCCAACATCACCGACCTTACACCTGGAAGTTTGAACAATTTTAACGCCAAAGGAGAATGAACAGCTTGAAGTGAAGAAGTGAACTCAAACGTCTTGTTTTCCATAGGGACTATTTTTGTAGGCGACACAAACTTCAACGCATTCTCATTGGGTGTAGAAAGGGTTTGGAAGGTCAAAAACCTTGCGAAAACTTTTGGAGTTGAGAATTTATTCAACAGCCTTATAACCGTCATGTTTGCAACAGATTCTCGTTACTAATTCATTTTTATATCATCCCCACGCTGACGTAATCGCACATTTAAGCAGGGAATAATCATTCACGGGCGTGACCCAATTGGACAGATTATATACAGTAGCGGGGTGTGTGTACAGTGTTATGGGTGCAAAATGGTATCAATTAAATCTTGAAAAGACTAAATATTGAAAACGAGCTTTTTGGTGACTCGTTGATTTTAAGTGTGGGTACATCCATGGATCTGTTCGTGAGCCCACTATTAGTGAAATTGACTGGAGGAGAGTAATTGGTGGTATTCATTCGACTAATGGTACCATCCCAACAGTAGCGTTTGAAGCACTTTTTGCATTGGTCGGTCTGCTGTTGTCCCAAACGTTCTTGTTCTCTTCTGATCACGGCACAGCCAATACACGCTCTGTACTCCTCGTCAATGGTTCCGTTGAGACGAGAAGTGATGTCGAATCCGTTTTGAATCATTGCTTTCTTTTCTTGGTCAGTATAAGAGTTTTGAAAAGTTGAGGTATTTGACAAAAACTCGTAGGGACGGTTTGCGAGGTAGATGACTAATGGTGGAACAACACCGTCCTTTGCCAAGTCAGTAAGGTTCTTGGCATCACAACCGAAAAAAGTTGGCTTTGCAGTCAAATTTTGTTGCATGAAAGATATGGCATCGGGTACGTATGGACAAAGAGACGACTCGCCCTTGTCTACGAATTGTCTCAGGTACGCATCAACCAAGGAGGATCCATTGGGCCAGTTAGCATTGTCGAAAGCAAAAACCGCATCGAGTTTCCGTTCCTTTGTCATAAGGTTAGAAAGAGGAATTGTCTCTCCTCCAAGTCCACCGTCGAAGAGTACGAGTGACTCGTCTGTGGTAATATTGTTATCCGTACCGTATCTGGAGTGGTAAAAAGGATTGGGTTTCACAACGGCAACATCGTCTTTGTCAGAAGATATCTTCAAGAGAAATCTCTTCAAAATGGGTTTCAAGACATAATCAAATGGCTTTCCAACTAGCTTACATTCCTCGCAAACAAGAGTATAAAGGAACTGGTTGAAAAGAGAAGAAGAGGTTCCAATCATAAAGCCAGCGTTGTCATAACCAGCAACACAACTTCCGTTACTCTTACCATCAACAAGGTTGGTGCCAAGGTACTTGATATCCACAAACGTGTTGAGATCCGTATCAAAGGAGCCCATTTCGAACGGATTAGCTTCCACGACCGTCGAATTCAAACTGTAAAAGATCGAATCTGGCTGGCGTGCTAATGAAACTAGAATGGGGAACGGCATTTCATGGTTCTTGAAGGCATTGAGATCGCGAATATCAGACCAGGTAGTGGCTGCTCCATGGTTGTCTTTGCCTTTGGGAAAAAGCTGGAAAGCTAATGCTCTACCCCAAGCATCAGTGATAGTGGTTTCGTACCCAGCTGCTTCTTTTTTCTCAAGGTCCAGCTGAATGCCGTTGTTCCAATTGTTAATGTGTGACAATACTCCAATGGCATCCAAGCGAATAGCAGGATATATAACTTTCCAGAGGGACGTGGTGTTGGGCAATTGGCGAGTCTCGGTAAGATTCCACAAATCATCTGGATCTTCAAATACAATTTGGTCAACACTGGCAAAATCTTGCATCGTCAACGAACCCACCAACCATGCTCCACCTGAAAGTCCGGCAAAATAGGTCGAACTCTGAAGTATTCCACCCAAACCTACTTCCAGAGCATCCTGTGTTCTATTATCAAGAGCAGCAACTTGTCCTGCTCCGGTTAACATGGATCGGTAACCACCTCCAGATACCGACACTGCGATGTTCACCAGCAGCGAAGAATTTTTTGTCATAAACTCATCAACGTCGAAGTCTGTCATGTTCACCGACTTCAAAAACTCGGCCAATGCCTGGTCGGTTATCTTATGTCGCTCCTTAATCCAGTCTTTTTCTTCATTAGAAATAGTGTTACCTTCTCGGATGAAAGATTTGACACCTTTGGGACAAGCTACTGTGCCTGGTGCATACCCACCGGTTGGAGATCTTGCGACAACAAACGCTGCCCAGATGAAGAAGAATAATGTTCTAAGCATCTTTAACAATGGAGTTTCTTGTTACTTTCTTATATACTCGCAGGAAGTCGCTCAGGCATGAACTTACATGAAGTATCGTGCGGCTCATGTTTTCCCCATATTACCGCATTAGGAAGTGAAATAACCGGGACGGAGCAACGTATCGTCCGACTAAACGAGAGCAACGGTACCGCACATATTTCGAGAGCGCAATTGGGACGGTCCATGAGCCGTATAAACCTTATATTCTATAATTCTAATAAATACTGTGCGGGGATCTAGGTGGCCGTTGCGAATGAAATTTCGAGCAAGGAAACTTTAACGTTTCGCAACCAAAATGTTGTGTATGAGATCGTTTACCTCGAACGGATTGTCAATGTAGAGGTTGTGGCCCCCTTCGCTAACGCTATGAAAGTGAGCGGTATTCTCTTGCGAAGCGTTGATGGCTTTCACCAATTTTTCACCAGCTTCCTTATTCATGAAATCGTATTGTCCGTAAAGAAAATGGACAGCACTTGGGCCATTTGCCGAGTCGCTGGTTGAATAAAACTCCATTAGCTTGTCATACAAGGGATACTTGCTGTTTGTGCTTGGAGTAAGTAGGTTTTTGACGTAGATATCCGAATAAGTTCCATTGGTAATGGAGTTATACAAGTACTCAATGATGGTGTGAATTTCCTGATTTGTGCCGTAGACAACGTCATTTTCATTTTTGAGCATTTTTTCGGGTCCACCATGCTTTTCTATCAACTTGTTAATTTTAAAAAGTTTCATGTACCACATATCATAGTACTTTTGCACGCCCCATGGTCCCATCCACTTGAGTAAGCGAGGTAAAAATGGCTGCAAATAATACCATTTCCAAATCGTCTGCTTGGATAAGATTGGGAGTCTTGACAAAAAGGTATAGGATGTGGGGTCCAATGACGGCTTAATCGTCTGTAAGCCTTTGGATCCGGTGAGTGGTTTCGTTACGGCATTAGCATGGCGCTCGACACCAACAGGAGATAACAATACTAGCTGCTTAACGCACCGAGGATACCTCACAGCATAGGAGCCTGCCCAGTAACCACCATAGGAATGGCCAACCAAAAGATCGAGTGCGTTTATATTCGAAGCTTTTCTCCACAGGTCAATTGCTGAAAGATAGTAGTTTTCCAAGTCTTTCATAATTGGCTGAAATTTGTCCTTGTATTTGCTAAACTCTTCAGCATCCATCTCAAACGAGTCTATCAACTTGTAGTACTTGTTGTAGAGTTTCTTAGGGTCTGTGGGCTGGTCCGGATCATTGAGAATCATCTTGGGGGTTTGAGGAATTTTCCAGTGGCTGATTCGAGAAGACTTAATTTTTGGATTCGAAGAAAGACCGAACGAGAGATTGTCTAAGAAATGGATTTTCACTGGGTGTTCATAATCCGAAAACTTGTTGATGAGTTGAAAGTTCCTTGCAAAGCAGCCCAACGATGCTCCATAGCCATGGAGAATGGCCACTTCCTTGGCCGGACCGGGCCGATTGGTGCCAATAGAGAAGCAGACCTCATTCAAGTAGTTGCCCTCCTCATCTATTTTCACTTTTTTATTCTCTATGGTGAAATTTTGGTTTTCCTTGTTCGACTTTGGAACCATCAACTGTATGAGGTTGTTTTGAAGAATTTGAAGATTTGATTTTTTGAGCGATCTCCACCAGATTGCCCATCCAGCACTCAACGGTAGTTTCGGAATGGGTGTGGTATCACGTAATGCCTTCTTGGACGTTTCCAAAGAAGTGGCATAGTGCCGGCGTACGATTCGCTGCAAATTCATCAAATCGAGCCGAGGAACAAATCGCAAATCAAAAAGTGCGAAGAGAGAACAGATTCAGACACAGTAAAAATTGATTAATATACACACTGCTTGTAGCAGCCAGCTGCTATACGTATTTTCTGGAAGCAGACCCCGAAGTAAACGACATAGACTTTTCAATGCCCTCGTGAACAACGTGGCCTCTGATTTCATCTTCAAAATCTTCCACCTCCTGCCATTCCTCGAACCATCCTTTCTCAAACGTTTTGATGCTTGGAGTGCCAGGAATGGGGAAAAAATGTACTAGAGTAGCGTAGATGATAAAGGACGAGAAGAAACCCATGAAAAAATTGAGACGATAAACTTCTGTTGCTCCAATAGGAATGTTCTCGTCTGGACGAACTGCACCAACAAACCCAGTTATATTGGGAACAATACCACAAAGGTAAGCCACAAATGCTCTCCAGTTGATTCCAACTTTATTGTACTTGTAGACAGAGGGCTGGGAAGGATCTTCTGGAGCGAAAAGTGAATAAAGGTGAGACAACTTGATGTAACCACGTCTGACAAAGAAGTAGTCACAAGCAACGACACCGGCAATTGACGACAAGAATACCGAGTAAGCTGACAAGTAGGTGGTGAATTTACTCGCCGAAGAGTTTAATTTGGCTGGATAAATCGCCAAAGCAAGAATGGCACAAATGTATCCACCTCTTCTAATGTTGAGAAATCTGGGAAGAACTGCCGTGACATCGGTTCCAAAAGACAACGAATTGGCTGAGATATTGGTACCCAATTGGGCCAACGCAAACGCCAATGCAAGGAAGAAAGAACCAGCTCTGTTTCCTGGAGTGTAGTTGTTGAGGAAATTGTCCAAAACATCCAATGGAGACCATGTTGGTTCGCCATAAAGAACTTCGGATGCTGAACCTACCAAAATACCAATCAAGGCTGTTATGGAAAAACATAATGGCACGGAAACAGTGTGGACCAAATATTTGATTCCGAACGAAGGCTTGTCGGCAAAACGAGCAAAATCAGGTGCATTTACGATCAAAGTTGCAAAATTGGCCAAAGCATTCATGGTTGATTCCACAAAGAGCCAAGCTAATTCGGAGCCTTCTTTTTCGGACTTTTTGTGGATGACAGGTCCAGCACCATGAGCTTTGATTAGGGTCCAGATCAAGAATGTGATACCAGCAACCGGAACAACGTATGCCTTAAAGGTGAACAAGTGTCTGATTTGATGAGGAGGGAACCAGATTGCCGGCAATGAGAACAACCAGAACAAAAAGAATCCCAAAAACTCGGAATTGTCACTGCCGATTTTCTCGTACAAGTTTTTGGAGAAAATGGCTCTCAACATGATTTCGATACAAGGCCCAGCAACAGAACACTGGACGCTGTACCAGATCAACGACATGAATACACGGTTGATAATTGGCCATAAACTGCCATAAATTCCAAACGAACTTCTGGCTGCAACTGGGAAGGATACATGGTAAAAAACACCAATACGAGCACCAATAGTGATAAAAACACCACACATGAGGTACCCAAGCCACACAGAGAGCCAAGTTTGCCACCAGGTCATTCCGGCTTGTACTCCAGTAGCTGCAATTTGCCAGGTGTTGATATTGAACGAGTCAGCAATCCAGAAAAAGACAAAATTGAACCACGACCACAACCGTCTATCCTTCTCAACAGGCTTCAAATCGTAGTTGAAAAGGTACAATTGAGCGGCGGTGAGATCCGACTGACCGTCAATTTGGACGTAGTTGACAATCCGCCGCCATAAAGTAGGCTTGGTAGAGTCATCAGAAGAAGCATCATCCACCTGCTCCGAGGTTACGGACACTGTTTTTAAGTGCTCTTCCGTGGTCATTTTGGTTTGAACTTTTAGATGATGCAGGCAACTTATATATTTCCCTGACGGTCTCTGCAAGATTGCAGCAATCGATGCGATAACCGATAAGAGGAGCGCCGCAGCTCACGTGATCGAGACATACCCCGCCAAGAACAATCATCGTGATCGGTTTCAATTCGGAATGGAGAGATTCACTGAAATTAATGATTTTTGTATTTTAATGGGGTGTTCTTTCTTGGTCCTCGAAGGGTACCTGACAATGGATTGAGCGGATCATTTCCGTAATGGCTGAAGCTTGTTCCTGCATTGTTCCCCTATCGCGCCGTGCGAAAAATTTCATTTGAAAATCTACGTGCAAAACGGCCCGCGCTCGGCCAGATATCCTGATATCACAGGTGTGAAAAAAGTTATCGCAAATACATCTTGATTCGTATGATATCAGGCACAAAGCTGCAACGACGATAGAATGCAATTGGCCAATTATAGATGCATAATCTGAGGCATCACCCTGCATCATGCATAGATCTTTGATAGCGTATGGTAACCGCATTGGTACACCCCACTTTCTTCACTTACGTTCTTCACTTTCGATCTTACTTTTCCCTCGTCCTGCTTTCGCACCCTTTAATTCGGCCCATCCCGATTTTGTATCGCAATCGCACTCCAAACAGGCCTTGGCTGGTGCAAGGATGTAGCGTGGGCTGAATCGGCTGAGGAAGTGTTAGCCCCATAGACGCTGGACGTCTTTGATGTCGAAAACCAGTTCATCTCAAGCCCTGGGACTTCGTTCTGGTGAACTCATATCGTACTACTTCCCTGACCATGAAGCAGTATCGTATTTTCAGAAAAGTTTCGTCAATTCCAATGAGTTTCATCTTCTAGAGGAGACCACCGTTTCCGGCTTCGAAATTTATCTAGTCGAACAATGGGCTAATAGTCGTAAGATTGGCAGTGTGGTGTCCACATTTACTGGAAATGAATCCTCCAAAGTTTCGGTAATGAAGTTGACGGTTTTAACCAAACCACTGAAGCAATACCCAGTCAAGTTTCAAGAATATTTAAACGAAATAGTTGTCAACCACGGCAAATTGATGAAAATGGAGTCAAGTGGAAACGACGACGATACAAATCAGGTTCTTTTCGTTACGAATTTAACGGCACTTCCTTCAAATTTGACCTTGGTTCCTATCCCCCACGGAGATGCTGCCGCCGTACGAGATCACTTTGTACTAAACTCAAACTTGAAAAAACTACAGTGTAGCGGCAGATCACAGTCGCTTATCTCCAGCAGAATAGCAGACGCTTGTGAGGACAAGTTTCGTCATGTATATCGAGTGCTCGATGACAATGTTCCGATTCGCTTCGCTATCAAAGAACTAGTGAATATCATCCAAATATCTCTCTTCTACTTTGAGCTTCTTGATGCTCGCTATTGTGATGGTTTGCTTTGTGATAAAACTGAAGAAGCAATAAATAATTGGTGGAATTTGGTCGGTTTACCTCATTTCAACACCAAACCAAATGCTAGATCGGGTATATTACCTCCCAGAACCGTGGCCGCTATCATTAGCTTGATACTCAGTATTAGGTTACGGCTTCAGATTTATGGAAGCAGTGATGTTCCAAAAGATCCGTTTGATTTTGAGTCGTTTATGCTTTGTATTGGCCAATTTCAAAGGCTGGCGAAGCTTGACAAGACCCGCAAACTTGACCTCGAAACACTCACCAAACTTTTCAACTCAACCAACGCCAAAATCAATGTCTCGAAGTACTCATACAACCAGAGTATGCCAGATATGCTGCTTGAAGATTCCATTGATTTTAGTCCTCGTCACAAGTCAATTGTATCTTATGCTGATTCCGGCTCGGCATATTCAACCCCAAGTAAAAAGTCGAAAAACTACTACAGTAAGGAATTGCGAAAACTCACTAATGTGGTGAAGAATACTGTGTCGGATCATTTGGTCTCCAGCCGTGATTTGGAGGATCCAAGCAATTCAAAATCAGGCGCCCGTATCAGAAACAGAATAGCCAAGTTTGCGGACACTGTTAGTCCCGTGGATGTGGAAACATTGGATCTTGGCTTGTTGACTCAAAAGTTTTTAACGGGAAAAGTTTTGAACAGACTTTGGCACATATCTGACACAGCTCCGAAGACTGACGCTCGCCATCATCATCACCACCACCATCATCATCACCACCACCATCATCGTCACCAACATGCCAGTAATTTTGATAGTTATTATCAAGTGGTAACATTGAAAGAAGCTATAAGCCAGGGCCGTTTTGGCCTAACAGCAGGCTCTTACCCAGACAACTCATTATATTCAAGGGGATTGAGCAAGGTGAAACTAGGGCTTCAATCTAGAAGAAATCAGTTTTCGGAAAAAGCTCCAAGTGTTGAGCATCATGAAGGAGGTACGCTGTCGTCTTTGCTACAACCAGACTCGCTAATTGAAAGCAGCATTGAGCGAGAAAGTGATAGAACTTCCATCTCAAGCCGCAAGAATTCCTTGAGAGAAATCACCCTGCCAACAGATAAATTCAGGTTCAAGTTGAATCGCAGAAATTCGTATCCATTCACTCATGGCGAAATTAATCTCAATGTTCTTGAGTTTTACCGGGCAGACAAGCGTGTCAAGTGCAACCAAGCTACAAGGTTCAAGAGAAGAAATAGTTTTTCATTGGTGGAAAATCACATCAACCTGGTCAAATCAGGTACGGCCACAGTTGAAGCGATCTCAGACAAATACTTGCACGTTATGGCACAAGCACTTATCTTAGATCGTGTTAAGAAGGATGTTCCCGAGGAGATAGGTGATCAGGAAATCAACCGCCAGGTCAAACAGATGAATTACGAATTGATAAAGTTCAGCAATACTTATAAACAAATGCAACAAAGAAAGAATGTTATGTGGGACAAGAACATGACTGGAGATCTCAAGTACTCCATTGGCAATATGGGAGATACCATTGACAGGCTTTTATATGAAAGCAGAATAGTGGCTAAACGTATCAATGAATTGGAGGAAGATTCCAGATCGCTCAACATCAAGGTAAATGATCAATGCCATTCCAAACTCATCAAGCTCATCGATAACTTGGTAACGCTGTCTTACTTTTATCAGGTGTTTGTAGACCCTGCCGAAAGAAACGATGTCATTGTCAAGTTGACGGGCAAATCCGAATCGGAAGTTCACTCGCAAGACGAAAAGATGGAAAATGGTATTTTCCGAGTAATTGTGCTATTTCTTTATGATCTAGTGCTAAGTATTCTTCAGCTATTCAAGTTTGATCGAAGCAATATGGACTTGGGACGGATCAGAAGAAGCTGGAAAAAATTGGACCCCAACCGCAAATATATCGACATGGTATACAGTTATATTGGTCACAGGAGAGACATTGCCCCTATTCTGCAAGAAGGAAGTGACACCGAGGAGTAGCGTTTAGCTTGCAGTTTCAGCTAGATTATTTAGGACATCGATCAACGCATTTAATTGCCGTTTGAATTGTAAGGAAGTAAGCGTATCGGAGGTTGACGCCGCAACACCCAAAGACATTTGAACGGTATCTTTATACATTGTAATTCCCTTATGCAAATCGTCGGTACAGTTATCGAGTTTTTCAATTGTTGGTTTTACTACCGCCGTTTCATAATGTACCAACCGGTTGTTATTTGTCTCTACATCGTTAGCGTGGATCTGATGGCGCCGGGCCAAATAATGCTTTACATCTGCCACCAATTTTTGATTTGGGACCAAAATATCTCGCAATTGGTTTCCGATATACTCGTGTTTTTGGATATCAGATAGTATTTCTAGTCTTTCTCGTTCAAGAGCTGCGATCAAAACTTCCGTGGAATTGTGGACACCGTTAGAACTGTCGACCAGCGACGTAAGGTTGGAAGGTTCAGCTATGGAAGATTCAGCTTTAGAAGATTTAGCTTTAGAAGATTCAGCATCAGCTTCGGTAGAATTGTTCTCTATTGGATCTGGGACTTCACTCAATTCTTTGACAATCTTTTCAAGTGCATTGATCACTGTGGAGGATACTTCAGCTTGATCTCGAGAAACCTGGGCCAAGTCGTTGATAGTTTGGAGTACAGGGGGGTCCATGGAACCGTGAGAGAAAATAAAGAAGTGTATAGAAGGAAAAGTGTATAGAAGTGTATACTGTTTGTTCCTCTCTCCGTGATTTTCGCACCGCTGATTTTCGCATCCAAATCCAAAAAGTTCGTTGTTCGCGACTTTAGACACGCAATGGTTACTATAGCCAACGCCCACGACGAGCTCATCCACGATGCCGTGCTTGACTACTATGGAAAGCGTCTTGCTACGTGCCTGAGTGACAAAACAATCAAGATTTTCGAGGTTGAAGGCACGGAAAACTACCAATTAACAGAAACGTTGGTGGGTCATGAAGGACCTGTTTGGCAGGTTGCATGGGCTCATCCCAAATTTGGGTCCATTTTGGCGTCCTGCTCGTACGATGGTAAGGTTTTGGTGTGGAAAGAGCTGCCTGATAGACTGTGGTCAATTATTTCTGAACACAAAGTTCACCAAGCAAGTGTCAATTCGGTCAGTTGGGCTCCTCATGAATTGGGTGCGGTTTTGTTGTGTACTTCGTCAGATGGACGAGTATCGGTGGTGGATTTCAACGATGACGGCACTCTGACCCATATAATATTCGAGGCTCACAAAATTGGTGTCAATTCTGCTTCGTGGGCTCCAGTAGACACAAAGTCACCGGTGCGCCGGTTTGTCACGGGAGGATCCGACAATTTGGCCAAAGTTTGGCTGCTTGATGCTTCCAAAAGCACATATGTAGAAGAGGCGAAGCTCGAGGGACACACCGACTGGGTGAGGGATGTGTGCTGGTCGCCATCTGCGTTGGTACGTCTGTACATTGCTACGGCATCTCAAGATCGTACTGTGTTGATCTGGCACCAAGATGGAGAGGGAAAGTGGCAGAAGCAAAAGTTGACGGAGGAGTTGTTTCCAGATGTGTGCTGGAGATGCTCGTGGAGCTTCTCAGGCAATATCTTGGCGGTATCTGGTGGAGACAACAAGGTGAGTTTGTGGAAGGAAAATTTGCAAGGAAAGTGGGAAAGTGCCGGAGAAGTCGACCAGTAGACGCTTAGCTTTGCAGCTAAGCGAACTACGGCAATATTAGTCTAGACATCTATAATTGAGCCATTATCAGTACATTATATTTTAGTACTACCTCTAGCTGTAACAACATTTAAAACACTACATTCCATCAACCACTTCCTCAACTATCGCCTGCACATCCTTCGATGCTTCGTTGGCAGCTTCAAGCACTTCATCATGACTGGCCATACCTTCATCAAGAGGTGGTTGTTCCTCAAGGGCACTTGCTGGTTTGGCTCCAACTCCAGCATTGGTTATCAATGACACCGCAAGCACACGCATGCCACTATGACGTGCTACTATGACTTCTGGAACGGTTGACATTCCTACGGCGTCTCCTCCAATGGAACGAATCATTCGCACCTCAGCTCTGGTTTCAAATGTGGGTCCAGCTGCAAACACGTACGTTCCTTCGTATATGTTTCGGTCGAGTTTAAGCGTCTTTTTGGCAATGGTGAGGAACTGGCGACGCAATTCCAAGTCGTAGGCATCCGAAAGTGGTTGAAACCGGGGTCCAAATTCTTCCAAATTGGGTCCTCTTAACGGATGATATCCACCAAGTCCAGGAAGATTTATATGGTCGTTGATCACCATTAGGTCTCCAGGACGGTACTTCTCGTTCATGCCTCCAGCAGCATTAGTAACTATTACTGAGGAAACCCCAAGACGCTTTGCTAAACGAATTGGAAATGTCGTCTCTGAAAAATTGTACCCTTCGTAAAAATGAAGACGACCAACCATACACATGACAGGCACCTTTTTCCGGCCAATATAACCAAAGAGCAACTTACCAGCATGTCCCGGAACAGTTGAAGTCTTGAATCCTGGAATTTTGTCATAGGAAATCTCAATTGATTTGTGCACCAAATCTGCGATGCCTCCCAAGCCTGAGCCACAGATTATCATCACCCGAGGTGCAATTGAGCCTATATGGGCCCTGACACTGGACTGTGCCGCATCAAGGAGTTTGTATATTTGTTGTGGATCAGTAGACACGGAGAGGTTGGCGAAGTTGTTCGCAAGTTGCTTGGTGGCTTTTTCCTTTCTCTTCTTTTTCGAACGAGTTTTCTTGCGTTTCAGCGCAGCAACTTCGGTCAAATATTCTCGCCAATGTTCAACCTCATCAATGAGATCATGGCTGGTCATGATATCTTGTCCATCCAATTTCTTTTGGTATTCTTGTGCTAAAAGTTTATCGAACTTGAATTTCAAAATGTGGTTCTTGACTTTCATACGAAGAGCAGTAACTTCCAGTCGGTAGTTTTCGTTCACGAAGCGTTCGATGTGATTGAAAAGACGAATTGTATCCTGAGCGTCTTTCGTTTCATCCCGAGGAAGGACGAATGCTTGCTTCAAGGCGCTAAAGTATTCCGCAAACATGTCCCTCGTTCTTCTTTTGTTTTCGTCGAGGATCCAAAGGTAAACCTCATGAGGGGTGGTATTCCAGGTTGGTAGACCAATCTTCCAGTTGTCGTCGTACTCCGTTGGAATGGTTTTGGTCATAAGAATATCTCTAATATGGAAATCCATATCCATTTGGGTATATTTTAATTCATCTTTTTGAATTCCCCATTCATCGAGATTGAGGGTTTCTGGGCTCTTTCCATCGACAACTAGTTCTTTAAAGTGAGGGTTGACTTCCAGTAATGCGTTGATGCCTTGGAGCCATTTGCTAACAACAAAAACATCTCCTGAATCAATGGTTGGAAGCAGTTCGAGATAAACTGAGACTTTTTTTTTCCAAACCGAAACCTTATAGTTTTCCTCCATTTTCGCGAGATATCACTCTGCTATATACAACTGGTGATCTGACCGATTCGCGGAGTTCAGTATCTTTCGTTTTGATGTTTGGGTGTACTTTTCAGGTTTATGATAATTGGAATAGGTTCAGTATAGGTTCAGTATAGGCAGCGTATTACACATTGTCTGTGTTATAGCACCTATCCCCTGACCCTAACCTTCTTACCCGAAAATTAGTGGTATGCATTAATATTATACAGTGATCTATGCTGAGTTAGAGTGCGACACACCTTCTGCCATGGGCTCCATGGAACCTTTTTCATCTGAGTAGAGCTCAGTATTTGGAGTGGAGCCTTGTTTTCGGTATGCATGATTCCACGACATGGTGGTATTGGATCTGGTAGCCTTGGTTGCAGGCGACGAAACATCAAAGTAGTCTTGGTGGTCGGAAACAAGCTGATTAAGTTCCTCGTCGAGGTCGTAGGCACTTTCTTTAACCAAGGGAGATGATGGGCATGTTGCCTGCCTTGTGTGGAGACGAGCGAATTGTAAATGTTCTCATTTTTGGTCCATCTATAGGTGTTGGTTTATCACCATCTTTTGGCGTGGGTTGAGCAAAAAGGGTATCGATCCACTGGCTGTTAGGACTTGACTGTTTATCAGAACTGAATGACTTTTTGATGAGTCGTTCAAACTCGCTGTTCTGACTCGCATCTTGATCCTCACTTGGTGGCTGATTTTCCTTATCTTCCTCGTCGTCGTACAAGTTGATGACCCTGGTATTAGATTTGGTTGCAATCATTGGTGGTGTGATTCCTTGGTCTTGCGGCAACGGATCTATATCAGTAAGTGGCCCGCCAAAAGCATTGAGCTGGTTCATAAACTCATTCAAGTCGTAATTGGAGTTGTTAACTGGTTTTCCTTTGTTCCTGTTGTTCTGAATAACCTGGTTGATCATTGACGGCGTGTGTGAGGGGGTCACAAACCGAGGGAAGGGCGACGAAGATGACTCACCCTTGGCACTGCTTATGCTGTCCAGCCGACTCTTTGAATTTTCTCGTTGTTCCTTTTTGTATCTTTGCTGCTGCAAGTACTTCTTCACAACAGCCGGAGGTCTCATGAATCCTTTAGTACGCAAGAACAAATAGCATGCGTTACAGAGCGGTCCGAACATCCCATTGTACAAAGATTTATCAAATCTTTCTGCCGTCAAAAGGGCTAAAGATGGAGGATGGTTTTTCTGTTCAAAGTACCTCCAGGTTATTGAGTTCACAGTGGAACAGTTTTCATTGATGCATACGAGACCATGGTTGTGGGGCAATTTAGAGTGAGGAATAGTGTGGGTTTTTTTACCAAGACTTTCGAAATCGGGAAGTGATTCAAATTGATCGTTCAGTGGCTTGTAAGGTGGTTGTTGAGGAGTATAAGGAGAGTGATCAGATCTTTCATCAAATGCCTCTTCTTCTTCTTCCTCCTCTTCGTCTCCCTCCTCAATGGCATTTGTGCGGTCGTTATACTCGGTATCATCGGTCTCGTCGGAATACATTTCTTCTTGAATCGGTGAGGTAGTTCCTGGTGTCGTATTAAAACCATTGGTATTGGCTAACATTGATCGAGTACGCATTGCACGCTGTGGTTCATCTCCTCCCCTCTTCCTCTTGCGTAGGGTATTGGGGTCATCCAATATCTTTGCTTGCATGAAAGGTGCCAGTTTGAACCGGTCTTGTACACTTTTGCTATCGTAGCGTGAAGGTGCGTTGGACTTGTCAGCATTTATAATGTTGTGTATCTGCTGATTATGAGGGTGATAAAATATGGGAAGAGATTTTGTTCTGGTAGCCTTTGCTGCGGGAACGTTGGATGACGAAGGAGGCGGATGATTTGATTTTTTTGTACGTTTCGACGAACTCATTTCTGCAAACGAGTTTTCGCGTTTGGCAAGCTGGGCATTTTCTTGCAGCTTTTCAATGGTATGCAATTTGAGCCTGATTTCCAAGGTCAAAGATGACGAGTTTTTGTCGCCGAATAAAAAACTGGCAGAGAGATTTTGGCACACTCTACCGGGAACCACATGCGATTTGGCCGAGCCCATAAGCGACGAAAGCACTCCATTTCCAACGAATGGCTCGTCAGGTTGCTCGGTGATATCCTTGTAGTACACAGCATAATCCTCAGCCTGAAGATTGAAGTTTTCGGGCGAACTTTTGGTGATTTGGTTTACACAGCTTCGAAGATCAAAAGCTCCAAGCGTGCAAATCTGGTCTTCATTCTCCCCAGATGGAATCTGAACCACCTTGACTGAATGCTGTTGTCGTGATCGGGAGAGAAAAACAGTTGGGTTATCGTTGAATGAATACAACACCTTCACTTGCATTCGTTGGTAAGTAGGTTCCATGGTTGTGGTTTATGAAAGATGAAGGTATGCAAATGATAAACAGTTTTGTTTCCAGGGGTCAAACAATTGTGAGTAAAATGGAACGAAAACAACCAAACAATTTCAATTTCATAAAACGCCACGGTTCTTACCAGATGAGACACTGGTTTGTTTACGAGAAGCGCGACGCGAAGGACTGCGTACGGAGCGAGTCGCGCGACGTGTGTTATCTGCAGTACTTCCTTCGGTTGCACAGTAATGTGGGAATCAGGATGGCTGCGAGATTGCGGGAGTGGTTGGGGGCGGAATTCACGGGAAATTCGCGGGAGAAATGGAAATGGGGGAGACGGCGCTGGCTTTATATATTGTTTGCCGCTGCTTAGTCATCGATGGGGGAAATGAAACATGACATAACTTACCAGTGCGTAAATTATCTATTTACAGTCATATTTATTTACAGTGATTCTAATTACGATAGGCAAGGTAAGTGACTTGACACTGATCATCTCTGTGACAATCACCAACCGATGGACATCCTTTCATCCTTTCATCCTTTCATCCTTTCATCTTTTCATTTCACCCATCTTCATCGTATAATCTCCATTTTTAATCCAACCCCACGCACCTTCGAATCTCCTTCATGTTCCGCTCGGCTATTTCGTTTGCTCTATTGGTGCCATTCTTGCACACTTTTTCCAAATGGTCGCGATTTTTCATGAGCTCATCGTATAGTCTTCTCTTCTCACTAAACTCCTCTACTATCACCTCTGTAACAAAATCCTTCAATTGTTTGTGATCTTTGACGGAACTCATTGCTTTTAGCGTATCTTCAATAGACTTGTTCAAAAGTCCAGAAACCACCGTAATCAAGTTGGATACTCCAGGCCTGTTTACAGGATCAAAACTGATACCTTGAATCGAGTCTGTGGCAGCTCTACGGATTTTTTTGGCAATGATATCGGGTTCATCGGTGACATACACGCATGAATGTTGGTCAGCGTCGGACTTGGACATTTTTTTCAGCGGGTCCCGAAGCGAGAGGACTTTTTTTGTGGGGGTGACTAGCGTTTGTGGCATTGGAAAGACGTCACTTTTAAACGAATGGTTAAACGAGCCAGCCAAGTTACGACACAATTCAAGATGCTGTGTCTGGTCCTCTCCAACAGGTACATGGGTGGATTTGTAGAGAAGAATGTCGGCGGCTTGAAGTACCGGATAAGTGAAAAATCCAGCACTGGAGTTGGTCACCACTTTATCGTCAAAAACCAGACTCCCGGCCTGACTTTGAGCTTTCAGTTTCCACTGAGTCATACGATGAAGTCCACCTATACTCGCTTGGCACATAAGGATCCACGCAAGCTCGGTATGTTGTTTGACCGATGACTGGTGATACAAGATGCATTTTTCAGGGTCGAGTCCTCCGGCCATTATGCTTGCAATTGCCTCATATCTGTACTGGCGGAGTAGCTTGGCGTCCTTGAGACCAGTTAAAGCATGAAGATCGGCCACACCGAAAATATATCGAGAATTTGACGAAGGTGAGTTGGTGAGAGTTTTCCAGTTTTTGATAGCACCCAAGTAATTACCCAAATGGATTCGGCCTGTAGGCTGGATGAGTGAAAATACTGTAGAGTTGGGCGGAACCGTCACGTCGCTCGCTACTGAACTAGACAATGCTCTTCGAAAACATGAAAATCGTTGGTAAGTAACCATTGGTATTCATAAAAAGAATCCAGAATGAGATGCAGGAAAATCGAGACTACAATTTAAGTTGATTAGATCAAATCAGCTACATCTTAATGTTCCTCCTGTGTTCTTGTATTCAGTCATTTCTCCTGTATTCACTTTCTCCGTATTCACGTTCTCCTATTCATTCTCCTTCGGTGCATTATGCGTGAATCCCCCCACTACGTTTTTGGTCTCGATACCTTTGCTCGTTAATCGCCGCTCGAGATGCGACCGTTGTAACTCTCTCCAGCGATTGAGCTTGGAGTATTCATGCAACTTGAAGCCGAACACCTTGGGAGTATACATTTCGGCCGAATGGGTTGGAATGGCCTGCGAAAAGTTTTGAAGAAACATAGCAGGAAACGAAGACCCAAAGTACGCACCGTCAATCACCGAATGCCGGCCTGATTTGGGATTGTACAAGTCCTCGCATTTGCTACAGTACAATTTGACACTGGACACCCGAGGCAGGTCATGGAGACCCACGGGAAGGAGCGGATGAAGCTGGCAGTGAACCCGGGGACAATACCCAAAATCGCCATTTCTATACTTTTCGAACATTTTGTTCAATCCACGAGTCGTGAGAATGTACCGTGCGTGTATGAGGCCGTAGAGGACCCGGGCGTTGTGTTCCAAGGCATCTCTGTGCTCTTCAGGTTGCAGCTCGATGTCTACTAGATCGGTTATGATATCAATGAGGGTGGGAAGTCGACTTACTTCTTGGTTGAGACCGGTAAGATTGAATCTATCACGAATGTATTCGTCGTCTATGTCGCAGAAGTACTCGTTGCCCTTGATTCCAAGAAAAAGGTCAATCCAATAATCGGTGAAATCAGAGCTGGAATCTGATATGTACTCGTCACCCATCGTCTCGTGAGTATATCGTTCTGAAACTGTGGTAAGTCAATCACTGTAAGACACTTGTCTGTATTCACCGGTTTCGCCGTTGTTTACTGAGTTGGAGGGGGTTTTTGGTGCTTGGGTTCAAACGGGGCGTTAATTATCTGTGATGGTTTTCGTTTTCTCACCATCTTCGTTGTCCTGCAGCTAATCCGCGCCATGTCTCATAGCGGTCGCTGGTGCTTCTTGTTGTTCATGAAAGCCATCGTTTTCCCGACGCTATTACATGCGGGGGAAGTTCACACGACAGACATAAGTCTGGATGGTGCCCTCGTCCTAACTGGTGGCTCCGATGGTGCAGTTAGTGTATACAACTATGCCGATTTTATGGCCTTTGACATGTCGAAAACTTGCTCATTGACTCCAGCTAAAACAATTGAGCTTGACTCTACTGTGACCGTGGGCCGTTTTTGCCCAACTGAGCCCACCATAATGGCTGTGGGAACAACTCACGGCAGCATATACTTGGTGGGTGAAAATACTCTCGAATGCATTTTTCCATTGAGTAAATGGAACGTCGCACAATCCACCGACAAAATAAACATTGACCATAGTTCCGAAGCTCCCAATGACAAATCTCCTAAGATAAACCACGATACTGAGAAATTGGCCCTGCACAGCTCAGAAAAAACTCTAGAAATAACCAACTCGACCGACAAAACTGAAAAATCTCCACCCCGCAAACCAAGCCACCGGTCAATATCTACTCCCAACATTCTAGACGTCGCTTGGTCACCGGATGGACGCCTTATAGCATGGATTTCGGCGTTTGAAGTCCATATTCATGACCGCTCGAAAAACACTTATCAGACTCTCATCAGCTCAAAGCCCAACTCTTCTCCGCGAAGTATCGCTTTTGACCCCACATCCAGTTTTTTTGTATGCCTTGGAGATGATACCGTGATCGACATCTACCGGTATCACTACAAAGACGACATGTATCAGTTCAAGCATTTCACAACGAATTCAAGAATGGCCAATGCAGTGCCCAATATAGTCGACTACCGACGAATTTCCTGGTCTCCTGATGGTGAATATGTATCTGTGCCTACAGCAAGCAAAGGCCAAACATCGTTGGTATCTCTAATTTCCCGCTCATCTCAGTGGTCAACCAAGGTTAGTCTTGTTGGTCATGATACTTGTTGCGAAGTGGTCCGCTTCAACCCTACCATTTATGCTTGGGATGGTGGAGAAAAAAGTGATTCACCTCCAGCTGAACAACCAATGGTGCCCAACGCTCAACCTACAAACAATGAATCGAATGACAGTACTGAACAAGACCGACCTCACTACGTTTACAATATCGTGGCCACGGCTGGCTCTGATATGACTTTGAGCATTTGGAACACTATAAAAGAAAAACCACTTTTATTGCTCAAAGATATTGCCAAAAAACCAATATCTGACTTGGTGTGGCATCCAAATGGTCGAAGTTTACTCCAATCGAGCATGGATGGCCATGTCACATTGTACAATTTCGAGGAACATGAATTGGGAAACCCTGCTGAAGAAACTATCAAAAACCAATTGTTGGAGTTTTCCAAAAAAGTCATCCATCCTTTCGAGTATTCTCAGCCAGTAGAAGGGACAAAAAAGACACCAGCTCCTGTTATAATAGACCAAAGGAATGCCACCGAACAGAATTTGAAACCCGACCAAGAACCAGAAAGTATCACTGAAGAGCTTTCTACGACCGAAAATAAAAGCAAAAAGGAGAAGCAAGTTCCGGAAGATGAGGATATTCGTCCTGTGATACTAGAGCCATCAACAAGCACAGACACTTCTCAGCATTCATTTTCAAACGATTCACCCATCATCAAACGTCCTAAGCTAACAAGTCGAGAACCTGCAAAATTGCCAAAGCAAAAAATTAGTACCAAAGATGGCAAGAAAAGAATTCAACCAATGTTGATTTCGCTGACAAACGGGAGTGGCAGTACCACACCATTGAGTACAAATGGCCATGATATGTGGAACAACAATAACACACCATCGTTACCAATGGAGTACGAAAAACCATCATATGCTGTGGCAGATTCTGTGTCCAGAAAACGACCCAAAAATGACGATTCGACTAAAAAGAAGAGAGAGTTAGAACCCATCAAATTTATTGGTTCCCAGCTTCAAAATCCCAACACAGCGTTTGCGGCTATTCGTCTTGCTGTGCCAAAAGTACGGCTCTCGTTTCAAATAGAACAAAACTCATCTGCTTTCCTAGACGTCAAAAATGGTTCTGGAAACGAAAGCACACCAACTCGTATAACCTATTTGAGAAATGACCGGCAATTGTGGACAGACTTTATACCGAGATATATTCTTCTAGCAACCAAAGGCACTAACTTTTGGGCCACTGCTACCGCCGATGGAGAGATATACACCTACCTTCTCGAGTCTGGAAAGCGAATTTTTCCACCTATCGTTTTGGGCTCAGCTATCTCATTCCTCGAGAGCCATGAACAGTTTTTGCTTGCCATAACATCGGTTGGTGAATTGTATGTGTGGGATCTCAATGAAAAGAAAATTGTGTTACATTCTCCCCAATCCATAAAGGCATTGTTGGACTTGAGCTCAAAGTACGAAGAAGACGGGCTCTCAAAGTCAGAAAATATAACGATGTGCTCCGTAACATCGAAAGGAATTCCACTTATCACATTGTCTAGTGGCTCTGGCTATCTTTTCAATAATGATTTGGGCGTGTGGCATATCGTTACAGAATCGTGGTGGGCATTTGGTTCACATTATTGGGACTCATTGGCACAAAATAGGAACCAGCCAGATTCCAAACAGGAGGAGTCTATAATCGCATTGCTTGAGCAAAAGACAAACGAAGAGATTTTGCGCAGATCACGAACCGGACGAGGCAAGTTCATGAACAAAATTTCTAAAAACATGATTATGAAGGAAGGTTTTGAGAACCTTGAAAACTCCATTTCTATAAACCATCTTGAAAACCGTATGCTAGCATCGGAATTGTTAGGAGAGAAGAATGACTTTCATGCGTTCTTTCTTACCTACGTTAGGCGAATCAGTGAGCTTGGTCTAAAGGCCCAATTGCTCGGAATTTGCAGTGAGCTTTATGGACCCGAAGATCTTAAACTGAATGGATGGAAACCGACAATTTGTGAGTGGGATAAACGAGCCTTGCTTAAGGAACTAGTTTTAACGTGCGCAAAATACAGAAATGTGCAACGGATTTTGGTTCATTACGCTGAAAAAATAGGTGTGGTTGCCGAGATGTACGGTTAAAGTAAATATTTACACGATTATAACTTATATACATTGACGGAGCTCCACCCACGCTTACCGAGGAGACCATCAACGGGCCCTTGCTTTCTAGCTTCAAGATCTTTTGGACCCGCAACGTATCCAATATAGCCCTCTGGTCCACAAACCAAAGCGAGAGCAGGATCTTCTTTTTTCATTTTCTTGGTGGCACGAGCTTGCTCAATGGCATTTTCATATCTGATAATGTCCGTCCCGTCGTCTTCATTTGGTTCGTCTTCATTTTCTCCTTCTAGTATTCGCATACGCATTTTAAGAGACTCTTCGGGAGAGAAACTTTGTTGCTCGAGTCTCAATGGACTGAGATAATGCAGCTCGGTGGGTTTTTCTATATCCTTGCTGCTTAAAATACTCTTTTTTTCAGAGTCGTAATGCTTTTTTAACAGTATTCTGTCAATTTGCTCCAAGAAATAGAGGAACCGTTCAAACGGCTCTAGTTCACCAGGTGCTTGCGCCGAGTAATGGATGGTGGTGTGGCCCCTATAGGGATTGCGGGAGAGCAAAACTTGAAGAATTGGAGCAATTCCTGTTCCAGCACCGTAAAATACCAAGTTGTCAAACTTTGGTATGTTTTTCACACTCTCGATTTTTTCACGAAAAGACTCTGCCTCGATCTTGGAGGGTAAATCCTTGAATGTGGGCCTCTGGAAATGCTCCTTGAGTGGGTGGTATGGAAACTTGTAATTGATATGTGGTCCTCGAAGTTCCAACTCATCACCAATGTTGCGACTGGTGATGTAGCGCGATACTTCGCCGTCTTTGTACCGCTTAACATATAAGGTCATGACTCCTTGTTTGTCGTAGTCTTCAGTTTCGTTATCAATGACCTTAAGCAAGGGCTTTTTCTCACCAGACCTCGTGTACTCCGACTTCATAAAGTATAGTGGAAGAGGAGTGTACGATCTCACCACCATGATTTCCGGCTGTTTGATTTCCACCGACCAAATTCTGTCGCCGTTCCATATTGACTTTTCTGCGTAATTGATATGGTAGTTATACTGCCAGTGGTTATACTTTGGCGTCAATTCGACGAGAAAATGGTCATTGTCAATTTGTTCTTTGTGAGTAACGATGAACTTGTGGAAATCCGTTGGGGACAACAATTCCTTACTGTCCGAGCCTTTTTCAGGCAGATATACCCACACTTTCACGGTATAAGCACCCCAGATAACGACAATGGCTGTGAGTATTTTGGGTACGTATCTTGACCATCTGGTGACGGGTTTTATGGGTTTGTGTTCACTGTTCCCAGAATATTTAGTAAAGTCATCTTGGTTGGGAAGTCCCGGATAATCGTAGGTGAGTCTTTCATGCTTAATTTTGGGGATGTAAGGCTTTTTGTTCTTGGAAAGCAAGTTCGAAACCGAATTGGATTGGTCAAATGGCGCTGGAGCTGCCCTGGAAGTGGACGGTTTTATCTTGTTTTCCGAAACCGATTCGTCCTTTTTGGGCTCAATGTCCTTGTTTTCCTTCGAGTAGGACCGTATAATTGACCTGTATATCAACGGACGGTTGGTCGCTTGTCGTATTGAACGTATAGCCAACATCGGTCAGATGTGCGCTCTTGGAAATTTTCGTGAGAAATAGTTTGAGGTAATGAGATTACTATATGGGATCCGTGCCCACCATGACAAAATTTGGAGCGTAAGCTCACATCAGAAGCTACCCTTGCTTGCTACTGGGTCTAGCGACAAAACATCTGCAATTTTCCGGCTTTCTGAGACAGAAAAGTTCCCCAGAGTCACCACTCTCGACGATACTCATACAAGATCGATTCGTTCAGTAATGTTCAAACCTCCGATAGACGATACGGTGGTGGACGAGAACGAACTATTGGACCCTCCGACTCTCGCTATGGGCTCATTTGATGCCAAACTTTCCGTTTGGCAAGCAGAATTGCCCCAAGATAACGATGAAGATATGGACCAAGAACCTCGAGAGATATGGAAACAAGAGCGGAAAGTCGTCGAAAGGGCTGCACAATGGGAACTAATGGCAGTTATAGAGGGACATGAACACGAAGTTAAGGCTGTAGCATGGAATTGTCATGGATCGTTGGTGGCATCTTGTTCTCGTGATAAAACAATTTGGATATGGGAAACTGATCCTGATACTTTGGAAGAATTTGAGTGTATTTCCGTACTCACAGAACACCAGCAGGATGTCAAGCATGTCATATGGCACCCAACCCAAAATCTACTCGCCAGTTCGTCATACGACGACACCATCTGTATATATAGACAAGAGTATGATGACGACGATTGGGGATGTGCAGCTGTACTCAATGGCCACCAAGGAACAGTTTGGTGCTCTGCGTTTGAACATCCAAAAAGCCCTTCGGCTTCTGAAACTACTGTGAGATTGGTTTCTGCTTCTGATGATTTAACTGTGAGAATATGGTCCACTTCAAAAGAAGGTTCTGAAACAAATCATGATGCCCTTCCCAGCTCTATAAAGCTGTCTAATGAGATGCAATGGGACCAGGAGTGTATCTTGCCTTCGGCACACACTTATCCAGTGTATAGTGTGGTTTGGTCGTCGGTTTCTGGTCGCATTGCCAGTGCCGGGGCCGATGGAAAAATTGCCGTTTATAAGCAGACAGACGGAGTTTGGGAGATCGAAGGAGTCACCAGTGCAGCGCACGGAGTCCATGAAATCAACACATTGGCATGGAGCAAACTTGACGACAATAGAGAGGTGCTTGTGAGTGGAGGTGACGATGGCTACGTTAATGTTTGGGAGTAAAAAACATCCTCTTTACATATTGACATATTGCATATCGTGTCATTAGAATATCAACCCTATCAATATAATCAGGCCAAGCACTCCCAACAATATAAGCAAGCAGCAGAACATACGTCCACTAGAACGTCTCTGATACCGTTCAGCTTGTCTCAATTCGTTCAGGGCTCCCCGAGCATTCGTGCTAAAGTTGTAAACATTATTTTCAATGTTATCGATGGAAAACTGCTGTTCGTGAATGATATCTTGAAGGTTGGAAAATATCTCGTTAATGTATGAAGTATCTTGATTGATTTGGTGGATTTCTCGTTCTCTCTCCTGAATCAAAAGCGTTTGCTGCTCTAGCTCCTCGGCGTTGATTGGTTCGTATGTGATTTGTATCTGCTGTGATTCGGTGCTGGGAGTGGGTTCGGATGTAGTCTTTTGATCTACTTGTTCGGGCCTTCCATATTTCTCAACAGCCTTTTTTTGGAGCTGCTCAAACCTCAGTTGTAGGCGTTGGAACAGCTCGAGGCTCTGTTTAATGAGCCTTATAAGGAGCGACTCTTTTTGTCGCAAATACTTTAAAGCGTCGTCATCTTCGTGGTTCAGTTCGCATTCGTTAAGATACGTATTGAGCTTGCTGGTGGTTTCATTGATTCTCTGGAATGATTCGGTGGTTTTCTTGAGAGTACTGGAGATCTTGGATGAGATTTTGTGTGATTTTACGGCTCCGTCTAAAGGTTCTTCTTGCAACAATTCGTCGTATTGTGTCAATAACTTTCGAGCCGCCGAAAGTTGGTTATTATTGACGTTATAAACATTATTGTCGATGGTCTGGGACAACGAATCGAATTCCGGAAAGTCGGTATATGCCGCCGGAGAAGCTTCAAGGTCAGGGGCAGCAAACGACATGTATAAGTTGAGATTAGATAAAATGCGAAAGTGCTAGCCCAATGCAGGAAAATGAGAGTACAAGTTACAGGTGAACGCTATGAATGACAGACAAGTCACAGGTGAACGCTAGGAATGACACAAGTCAAATCAATTCAATTCTATAAGTCTAATAATATCTATATTTCCAGCTCGGCCAAGAACTTTTCACAGTCCAAAGCAGCCATACAACCGGTACCGGCAGAGGTGATGGCTTGTCTGTAACGGTGATCTTGAACATCACCAGCAGCAAACACACCGGGTACAGAGGTCTCGGCAGTGCCTGGGTTGGTCAAGATGTAGCCGTTCTCGTCGGTCTTGACTTGTTCTTGAACAATCTTGGTGGCTGGAGTGTGGCCAATGGCGTAGAACAAACCGTTAACAGCCAAGTCGGATTTTTCCTTTGTCTTGTTGTTGATGATCTCCAAGGCGTTAAGGAGCTTACCGTCACCCTTGGCACTCACACCTTCGGTGTTCCACAAAATTTCCAACTTTTCGTTGGCTTTCACACGCTTTTGCATGATAGTAGATGCACGCAACTCGTCTCTTCTCACCAACATGTAAACCTTGGACCCGTACTTTGTCAAGAACAAAGCCTCTTCACAAGCAGAGTCTCCACCTCCAATGACAGCCAAAGGCTTGTTACGGAAAATTGGAACGGCTCCATCGCAAACAGCACAAGCCGAAATTCCTTGTTGCCAGTAAGTATCTTCTCCAGGGAGATGCATTCTCTTAGCAGAAGCACCCGTGGCAATAATGATAGCATCAGTGGTATTAGGCTCACTGTCTTCATTCCATTCAGTCCAGAACTTGAAAGGACGTTTGGATAAGTCAACCTTGGAAATGGTTTCGGTAATGATTTCGGTTCCGAATCTTTGTGATTGCTTTTTCATTTGCTCCATCAACTCGGTACCTCCAATACCATCGGGGAAACCAGGAAAGTTTTCGATATCGGTAGTAGTAGTTAATTGACCGCCGGCAGCGATTCCGTTGGCCAACATACCCTCGTACAAAGTGGGTTTAATTTCTGCTCTGGCAAGGTAGATGGCGGCGGTATGGGCAGCAGGGCCGGAACCGATGATAGTGACTCTATGGTGGACCATTCTTGAAAATGTAAGGAACTTAATTATGATGGAATTAGATGGAGATGGGTGCTATTTATCATCGCCTCGCGGACGGTGCAGGACGGGTCTAGCCGCGGATATGATTACACAGCGCAATCGTAAGCAAAATCGATGGACCTGGGCCAAGCTGAATAAGCGGAGTGACCATGCAGAAACATAGTCATCGAGAGTGTCACCCAGAGTGGTAAACTCTGTGAATTTCTTTTCCCACACCTTTGTATAGTAGGTAACCACCAGTGGTTAGCGGCTAGCAGGCCACTCACGTAATTGCGACTCGGGAGTTAGGTAAGCCGAGGTTGGAAGGTTTAGCCTAGTACAAATTCTCGAACCACTGTAGACCGCTGCCATCGTGGATTCAACAATACATTTGTCATAAACCATTGTAGTCCCTTGCGGCGCTCCTCGAGCCACGCTAAAGGATTAGTTAGTTTCTGTAAACTCATGGAATCTTTGGGAGGTAAGGGTGGGATTTCGTTGCCAAATTCGTCAAGTAATTTGTTTCGAAATGCTTCCATTTCTCGGTACCGCTTGTACAACACTATGGACAGGTAGATGGAGTCGTTCACAATGATTCGTATGGCCCAAACAACGTAAGATTGGCCATTTTCTCCTTTTATGGTGTGATGTTCACCAACAAGAACATCGCTAATATGAGTGGGTTCCAACTGATTTGGACCATGGTCTTCAAGCTGAATGGGAACCGGGGCCACCTGGTTTAAGCGCATGCTTGTATTTGCTACCATAGGTCGTGGATGTTTGGTGCTGGTTGGTGACAAAGGAGAGCTCGGAGTTTCAAAATATTTGTAATTCTGAATATTTTTTGAAGTGTTTATACTCTAGCACGTCTACAGGGCCCTGCTGTCGATTTTATGTGCTCAGTTATTCTCCGAAGTGGAATATTTTTGTCCTGGCTTACCAGCCTATAAGTGATAACAACCTCTCCTTTTCGCCATTTTCGCATTTTCTCACGCCGCTCGATGGACCCACTAGCCCATAAATACACCTATTTCCAGCGGTTTTGGCATCGCTGGCAGGCCCGCAGAGACATTCCGTTTCGCCGCAAGTTCTTTGTGGGCTACGACTTGTCTGGCAACACTTATTGGGAATTTACTATAGATGGAAACCTAAACAACCTTCGTCGCAAACTTGAACCCTATATCAAACTGCCTTTTGAAGTCGATCATTACCATACTGTACCACCCCAATGGCACCAGTGGCTACGTAGGACACGCCCAAATGCCCCAACCATACAGGAGCTCGTCAATGACCAACTTCGACAGGAAAGAATCAAGATCTTAGCAAAGCAAGCAGACCAGAAGTGGACTCTAGAAAAGCAAAAACAACAGCAAGCATTTGAGTCGCAGCTCCAGCGTGAGCTCCAGAAGGTGCAACAACGTTCTGAGGCTACGAAACTTGCAGAAGATTCCAAGTCGGTGTATCTAAATGATACAATGAACGACAAAGAAAAACCAAAAATTACTGAAGAAACAACCACCAAAAAAGAGCAAGAGACTGATCCATGGAAAGAGGCAGATTCTCAGAAGAGCGACATGACAGCAGCAACTGTGACACCAAAACGATAAACGAAAAAAACAGGTTACCCAAGAATTGCATAGGGATAACCAAGCATTCCATCATTTGTAGATAATATTACCGTCGTATAGCATAAACTCAGACATCTTTGTATTTCGTCTCTTGTATATTCGTCTCATATTTTGTCTCTATTTTGTCTCATTTTGTCTACCCCAGATTCGCACTTCCTCATCGCGATAATCAACTGTACTTGATGGAAATCTCTCTTTCCCTAGAAGAAACGAACAAGCTTCGAAGACAGTTGGGTCTACGAGAGATTCCACAGGGTGATGATTCTGTGTCCACGTTGCAAAACAAGGTTTCTAAAAATGATTTGCTGATTGCGGAAACAAACAAACTTCGAGCGTCCGCTGGACTCAAACCAATACCAGAAACTGACAGTAAAGAGAAAGCTGATGATAATGTAGATACTCGGGTGGAGAGCCGTGGCAGTAAACTTCTAGACAAACTCAAATCTCGAAGGAACGTGGCACATCTCGACGAAAATGAAGAACCAAATGAAAATCACGATATCGTGGTAAATACAGATGATTGGCTCAACAGCTTGGGAAAGGAAGCTACGGATACAACGGAAAGCGATTCGGTACAGAATGTGGTACACAAGGACAAAACCAAAGACGTAAATGAAGTTCTGAGAGATCTGTCTACGCCCATGCTTGATTCAAAGGTACCCCATATTCTTAAAGAAAGCCCGAACCAGGAGGAAAAAGCTTCTCTTTCGGGTATATCCGACACAGCTGAGCCCAGCGAACAGCCTCTGAAAAAGAGAATGGCAATACTGTTGTTTGATGAAGATGAGATACAACCAGAGACTGTGAAAATGAAAAAGATAAAAAAAAAGTCTCTGAAGAATAGAAAGAGAGAACAAACCATGGACCCTTTTGAAGTAAAGCCCGTTGTTCTTGAGCAGTTTGAAGACAACGATGACGATTTTGAAGTTCAGTCGATGATCAACCACAAGCGACGGTTGAAGCAGCAGCAACGAAAGAAACTCACTTCTGAAGAACTCGCGAAGGAGATCAGTCAGCTTGAGCTGTGGGACAGTAAAGATGCCTTGGATCGAGCGTCAGCCTTAGCAACTGCGTCTGGGTTGGTTTTTGACGACACTTCTGAATTTCTAAGTTCATTGAGCACCGAAAAGACAGAAAAGAAAGTTGACACAGCGGAGCCAGAAACTGAAAAGGAGCAAACCCCAAAATCCAACGAGCAACTGGAAGCTCATACAGAACCGTCTGAGCCCATTGAAGAAGGTACTACACCGCGGTTCAATACCGGAATTGCAGCCACTCTCAATTACCTTAAACTGCACTCTGTTTTAGAAACCAAGCAAATACAGCAAGAAGCCAGAGAACAACGAGAAGCAGCCAAAAGAGCAGAAATGACTAAATTGAACATTGAAATTGAGAGTCGTCTTGTTCGTGAGCAACTTGAAAGCGATGGCTCCTACAAGTCTTTACCTAAGGAAGAAAAAGAAACCATTTTTGAAAGATACCTCGATGAAAGACTTCGAGAAAAGGGCCTTTTACAAGTTGCTGAACCCAAACGTAAAAAGAAATACGACCTGTACACCTCCAACAACAATTATCGGCCGCAAGTACAGCTCGTATATAAAGATAAAGACGGCCATGAATTGCTGCAAAAAGAAGCATTCAAGCATTTGTCGCACAAGTTTCACGGCGCAAAGCCGGGAAAGGCCGATAAACATAAGGCAAAGAAAACCGAGCCTTCGGAACGTATACTATAATACTAATATTTCATATCTACTTTTCTCTGATCTTCTCTGATCTTAATCTTCATTTTCCTGCATGCATACGCCGACGTCGGTAGCTGATCAAAAAGATAATGCGATTATAAATTATCAAAAATTAATTTATTTATAGAGCACTTGTGGGCCCCCTAAAAAAAATGAAGGGTGAAACTATATTCCGGATCCAGGGCATGACCTGTGCCGCTTGTTCCGGAGCGGTGGAAGAGGCCATATCTAGTTTGAATGGCGTAGACCTGGTATCCGTTTCTTTGATGACCGAAGAGGCCAAAGTATGGCATGACAAGAATATATGTACGGCCCCAGAAATACGGCAAGCAATAGAGAATTGTGGATTTGAGGCCGATAATGGGAGAATGGGAACACAAGAGCGGTTGATAGAGACTAAACTTTCTATTCAAGGCATGACCTGTGGTTCATGTTCGGCTTCGATAACCGAAGCGTTGGAGAAATTACCAGGCGTGGAAATGGTAGCGGTGTCTCTTGTCACGGAAACTGGGCTTGTGAAACACTCGTCGTCTGTTCTGGTAGACCAAGTTTCGGAAACAATTGAAAACTGTGGTTTCGAAGTGACGGTGGTTGACTCTTCCGCGGCAAGTCTGGGGAATGTTAATACAGTCACCAGTCATTTTAATGTGACTGGAATGACGTGTGCTTCATGTAGTGGATCAATCACGAATGCCTTGGAAGCATTGCCAGGAGTAAATGCCGTGGTGGTGTCGTTACTCACCAACCAAGCAGTGGTTACTCATGAAGGTCTGCTTGACGCCCAGCAGATAATAGACACTATAAGTGATTGTGGGTTTGAAGCAACACTTGCGGGCTCTTCCTCAACAGCAGAAGCAAACGAAGTAGAAGAAGTAGTGCTCCAGATCCACGGTGTCAATGAAACAACCGACCTAAATGCATTCCGCTACAATTTAGAAGCGTTTTTACAAAGTAACGCTGGAGTTATAAGTCATAAATTGGCGCTTGGGAGCGTTGACTCGGATGCCATGAATCATTCATCAGAGAATTCCCACACTATACAAGCACTTCATGCGCCAGACACTGACCATACCCAAGAAGAAGGTATCTTAGTTGACGAGTTATCGGTTACTTATTTACCCTCACAAGTTGGTATTCGTGATCTCGTTGATGGCATAAATTCGTCTTTTCCCGAACTCACATTCACAGTAGTGAATTCTGTTGACCAAGCATGCGCCGCCCAGCTAAAAATGCTTTCTCGTGTCAAAGAGATTCAGTATTGGAAATCAAACTTTATATGGTCTTTATCATTGGGGATTCCAGTTATGATATTCCACCATGTTCAGCACTTGAAACCATTCAATTCCGCCCTCATTTTCCCCGGTCTTTACTGGGTGTCATTGCTTCAAATGGTTCCATCTGCCTATGTTCAGTTCGTGTTGGGACACACGTTTATTCGCAAGCTCATCAAATGCATACGAAGAAAAGGAGGCGCCAATATGGATGTCTTGGTGAGTCTTTCGACCCTCATTTCCTTTTTCTTCTCAGTGTTTGCCCTCTTTTTAAGCGTCTGGTCGGGACAAACTTCTCGTCCTCCACGCTTGCTATTTGACACCAATGTAATGTTGATTTGCTTCATTTCTTTGGGCAAATGCTTGGAAAATAGAGCCAAGGGAGCCACTTCTACAGCACTCTCCAATCTTTTGGAGCTTTCCCCAACAACATGTGTTATCGTTACCGATTTGGCAATGTATGAATCTTGGGCTGCTTCTCACGCTGAAGAGTCCAAGACTGAGGAGATGATAGACTTCCCCACTCGTGAAATCGGCATAGATTTGATCCAACCCAATGATATTGCCGTAGCACTTCCTGGTAGCAAGATCCCTGCGGACGGTATCATACTTTATGGTTCAAGTGAAATTGATGAGTCCATTATTACTGGAGAAAGTATCCCTGTATTCAAGACTAAGGGTGATCCCGTGATTGGTGGATCAATCAATGGTCCCCATCTCATTCATATTCGGGTTCTCAAGACAGGCAAGAAGTCGCAACTTCAACAAATTATCAATTTGGTTCGAGACTCACAGACAACAAAGGCTCCAGTTCAGCGTTTAGCAGATCGTTTGGCATCTCGCTTTGTTCCATGTGTCTTGGCACTTGCATTTCTCACGTTGATGTTTTGGATTTTCACCTGTTATCTGGGCAATGAGTCAAAGCTTCCTAAAGCATTTATGAAAGACGAGAACGGAAAATATTTTGTGTGCTTAAAGTTAGCCATATCCGTGATTGTTGTGGCTTGTCCGTGTGCTCTCGGCTTGGCTGCTCCTACCGCAGTTATGGTTGGAACTGGCGTTGGCGCTTCACATGGTGCCCTCATCAAAGGTGGTGAGGTATTGGAAAACGCCAACAAGATTGGCATTATACTTCTCGACAAAACCGGTACATTGACAACTGGCGACATGACAGTTTCCAAGGCAGTCAAGGAAGACGAGTCGTTGAGCGATGTGGATTATTGGAAACTCGTTGGTACTGTTGAGGGCTCTTCAGAACACCCGTTAGGAAAAGCCATTATGAAATACGCCAGATTACAAGCCGGGCTTAAATTCGAGGAGGACTCTTTCGACACCGTCATGTCGAACTTTGAAGTTCTTACGGGAATGGGTGTGACTGCAGACGTTAAAATTGCAGAGAAAGGCAAGCCTTATTCTATTGCTATTGGTAACCACAGGCTATTGCAAAGTCGGTATCCTGAAATCGAACTTCCTAGTCAGGAAAACGACCACACAAGCAAGGCATATGTAATTATTGACGGCAGGCTCAGCGGATTAATTTCTTTGACCGATAGCTTGAGACACAACGCCAAGGACGTGGTGAATTACTTGCGTTATAATTTGGGCATACAAGTGGGAATAGTTACTGGAGATAACAAATCTTCCGCTTATCACATTGCAAAACAGTTGGACCTTCCTCAGGGAAATGTGTTTGCCGAGGTTCTGGCCATCAACAAAGATAAAGTGGTAGCAAGTATTAAGGAAAAATTCCAGTGTGGGGTTGCGTTTGTGGGAGATGGTATAAACGATGCTCCTGCTTTGGTGAAGGCAGATATTGGAATGGCTATCAGTTCAGGCACAGATGTTGCCATTGATTCTGCCGACATAGTCCTTCTTTCCACCGCAGGAAATACCGACCAAGGCATTGCTGGAATCCCCACTGCCTTGAGTATTTCTCGTTCCACCTTGCGTAAAATCAAGACGAATTTTGGTCTTTCGGTTGTCTACAATGCACTTATGGTTCCCTTTGCCATGGGTCTTTTTCTTCCGTTGAATCTTATGCTTCCTCCCATTGCGGCTGGAGGTGCCATGGCCATGAGTTCGGTAAGTGTTGTGGTGAGTTCACTCATGCTTAAGAGGTGGAAACCGCCAATAATTGCTACCGATAACACAGTTCAGGAAGACCAGTTGTATGGTTTCACCTTACAAGGGTCCACCAGCGACGACTTTAAGCAACTTCAGCGTCTGGGCCGGACAAGAAGATTTGGAAATGGGAAATTCTGGGGAAGAAGGCCAAACACCAATGCGTACGAATTGGTTCCTACTCTGTTTTAACAGAACAAAAAGATTGGGAAAGTGGAATATGACACGATATTTATATATAGATAATAATTAGACCTTTCCTGGTACACGATATGAGGCTTTATAATTTAGTGTTCTTGTATTTTATTGCAGTGGTATTTGGCGAATATGAGCCAATTGGTGAGACTCAATTAACAAATAGTGAGACTCAATTGAGCAAGAGAATTACACCAATTCAAGCTCTTGCGGTCGCCAAGGAAGTTTATGCCGCTATCAAGGAATTGGAAATGCATATAGAAGAAGAAAATGGTGGAGACTTGGTCAAAAGAGATTTAATTGACGATGTTCTCAACCGCATTTTTCTAGCACTCAAGAGGTCGGGATTGGCTGTGGCTATAGTGAAGATGTCACTAGAAGACGACGATGTGAGAGCAGGACTCACGGAAATCACCATTGATCTCCTTGAAGCCGATGTTATACCATACTACGAAATCTTCGAGGCATTGAAAGAGTCAGGACTCGCAGTCGAAGTGGTGAAAAGCACCCTCACCGACCCGGAAACCAGGGAGGGCGCTTTGGAGTTGGCGCGAGAGGTGATCAGATCGCAACTCCCGTCCAATTCTACAATAGTTTAATAAATATAATAGGGTATCACTGTATTACTATCAAAGCACTTACAAAGCCAACAAAGCACCGGCAGCCAAGGCAGCGGCACCAGCAGCGGCGTATTGGTTTCTAGCAGCACCAGCCTCGAAAGAGGTAACGTTAGCTGGAGCAGTGGTGTTTGGAGCAGCCGAGGTGGAGTGAGCTGGGCAGTCAGTGACGGTGGAAGCACAGTCGGTGATGGTGACCAAAGTGGATTGGGTGTCGACCTCAGTGACGGTAGCAGCGGAGGCAGCGGCGGCGAAAAGAGCGATGGCGATGAATTGCATAATTAACGAAAGACTTGAGTTTGGAAAAATACTAAAGAAGAAACCTGCGAACGTCGCTCTTTTATATGCGAGCGAAAAAACATTTGGAGCGGCAAAAGAAATTAGACGGTAGAAGTGATTGCAACCCAAACAAACAAACAAGTTGTGCGCACTGCGTCGCGCCAATAGCACCCTAAAAGGGTAGAAATCATTCCTCTTTGGGTATTCCGCCGCGTGTGGTGCGGCTGTTTGACACCAAGTTTTGTGCGCGTGTGAACGGAAAATGCAGCATGAATGAACGCCTCAAGCTGCTTCACCGTGCGTAAACTGTATCATGGCAGTATTTTGTCGCTTTTGGGCCGGTGGTCAGCGCGGATTTCTACCAAAACAGCCCATTCTGACATTTACGTTAGATCTTAATGGTCGTCTGTATTTTTATGCTATACTTCTAGGGGTGACATTTTTCCGCGCGTACCAGTTAACAAAGTCACGTAGCCCGGTTCGTACTCTTCGATTGTCCTTATTTGGTAGTGCGACCGAAACTATACTTATCAATTTTTGCACCTCTTTTTCGCCAACGTTAGGTAATTGATGAACAACTTGATTCAACCATCCTAATGCTAGGTCGTGGTCTGGAACCACTGTTAATATTTTAAGTAGAAGGTCGCTGGCGTCCTGTTGTAAATCGGCATGGAACCTAAAAATCAATCCCTCCATCACCGCTTTAAGCAATCGTGCACCTCGGTTATCCTCCATCAAGAACCGCTTTACACTATCCTGAATGTGTGGAGGGTTATCTCCCATAAAAGAGATTGGGGGGTGAGGCAAGCCCCATGATACAAAATCTATCTGGAAATGTAGACAGGAAATCAATGGGTCGAATTCCTCGAGTTGGTCCATGGTGTGAATGCTAGTGGTGAGAGTGGTGTTGAGGAATGCGAAATCTGGAATGAGTTCGAGTGGAAAATACATGAGGATATCGTTGAGCATTCGGAAAAAATCCTCGATCAAATCTGGGATCTCCTTGATGTTCGTATATGATCCGGCAATATCAAAGAAACTCGAACATTGGGTCAATGCAAATTGATATACCGCCTTCTTGATATCATCGGTAGTATACTCGTCGCCATATTCTCTCACTAATGATCCAGAAACCCACAAGTAGCATCCATATTTATTCTGCTGGAAACCTCCATGCAACAAGTTGGCTATATCAGCAAGAATTGGATTGAGATAAGTGCTGAACGACTGGATGGCAGATTTGATAAGTTTGGTTAGACGCTCACTAACCTTGAGCGAGCCTCCGAATTTCTGTAGAAGCTGCGATGCTAATGGCCACACATCCTTGATAAATAGAGTACACACCAGGAATGCTGGCTCGTCAAAACCAGGAGCTTTAAGCACTGATACAAATGTAGTTATGATCTCCACTTGGTCTGCAATGAGGACGTTGGCCTTTTCATCCCCAGGTTGAGCTTCTTTCAATACTCTATTGAGATTTTCAACAGTAGGTTTCCAGAACATTTCACAAGTCTGGAACCGGTTTTCTTCAGAAACTTGCAGTATAACATGGCCCAAGCCATCGGCGAGCTCATAGTGTGATTTGAGATCTATCTGGTCCTTAATTTGGCCATACAAGAGATAAAGTTGTTCCAAGTAATTGACCAAAAGCGAAGAACAGTCTTGACAAAAGTACATTAATGCGTGTGAAGCAGCCACCTTGATGTCACTGGTGGTCTCTCCTTTGAATCCAGCAATGATATAGTTAAGTTGTGGTTCCAAGTATTGTGGGTTTTTCGCAGTCCATTCAGTATAGCGACCAAGTACCAAGGTTGCAGCGTATCTGATTTTAGGATGTTCAGGGAGTTGGACCAAGAAACCCATGATAACTGGAAGAATGGTTTTCTCTTTGTTGGACACTTCCTTCGCCATCGTACGCATGGAAAAGAGCGGTGCTTCAATCTGTTGCCATTTAGCATTTTCAGACGAAGATATAGTATTTTGAAGTTGTTGAAATGGAATATTGAGGGCTCTTGTGGCTCCTACTACTGCACAGCAGTCTTTGAGCACGTCACCCATTTCGTAACGGAACTCCTTGAATTTGTCTTCTTGTTCTTTATCGCCTTGAAAGAGGTTAGAATCATCGGCATCTGCTGGGTAGGTCAAGTGAACAATAATGACGGAAATTAACGACTCGTAGATATCTGCAAAAGCCACCTTTGATTCCTTGAACCGAGGAAGCGTCAAGAGCAGTTTAAGGAGGTACCAGAAGTAAAAGGTGTATTTGACCACGTCCAAATCCTGGTTGTAGGCAGTACATTTGAGCAAGATTTCCACCAATTCACGGAAATGGCCAGGGTTTTTCGCAATTAAAACATGCCACGATTCGCCGGCTTCAACATAAAGACGAACAAGTCCATCAAAAGTCTCGGGATCTTCAAGTTTTTCAGGATGCGACGTCATAAATGCATTAAGCTGGAGCACCTGTTGGTACAATGCATCGATCAATTCGTGGTTATCTATGTCGCGAGTTTCACGGAGAATGGTGCAAAGGCACTCCACGGCACGGTCAAAGGTGTCGTCATTGGTTAAAGACTCGAATATTAATGATGTGAGAGGAGTGACAGTCAATATGTCCTCGATGCGGCATTCTTTGATCCAGCTGTTCAAGCAGTCGAGAACGAGCGAGCTTAGGGACTTGTTTGGAGCGAGGTCTGCTAGTACCCGCAACACCCTCTCGACATTATCGGTTATAAGCTCTGAAGTTCGTTGGTTGAACTCGGCATCGGTGAGCGATGTCTTTGCCAGATCCGAAAGTTCTTCTGGCAAAATTCGAAGAACGTCCAAAAGAAACGGAAGAAGCTGTTCCTGCGAAAGAGCCCCAATTATATCAGACACGGTATTATGCCATGCTAAATCTTGAAGTGCTAGTTGAGCAACGGCGATGCTGAGCTGGGTCCGAACCACTTTATGTGACTGCGATGAAAGCATTTGAAGTAAAGATTCACGGAGCTGCGTATAATTGTGTTCCGGGAGCTGGTTCAAGTCGTAGGTGACCTTGGAACGAAGAGTTTGTGCCGCAAAAAGTACCACTTCTAATGAATCGTTGGATGTGAGAATAGTATGGGTGATTTCCCACGCGGCTTCTGACTTTTGAAACTGCTCCAAAAACTTGGAGGCGTTGATTTTGTCGGTCTCATTGGACGCTGAGTACATTGCATGCAACGCCTGCTTGACTTGGTCCATCACGGACGACGACATTGTGGGGACAGATGTAGATGAAATTTTTGAGGTGAGCGGGCTGTCTGCAGGATAAGGCCAATGGCACAAAAGTAGATTTTTTGTGGTCGAGTAAGGTGGGGTATTATCGTGTGGTGTGTGTTTTTCTTCGGGTTTTTCTTTGGCTCTTCGTTTTGTTTCTATAACCTTGAGGGCCCTTTGGTCTACTTTGACATCGTTGCTGAAATGGATAATTGTGGCTTATCTGCAGTCCGTGAATATTTCAAAATCGTCAACAAACGATTAACGTGTTTGAACTACATATAAAATCCAAAATGTCCTTGCGCCCTATTGTTATTTCCGGCCCTTCTGGAACTGGCAAGTCCACCTTGTTGAAAAGGCTTTTGGCTGAGTATCCTGACAAATTTGGATTTTCGGTTTCCCATACAACCAGGTCTCCCAGAGATGGAGAAAAAAATGGCACTGATTATCATTTTGTCACCAAGGAAGAGTTTCAAAAGGAAATAGAAGGCAAAAAATTTGTTGAGTGGGCTCAGTTTTCTGGAAACTACTATGGTACCTCAATTAAGGCAGTGGAGGATGTAGCTTCTACTGGTAAGACATGTATTCTTGACATTGATATGCAAGGAGTTAAATCTGTCAAGGCGTCGCGTCTTAACGCCAGGTACCTTTTCTTGAGTCCTCCGCTGATCGAGGAGTTGCGTTCTCGGTTGGAAGGCCGTGGGACTGAGACGGCTGAGTCTGTGGAAAAGCGTCTTGCGGCTGCCACCGCCGAGATGGAATACGCCCAAACCGGAGCCCACGACAAGATAATAGTGAACGACGACTTGGAGAAGGCGTATGGCGAGTTCAAGGCGTTTGTTTTGGAACAATAGGCATAAAGTAGAGTATCGACATAGACAATTCAGGTCTCACTTGAAGTAGTATTACTTCATACTATCTTATTTAATGGAGTATTTCGAGATCTTTTTCCTCTCTCTCCCATTACTTTCATTTCCTCTTTCTCTTCTCTTCCTTTTATTTTCGATTTTTCATTTCATTTCTTTTCTCTCTTCTTTTCTCTCTTCTTTCCTGTACTTTTGTCTCACCGAATTCAACTTTACCAATCATGTCCAGACTTCCCTCCTCGTTCGAGGGCGGTTCTGAAGAGGAGTATGTGGTTTTCTCTGCACCCCAGAACTTTCCTAGACCTCAATGACTAACCCAGCGAAATGGATATTATTCAAAAGATGGTTTTTAAGTCTAAGCAACAACCGCTCGTTCCCATTGGAGCACTCGCAACTACCGGAGCGATTATTTTAGCTTCCAAATCTATCCGTCGTGGAGACCGGATCAAGACCCAGATCTACTTTCGCTACAGAATCGGGTTCCAACTTCTTACGTTGGTTGCACTTGTTGCTGGTGGTTTGTACTACCAGACAGAAACCGCTCAGCAGAAGCAAACTAGGGAAGAAAAGTTGAGAGACAAGGCCAAACTTCGGGAGAAGCTTTGGATCGAGGAATTGGAGCGGCGGGACGCTGTTATTCAAGAACGGAAAAAGCGGTTGGAGGAAAGCAAGGCCGAGTTGCTCGAGGTTGCGCAGCAGGGATTTGAAGAAGCGAGGGAGACGGAAACAAGAGAGGCTCAATTGAAGAAGGAAGAAATTGAGGAGAAGGAGAACTGAATTGAGGAGAAGAATAAGGTGAGCTGAAGGAGACAGCTCGTTGAAGGAGAGAGCTCAATGAAGAGAAGAGAGACCAAGCAATCATTTCCCATGTACATACTAACTTTTACTAACTTTTTGCAACCAGCTCATCGCCTGTGAGCTCCTTTTGTAATGCAGTAGCCACCACCTTGACATCGGCAGCGTTGTTTCCTGTCACACTTACTCCCATATGTCCAATACGTATATACCGACCAGCGATCTGAGGGTGGATTCCACCAGCCAAATTCACATTGTAGTCTTTGCTAAGTTTTCCCAAAAGACTTGCAATTTGAGTTCCTTGGGGTACGTAGAGTGCTGTCATTCCGTTACACATATCAGCTTTAGATAAGCATACCGACTCGAGATGGGCAACTTGTTGGCGAAACTCCTTTGCAACTTGCTGGTGAGTCTGGAATCTCTTTATAAGCTCAAGAGGAAGTTTCGATTTTGAGTCAATCTTAACGTCCTTGGCATTTTCGACACCAAATATTTCACTTAAGGATGTGTTTAAGGCTCCAACCAATTGAGAGCTTGGAGTCGCAAAGTAGGAAGCAATTCCATTTTCGTAGTTTTTCATAATAGGAAGCCATTTATGGATCAGAACATAGAAAGGCTTCTTTTTCTTTTGTGCAACACTTTGGTCAATGTATCTTTGCGATAAAAACATGATAGACAATCCAGCGGGAGTCGACATGGCCTTTTGAGATGCAGTCAATACAAAGTCAAGACCCCAGTTATCAACCTGGATTTCTTCAACTCCAGCAGAACAAACAGCGTCCACCGCAATGAGTGTTTCTGGGCTCACTTGACGAACAAGCTGAGCAACTTGCTCAATATTGGTGAGCACACCAGTAGAGGTATCGGTATGAGTAAGTGTAATCAACTTGTAATTCAGCAGCTCTAATTCTTTTTTGATCTCATGTAACGGAACGGAAGCACCAACAGCTGCCTCCAAAGTGGTGACATTTCCATCGTTGACATAGTTCGACATACATTCTGCAAAACTGTTACTGAAAAATCCAGTACTGATGCACAAAACTTTTTCCTCGGGCTGAAGTAAATTGGCACCCAAAACATCCCATCCCAATGTTCCTGAACCACTTAAAACCACTGGCTGGCCTCCATGAGTCTTTTGATTGTTTCCAAAAAGTAGTCTTAATTTTTTCAAAACTTCGGAAAAAACACCTACAAATTCAGGACCAGTGTGTGCCTGAGGCGGTTGAGCCATGGCTTCCAAGACCTTGTCTGAGAATTCCACTGGACCAGGTATCATCACGAGTTTATGTGGTGGTTGATTAGATTTAATGGCCGGAGTTACGGTCGCCAGTAAATTGTTCATGGTCACGGATTCCGCCGATTTCGACTCAAAGTAACTATTACGTTCCGCAGGAGACAAGCATGGGAATTCTGGCGCTCTGGACTCGGTGTTACGCTGTAAATGGCCCTGGAGCAAGCTCAAACGCTGGTTGGGTGACATGAAGAAAAAGTCGGAGTCGGAGTTTCTTGTGTGCCATCTCACGTGAATATCGCGAACCCAGATAGGAAATGTGTATTGAGAGCTAGTTATCTGACCCTGCCAACTTGTAGTCGCTGAAGAAACCGTAGACGTCATTCATCATCTCAATGATTCCACTAGTGGAGTCGTTCAGAATCTGGTTGGAATATACCGCCTGGACAGAACTTTGGATTCTAATTAAGCCCTCCGTAGCGACGAGGTCCGCCAAGGTTATAAGTATAGAGGGCGAAAAGTCACAATACCATCGATGATTCCATACAAGAAGCTTAATACAGCATTCAAGAATTTTTTCGTCCAATTGAGTGGCAGACTTGGCGGTGGTATCACGCTTGGATGTCGACTTTGATCTTTCCATTTTGTAGTAGCGAACAAGTTCGCGAGTAGACCTTGCTGAAAACCGGCCACTAAGGGCATTTGCAAACGCTTGTGAGCCTTCTTTGAAGTGCTTCAACCTATAAGCGATCATGCCGAGAATCTCCCACTCGGATGTGGTCTTTTTGTATTCCATTTGTTGGGCCTGGAAGTGCACGTACTCAGCCTGCCACATGGTGTATGCTCTTAAATCTTCGTAAAGTAACATGAAAAGGTTGTCTAACCACCGCTCGCAAAGCCGCTTTTTACGAAACTCGTCATCAGCCTCTTCTTTTGCCGGCGATTTGATCGCAACCGTAGACAGAGTATCTTCAGTCGAACCTTTTCTTGAAGTGCGGTCCTTTCGGTACTCTTCCTCCATCACGAACACTTTAGCACGATACTTGAGAAGGGCTTCCCATCCAGTTTTGCTGACTATATCTGTCAAAAGATCATACGCCTTGGCAAAGGTTGATTTGAGATTGCCTGCTGGGAGATTGGCAAGCTGTGGATCCATGTTTTTTTGTTCAAAGGCTATATCTGCACTCAGAAGATTGGATACTTCATCTAAAACAACATCCAACGGCAGAGGAAGATGAAGGTCCTCGTTACCCCCACGAAGAGGGACAATTCTTTTGAGGAAATACCGTTCCTTATGCGAGTTCATGGGACAGGAGTTCAATGTGAGCAAGGCATTTTCAAAATCGTTGAGTTTTGTGTAGACTGTCACAAGTAATCCCCATGATTTGAAATCGGACGGCAGCGCTTGAACAGCTTGTTTTGCAAGACTGAGGGCTAAATCGTAGCGTTTTTTGTCCAAACAGAATTGCGCCTGGACCACTAATAAGCTTGAATCACGGGGATTAAGAGCGATTCCAGCGTTCATTTCCTGAACAGCCGCTACTTCTTCGTCCTTCATCAACAACACTTTTGCAATAATGGTGACCACCGCGGGCTCAAGGTCGCGAAGGCGCCCCAATACGTCCAAGGCGGTTTCATAGTTTTGCGTGAGATGAACGCATCTTAAGAATCCATCAACTAGATAGTTGGACACAAGTGTAGGTTGGGGAATATCTACATCACATCCAAGTTTGGGCCCGTCCCAGAAGAGTTTTTCAAACCCAGACATGAACAAAGTAAGCACATCGGAGCGGCCAGTGAAAGGATTGACCTTGCGTACTTCGACGAGGCCGCCTGCGCGCGATGGATCTTCTTCGTCGTTGTCGATCAAGCAACGAACTATACTTGTGACAAACGTTTCTGTCCACAATGCTTCGAGGTCATCATCGCTGATCTTGTCGTGGATGAGCTTACCATCATGATTTACCACCAGGGTTTCGTACAGTCCAGGAATGTGCACCTTTACCCGCATATCAACTTTTGAAAATGCATTGAATGCACAATATGTGAGATCTGGAACTTTCCAGTGCTTTTTCTCGCCAAACCAGTACTGGCCCTTGTCACCTATCAATGTGGCAAGGTTTTGAAGCTGGGCGCCAATCGAAGCCGAACTCGAAGTGTCCACTCCAGTGAAGTAGAGAAAGGTTCCAATGTCTGCATTTTTCTTGCTTGTGGGTGAAAACTTGTGGATAGAACAGAGATCGGCAGGTCCGATATCGGTGAACGTGTGGAGGCGAGCTGTACGCTCAATAAGCGAAGAACCGAGGTATTCCTCTTTTGCTCTGATGTTAGTAGCTAAGCGATTTCGCCGAAAACTCAAAGTTTTCATTCCAAAGTTTGAACGATTGATGCTGATAGTGTACACAAGCAGTACCCTTGCTCGGCAATTACATACTCGGGAATTGAAGCCACGGTGGGCTGTATCATATTTGGTGTTGAAGCGTGTTGAGTTTGAACTTTGAGGACACGCCTGCATGGGGCCGGTGCACAGCCTGGTGTGAGGAGGTGGGAACGACAAAGATGAGTGCAAATATGTAGAAGCTAAGAAGACTTTGAGGACATTTTCTGACTTTTGTTGGTGTTACTGTGGATTATGACTGACTTGTGAGGTTGGGTTTTCTCTTTTTTTAGGTTATTTTGATTGGAATCTAATTTTAGTGATTTGTGTCGAATAAGTCATATCAGTCTTTTGGTATACTATAAATGGTAGTTCCAGGAATCTAAGGTGGTTTATAATCGAGACGATTATCCATAACGACTCAATTCCGTTACTTATGTAAAATAATTGACTTTCTCCAAATTTGCAAGAAATGAAAAATTCGCAACCATTGCTGATATAACCAACATATTTTACGTTTATAATATACATAGTTCTAGTTCACAGATGCCCAACCTTACCAGCATCGCAGTCGCGGTCGTGGCATAAAGAAAAACTGACCACAACTTTGCACCAATTGCAAGACTAATTGTCGTTGTATATGGTAACAATAACCAACTCATTATTTCATTGTTAACTTTCACTTTTCGTCACTTCTTTCACATTTCATCCTTCATATACTACTTTGTGCCCGATCACAGTCAGTTTCCTTTCGTCACTTCTCTTCGTCAACTTCTCTGCCCTTATTGTAACTTAGCTACGCATCTTTTTCGACGGTTGTTCGTCCTCCTCCAAGTCAGTAAAGTCACGAGCAGTGAGACAGTACTTTTCTGGCGGCAAGTTCAAACCCCATTTAGGGGGTACTTGTGGAAGAGGTTTAGAATTTCTTTCATGAGCCAACTCCAACATAAGTTCCTTTGGTGGAGTTGGTTTAAACTGGTAGTTTGTACGAGCAGCAATTGCGAGTCGAATATCGTCTGTGCTGACGGTGGCACTCGAATTTCCAGAACCGCCTTTGGCATGGTCGTTATACACCAAAGCGTCCTTCAACACCGATGTGGTATACCGGTGTGCAAAGTCCATTAATTGCAAAGGAACATGGTCCTGGTAGCTCAGAACGCCCTGGGTTGCGAAGATGAGATGGAGAAGACGCACGTCCCTGGGTACTGCCAGAGATGATTCTGGCTTGCTCATGGCGACAGAACGACAGTCGCAAAACGTTGGTGAGAAATGAAACTTCGCGTGGTGGTTGGGTGCCCGACATTGCAGTCAAATGCAGCGACTTGAAGTAATAAGCCTTGTTTAACTATGTCAGTGGTAGAAAGGGATGATGATATGGTTGTTGAACCTCCAGAGGGCCAATATCAAACAATTGAACCGTTTCGTTTTTTGGATACTTCGGGATCTGATAATTGTGTGTTGATTTTACTAAATCAATCGTTTGCAAAAATGAACTTGATAAGGTTTTGGAATGCCACCGAGCTTCATATATGTGCTGACGGCGGTGCCAATCGTCTCTATGACTTTTTCAGTGATAGTACCCGTGACAGTTATATTCCTGAGTTTATAACGGGAGATTTTGATTCCATCCGTGATGAAGTGAAGGAGTACTATGCTTCAAAAGGCTCACGAATAATCGAGCAGTCTACTCAATACGCCACAGATTTTATGAAAGCAGTAACTATAGCTCAGATATGGTATGGGCTGGCGGATTTGAAGCAAACTTTGCTCAATTCGAGCAACACCATTGACTCTCACGATGGCCTTGTTCGGCTTGTTGAAAAGATCAAAAAAGACCAGAGCCTTCTTCCCGTTCATTTGTACATTTTGAGTGCATTGGGCGGCAGATTTGACCAAACCATACACTCAATAAGCCAGCTATATAAGCTCAACGAGACTGATCTGCATTTACGACTATTATTTATTACTGAGTACGATGTGGTATTCGTTTTAAGTCGTGGTGCCAATTTCGTTTCCTACAAGTCAAAATCAGTGTTTTCGTCGTCTCTGGTTCCTACATGTGGACTTTTACCTCTTGGAAGCTCGCAAGTTACAATCAATTCATATGGACTCAAGTACGATGTTTACGATTGGGAAAGCAGCATGACAACTCAAGTGAGTTCCAGCAATGGTCTCTCTGGAACAAAAGGAGTAGTTGTGAGAATACTGGACCCATTGGTGATGAACATTGAAATCGACTCTAGTCGAGTGACTGCGGAAAATAGCTCAGAAACTTAGGTTCAAGAACTAGTTGTTGAGCAGGTTTGCTGCTTACTCTCAATTGAGTTTGAACTAGCCAAAATTATGATCTAATACTGAAAATTTCCAAGAGTGAAAATCAACGTCACGCATAGGCTGCAATCGCATAGCAATTTTGACAAACTAATTAAACTGTAAAGAACCAAACAATGGAAATTAGGACAAACGGTAGCATTGTGCCGATTGACGAACTCGAGCCGTGAACTCGAACTTGATAAGCTCAAGCAGTAAGTCCCAATTTGCAACTGGAGTGGTCACGTGCCGTCTTTCTCAATCGAAATGGAAATTTTGTTGGAGACCGAGTAATGCTAGCAAGGCTGATTCTAGGCCCACTCCGGGCGTTGAGACCGATGGCATGGAGAACCGGGGTGAGAAATGCCCATACTTCCATGATCAGTAGCATGCTTCCGAAACCTTTTATGCCAGCATTCAGGGAAGTTCAAAAACCCGTAGCGAAGATTGCATCATCCAGCACATTTTCCATTGTAAATGAGGTTGATATGGGAGTATGGCACGAGCCAGAAGACAACACTATGTATATGGATTCGGTGTTGCGGAAAAGACGATTGAAAATGAAAAAGCACAAGTTGAGAAAGAGAAGAAGAGCCCAGCGATCGTTGAAGAAGAGGTTAGGAAAATTGTAAGAATGTAAATAGGAATAGACAGAAGAGGAGGCAAGTGTAGGACATAAAAGATGAGGGTACTTTTATTGGAAACTGGTCAAGTTTAATTCGTTGAAGCAGACTGGAATCAATGGCTTCAGAGAAGTAGTTTCAACTTCTTTTTTCCACAGTTTATTACAATCTACTCTTCATTCAACTCTGCTCTCATTCTGCTCTGACTCTCAACTTCAGCTTCACAACTCAATTCATTTTTATTTTCACTCCATTTTCCATTTTCCATTTTCCATTCTTCTCACTCTCACTCACTCATCGCTCATTATGTCCACCATAACTTTTGTCACAGGAAATGCCAACAAGCTCAAAGAAGTAGTGGCCATTCTCGCCACTGGGGACTCCCCAGATGGGGCCAAGGTGGGAAAGTACCTTATAACAAACAAATCTCTTGATTTGGACGAACTTCAAGGCTCCATCGAAGAAGTCACCATCCACAAAGCCAAGTCAGCAGCAGAGATTTTGAACGGACCAGTGTTGGTAGAGGATACCTGTTTGGGATTCGATGCTTTTAATGATTTACCAGGACCATATATCAAGTGGTTTGTAAAAAGTATTGGACTTCAAGGTTTGGTAGACATGCTTTATAAATTTGACGATAAAGGTGCCAAGGCTATATGTACATTTGGATACTGTGCGGGACCCGGAGAGAAGGTGGAGTTGTTCCAAGGAATTACCCATGGCCGTATAGTAGATAGTAGGGGACCTACGAACTTTGGATGGGATTCGGTGTTTGAACCCGATGGGTTTGACAAGACTTATGCTGAGCTTGATAAAAGCGTGAAAAATGGAATCAGCCATAGGTACAAGGCGCTTACCAAAGTGAGGGAGTACCTTGTTAATAATTGACATAGATCTAGACAAACTATACACTTCCAAACCGCTTCCATCTTCCTTATCACTATTCCTTCATCACTCTCCATCACTTCCTACCTCCTTCCTCCTTCTTTACAGAAATATCTCCTTGATTTTCAGCATAAACCCCTTCTTGTGGTCCACCCGCTTCTTTCCCCGGCTGGTGACAGCCATGAGATTGGGAGGGTCGTTCAGTCCTCCTGACCTCTGACTGGTACCCGATTTGGTGTGGGAAATAACATTGCCAAAACCACCACGGCCAACAGAAAATGACCGGTTTGATGCTTGGGTGTAAAGTTCATTCTCCTTGGGACTCACCTGGTGCTCTACGTCCTGAAGCTTTCTTGTAAGCTCGGGGTTATCGTTGCTGACCATGTTGCCGTACCCTCCGCGGCCAGTGGTCACTTTGTTGGTGTGGAGCTGTGGAGTATTGCTTCCTTGAGGAACTAGTTTCGGCGACGGAGCATCTTCAGAAGTAGTGATGTTGCCAGCTCCTCCTCGGCCCGTAGACACATAATGCTTGTTGTCATGCTTACTGTGGGGTTGGGGTTGTGGGTGACCGTTCTGGGCATCGTTGGAGCTATTTGAAGGTGAGATAACTTTCAGAGATTCGCCGGCGCTGTGGAAGTTACCGGCGCCTCCTCTACCTGTAGAATACGGCATGTTTTGATATGTGGCGGCTTCAACACTAAAAGTACCGGTTGTTCGACTTTGGATTTCTTGGTACGGGGCGTCACGTGAGCTACGTTCGATTAGGCAGGCGTTTTCTTGGCTCTATTGATAACCTCGACAAGGCGTGTGGAAGTGCGGCGAGTGCGCGCTCGAGTCTTGGCTTTGTCGTGGACAGCGATTGGGTGCGACCCAACTTGAGTGAGCTGCGGATCTGCGAGTACCGTTTTTTGAGCACGATTGTGTAGATGCTGTTGCGGCGGTTGTCAGAAACTAATGTTTGTGGTTCCACCTTTGGTTGCACTTGCTTCTTGCTTTCTAGCTTTATTCTTGGCGGTGGTGGCGGTGCGTAGGCAGGCTCAAAGAGCAGACTCCGTTTGAGATCAAGCGATAAATACGAAGAACTTTTGACCAAACTGGCTGTGTCAACTATCGATTCCGAATCGAGTGCGTTGATTACCTCGTCGAATTCTTCACTTGTAGCCACTAAAGGAAGTGGCAAGGGCTCGTAGATCTCAAGACTTGTTATTTCTGGCGACTGGTCCATGATGAGGGTTTTTTGGGGCTGCCTATAAAGTATTAAATGTGTACGTGACTGGCTGCAAAATGAGACGTCATATCAGCGGCTGCAGGACCGCTGATCGCGAATAATTCCACACCAATCATGAAAAATCAAATTGAAACTTTGAATGAAGATTATTCAAGTTTGGAGTGACTAGTAGTCTGGAGTAACCAGTGGCTTTCAGCTTCATTGTTGTCATATTTTCTGCTTATTATCTCCTTATCGTCTTGCCAGCCGCTAGCTTCGCACCTGTTATTGAGCTCTTTTCCTGCACAGAGACACACAAATAAGAACCACACAAACTACACGCGATCCAAACAAGTATGTCTCAATCTATAGCTTTAGGGTCCCAAGACCTAGAGTTCCTTACGGCGCAGCGACAGATCGAGGAGACGCAGCTCGCAGATGGCACTCATGTCGAAAACCCATTGGTGGTAAACGAGGAAATTAACTTCAAAAAAGAAGAATTCGCAAAACTCAAGTTTCAGTATTTGGAGCAAGAAACAAGAGAAAAGTTCCTCCGAGCGATCTTGTCTTCGCCTCCGTTGTACGTTGAGCAGAAAGACATTGACGAGTACGAGACACAAAACAGGGAAAAAAAGGCAGAACTCAAGTCTCACAAGACTTCTTTGAATACTACTATACAAAATATCCAGGAAAAGAACTCGCAAAATGTTTCCTTGTACCACGATCTTCAGGTCAAACTCAACGATACAGACGAAATATTAAAAGAAATCTCAGAAATGGAGTCTTCTTTGCGTTCTCTTTTCCCGAAGGATCCTCAGTTGGTTGACGCCATGCTCCAGCCAGACGTGGGTGATGACAATCTCTTCAATATAGGTAGCAGCGCTCAACAAAAGCTTGCGCGTGTCCAAAGCGAACAAGCGCGTGTCGAAGCTCTCCTAAGTGCCAGAAAACAAGCTCAACGTGATCGTCAAGATGAAATAAGTAAATTATCCCAACAGCTCGAAATGGTTCATCATGATATCGATGCAGCATCGAAATCTACTACGACTAAACAAGACCCACAGCAGTCTCGCGCTCAGTGGATAAAGCAGATGACAGAGATATTACAGGAAACTGGTATAAAGTTGGAAGTTACTCAGAGCCAAGAAGGTAGGTACAAAATCAAAGCATCTACTGACAAAAAGAACATTGAGACAGAACTTGATGCTACGGAATTAGATGGAAAGGCAGTATCGCACCTTTATCAAGATATCATGGGCTAAACATTTATTCGTCTTTCTTTAGCGGATCAACTACTGATGCAATTGACGATGCCGCTGAAAGTAACTTGCGCAACACCCAAATCAAACCCACACCTAGGGCCAATAATGTTGCGATAATGACAACATACATGTTGCCTATGTTAGCATTTGGGATCTCCACAGATACCGTGGTCTTGTCCATGGGGATATGGTAGTATACTGTGTCATTAGTGAAGAATCGTTCGTAGTGGCCTCCCAAGGGAAGTTTGTTATCAAATGGCGACGCTGATAACAAATTAGCATCTTTTACGTCACAAGCAAGGAACAAGCGAGGCGCACTGATTTCCACTTTTGTTTTCAACTGGTAAGCTGGCAATTGGTAGCGTGAATGGAGATCGAACGTAACACCAGTTTTGTTGTCGATTTTGAACAAAAGCTCGTTACCCCATTCCCGTATTTCGTATTCGGGTAACTCGAGGTTGGTGGGCCCGAAATTCAACGCTACTGAAACTCCTGGTGAAAGGTTGTTCTTGTCAACGAAGAGGGATTTGTCAAGACTCAAGTACCCGTACAAACCACATCTTTCCACATCCTCGTCGCTGGCAACTTCGGGAATATTATTGAGGGTGCTTTGCAACAATGGATGAAGTCCATTGGGCTCAACTGACACAAAATGTTGTGCAGTAGAGAGTTGTCTGTGACGAGGCTTGATATGGAATAGAGTCTTGTGAACATTTTTTTCGTCATCATCATTAAACACGACCCTGAAACCTGTCAAGGCCAAATCATCATAGGTACTTATTCCTGGTTCCACTTTGAAAACACCAATCTCTTGATTGTCTGACGACTTTCTGAATTTTGCACCTCCATGAGCGTCTTTTAAGGTCTTGATTGTGACCTCATTGTCGGTGAAGTATAGGTCCAAGTTAGACCAAGGCTCCAGAAAGTTGCCAACAAGCGAAGAAAGGTATTTGGTGGTTGCATCCATATCTACTTTTGGCAGGTAAAAGTAGAATGAGTTGGTGGAAAGAATCCATTCGTGGTCCACTGACAATCCTAGCTGACTAGCGAACTCGCTGGCCTCATCAAAAAACTCCTGCTTGCTGGCGCCATCGAGATTTTTTGGATAGATGTAGATACTGGTTCCAGGCTGATAGTAATAATTGAATATGGAGCCCTCGGAAGGTTTAGTTATCGAGTGTATTCTCATCGACCGGATATACTTGAATCCGGGGTGGGGCATAATGTGTCTGTCTTCGCGGGTAGCTTGGTCAAATTGGAGGGTCAATTCCTTTGAGTTGACATTTTCTATTGATTCCTCGACGTCAACGTCGGTATGGAGGTACAATGTCGTACGATGGCGTGCCATTTCTTGTTGGTCGATTATCGCAACCGGTGTGCTGAAACGAACAGCTCTACATCTAAACACCCACTAATAGCGATATGCATTTCATGTTTATGTAGTTTTCCAAATCTTTCCTTGATAGTGCTTGGCAAATGCTAAAGGATCCTCCACCTTGCCGTCTTTAGGTATCTCTTCTGTCAGAGCAAAGGATTTGATTGGAAGAACAAGAATGTCACTCACTAGTTTGGGAACTTGCAAGTCGTGGAATTCTTTCCATGTGATTTCATGATAAATAGACGATTGAATGTAGTCATTGAAGTAACCAAGGATGGTGTCTGTCCATCTGCCTGTACCGGTCCATTGGCTGATAGCCAAACCTTTTTGGTTCGAGCTTCCTTCGACTTTGAGAGTATCCTTCCGTTTTCTTTCTTGGGTATGCTGGACAATATTGGAGATGATTTCTCTAAGAACTGGATGGCCCGGTTTACATTGTATAATCGCCTGGCTGAACTCTAGTCTTCTGGCTGCTTCTTCACGCCAACGGGGCAGGTTTGAGTCCAAACCAATAGCAGCAATGATACCTATCTCGTCTGCCCCCACGTTTTCTGGGATCCAATTTGGAATCGGCTGCAATGGATAGGTATCAATGTCGGCATAAACACCTCCCTTGGCAAAAAGTATTAGATAGCGGAAAAAATCCATTCTCAAAATCACCTCTGGAAGCGCCTCGTATGCGTCGATAATTTCTGGAATTGCCTGAAAGTGGTGCCTGACCACGGCGTAGGAGGTATCGTCGTTGAAAAGTTCGTGGACAAACCCGGGATTTTTCATTGCCCATTGCGTTTCTCCCTCACGATACTTTTCATCAAATCTTTCGTCATTGAGCCCATGTTTCCAGGTCTGCCAAATATACGCCGGGAACCTCACCGAGGGGTCGTATGGATAAAGATGTGCCAATTTTTCCCGGATCGTTGCCGATGGTGGAGGTGATCGGAGAAGTCGTATTTGTCGCAACAACTCGGCGTTTTGTTTTTCCAACAGCAGGAGTCTGGCGTCCTGATCGCTGGTGAGCTTTCTAGTGAGCTTTTCAAGACGCGCCACAAGCTCTTCTTGAGATTTTTCCGACTGAGACGAAAGCAAAGAGAAGAGAGAGTTGTCATTTTTGAGGTTGAGCGAAGGTTTTGAGCGAGAAAATGCAACAATTCCCACCGCCAGGAGGACGATGAGAGCTAGTATAGCCAAAGTGACCAGCCTCCTCCTTGAATTTTTCATGAAAGTGCCCGCGAGTTTGACGTGATTTACACCAAAAAAAACTAACGCTGTGGAAGCGCACGTTGGTGTGCAGGAAACAAAATGTTTACCAGTGCGGCTAGTCAATTTTCATTTTGAGGTAATCATGAAACTTTACGGCGGTGCTGTTTCAGTCGACTTGCCACCAGCTGTCGATGTCCTGAAGTTCCGCCAGGTGCCGGACACTCAGGAAGTGTTTATATTTGAAGGCGAAACAAAAGATACTGATGTAAATATAATCTTTGACCTTTTGGAGATGGTGCCCGAGAAAATTGAAAATGCCATCAAGGTCCATGTTTCCGATATATTGGACCATGTGGACACCATTGAGACCATGGAATCGACTGGCGATGTCCATTTGTTTCTTGTGGCATCACAACAAAACAAACTTCTTACGATTGTGGGACTCATTAGACTCTCCAAAGTAGAGACCGATGTGTTGGTTACTATGAATATTCCGCTCACAAGTAGCGAACAAGAAAAACTAGAGCAAAGCAATGTTAAAGAATTGGTCACAGGTCACATTAAAAATCATTATGTCACTATAAAGCAAGCATGCAAAAGCTTCAAGGTTGAAGATTGGGGATTATTCGGTTCATAAAGTATATGCCTTTTTTTGCATGGCTCCTTTGAAGTCTTGAAGCTTATTTGTAGGTACGGTTGTATTACTCAACTTTGGTGGCAGCGTGAGACGTGAAAATTGGGGGATTATATTGCTTGTTAATGCCAAACTCAATGCAACACTGATGGATACAGTGGATCCAGTAAGGTAGTAATGGAGATTCTCAGCAGACTTCATCAAGAAGGAGGGTACTTTGAACACAAACCAGTATGCTCCAAGCAACAAGAGCACTAAAGAAATGGAATTGAATATAATACTTTCATTTCTGGTAAGCACTGGAAGTGGAAAACTGTAATAATAAAGCTGATAAGCTCTCTTCAATTTGTAGTGACAGGAGGATAAAACGAGCATACCGATATAATTCAAATTGCTCGCAAGTCAGCCGTTTATATGCATTGAATTTACTGAGCACGGCATATTCGGAATTTTCGGGTACTCAAAACGTCAAGTATCTGGCCACATGCGCAAAACAAGAAATGATAAATTTTAGTTGTACCCCAGTGGACCGGATGATCAGGGATATAATCGTTTATCATGGGCTTTCAATAGCCACCAGAACCGCCATTTTCATTCGGTTTTCATTTATTGGACCTGGAAGGAAGTGTCTCACTCCTGTATATGGATCCGTCGGATTTCCCCGTTTGGGCCATTTAGGGACAGGGCTTCCAACGTTGCTTCCGATTGTTCGCTCAAAACCAAAATAAACTTGCAGAATGAGTAGAAAATCTGGAAGTCGCAGCCATGCACCCACTGTATACGGGTGGCCTCGATTGCGAAAATATTGCTCACTGTAGGTGGAACTTTTTCTCGGCGTGAAGATGCTCGGCGAAATTTGCGGGTCCAGAAAGGTACAGTAGTACGTACAACAAGTTTTTCACACGATAACTGCAAATTGCATGCCAATTGAGGGTAGTACTTTTCAATTGCAGCCAATTCTTTTTCGAGTTTCCGAACAATGTCGTGGTGAACTTTCTTTATATCGAGCTTTACAGTGTAGATGGCTTTGCCTGCCGGCCACCTCCACCAATGAGTTGACCATGCAACGACCCATCTACTGGTGGAACTTCCGGGGGTTTGGAGCTTGTCGATTCGAAATTGCGTGATCTTTTTGGCCGCTTTAGCCTCGTTTAATGCCGATTCAACCTTAAAACAATTGCTTCTTATGCCGATTTGAGACAGAAACCAGCACGTTTTGACTGTTTCCGGTTTTTCCTTTGCAAGCTTAATGCTATCATCCAAAAGGTCTTTGATAAACTGGACTTCTCCCCCTTCGTAAAACATCTCCGAATGGCTACTCAAAAGCTCGTTTGGTTTCAGATTCTTGAATTTGCTTCTCTCGTACAAGTCGTCACTATTAGCGTAGAATGGAGGATTGCACATGGTATACCTAATTTGTTCATCAACACGGGGAAACTTTGGCCGAGATGTACTACCCAAAATGCATATTCTGTTTTCAATGTTGTTCTCCTTGACAATTTTTTGGGCCCATGTTATTGACTCCGGATCAATTTCAGTGCCAATAAAGCGAAGCTCTGGGATGCCGACTAACACCCAATAATGGATATATAGCACTAGAACCTGTTCCAATGTCAATAACCAATTGGGCAGTTTCAAATTCGCTTATTACACTTGCTGCTCCTTCACACCAGTTTAAATAGGATAATCGGTTGGGAATTCGAGGACACAATTTTCTGCGATCAAGACTCACTTTTAGGCCACAATAGGTATTCAAGTAGGCTTCAGCTATCAAGCACTGGCCCTCTGTAGTGCTGAAATCGTAAGAACCATCGCGATAGTATGGGTTGAGTTGCGGATTTTGGGCAACTAAGTGGTTCAAGTCCATGCTGAAATTTCGATGGAGCGATTATGTAAGTCAGTGTGGTTGTGGATGAAGAGATTCTACCAACGACAGAACCATCTCTTTTTGTGGTGGTAACTCACAAATGAATTGTTGTAAGCTTTCCAATGCAATTTTCAGAACCTGTAGCTTTTCGGTTTTGAATGGCTTTTTTGCAGCCATCATAATGTCGTTGATGGTGGTAGTGGATAAAGACTGCAAGATTTTGACTTTCGGTAGTTTTAACATGTAAAAGAAGGAAACTGAAATCAACTTTGCAATCACGAGCGATCCTGAATCATTTTGGTTGCTGAATTTGTTGCAAAGTATTTGTAGTCGAGCCACAATTCTGTCGTCTGGTACCACTGAATGTGACTTTATATTACGGCAGATTGCTACCAAGCACTCTAGAAGCATTTGATTAGCGGCTTCTATAGGTTTTCCACGCTTCACTACCAAACCTTCCAAGAACTCCTTGATGTCGTCACGACGTCGCTGGAGCAGTCCAAGGATACGCATATCGAAATCTGCTTTAGAGTGGGTTTCAACAGACTCGTAATCATGGGTATCACTGATCATTTGTGACTGTTCTGTAGCCACGTCGAAGATTCTGTCTGCGAGAAAGCTGCGGGTGTCGCCGTACGTTCTGTGACCGGAAACTGAACGGATAGGAGTGGACGGAGACAGTATTTGAGCCTCTTTTGAATTTGGTAGTTTTTTCAAAATGGTGGCTTTGGTCTCAACTGGAACACACATGGACTGTACCAATGCTTTGATATCTATTGGAAGGGAATTTTGGTCAGATATTTTATCGGTAAGCTGTCTGGTCATAGGAGACTTGGGTTCAATTGTGCCGAACAAGTCGTCCCAAGCACTCACTTCTTTTGAAGAACGTGAATTCTTGATCTCTTCTTTTGCTGAAAGCTCCTCTTTTGTCACCGTTTCTTTTGGCTCCTTGGTCTCTATTTGTTTTTCTTCATTTCTTATGGGTGAAGTTGGAGGAGTATACTCACCTTTAGAACGAGAGAATTTTGTAGGACTGGAGCTGAACACGTCAACGACTCTTTCGGTTCTTGTTGGAGACTCTAGTATCACATTCGTGACTCTTTCGACTTTATTTCGTTGACTTTGACGCGAATACGTTGCGTTTATTGTAGTTCCAAAGTCGATTTTAAGTGGCTGTATTGTCGTCCAAGACGAGTCTGACTTCTCTTCTTCTTCGTCAGAAAACTCCTCTGTATATATACGTTTTCTACGACCATAGCACCCGCCGGGCATAATAAGCTAGAATAATTTCACATTGTACGCGACATAGTTATGAAAATGGAAATTGTGAGGTTTCGCGAAATTTTGTAGAATTGCAAAATGAGAACGAGACAGGAAAAGTACCAAAAAGGAAAATTAAATTTTTAAATAATAAGAAAACGAGAAAAAGAGACAATCGAGATAACTTTGGCCACTACAACCCTTCTGAATCAATGTTTTTTTTTCCCTCTCCTCCTTTTCTTTCCCAATACCCTTCTTTATTTCCTCCTCCACTGCACGTGACCGCGCCTGAGATTCAAAAACCGTCCGCGCCAGCATTACTTACATGTCTCTTGAAAAGAAGATCCTTAGTTTCCTCAAGGGCCCGAAGAAGGGAGAAACCTTCGAATTGAAGTCCGGACTCGTGTCTCAGTACAAGCATGAGCGAAAAGATGCCATTCAAAGGGTGATCCAGGCAATGACAGTGGGCAAGGATGTGTCGCTGTTGTTTCCCGACGTTCTAAAAAACATTGCTACCTATGATTTGGAGCAGAAAAAACTCGTGTATCTCTATCTCATGAACTATGCCAAGTCTCATCCGGAACTATGTATCTTGGCTGTGAATACATTTATTCAGGATACCGAAGATCCTAACCCATTAATCAGGGCGTTGGCGATACGGACAATGGGATGTATTCGTGTGGACAAAATGGTCGATTACATGGAAATACCGCTTTCGAAGACTCTTGCCGACGACAATCCATACGTGCGGAAAACAGCCGCCATTTGTGTTGCAAAGTTGTTTGATTTGAACCCTCAAGTATGTGTTGAATTTGGATTTGTGGACGAGTTGAAGAAATTGATCAACGATCCCAACCCAATGGTTGTAGCCAACTCTCTCAACTCCTTGTATGAGATCAGAGACATGAATTCGGACCCCAACTTGAACGTGTTGGACATAACTCCAGAGATCATCAAGAACCTCCTCATGTGCTTGAACGAGTGCACAGAGTGGGGTCGTATTACGGTACTTACCACGTTAAACGAGTACGAGGCGCCAACTCCAGCGGAAGCTGGTCATATCATCGAGCGGGTTGTACCGCAATTGCAGCATGTAAATCCCTCCGTGGTGTTGACATCTATCAAGACGATTCTTCGCCACGTTGACAAAGTGCCGCTGAAACCTGCTATTCTTAAAAAGCTTTCTGCTCCTTTGGTTTCTCTCGTGTCGTCATCTATTCCAGAGGCACAGTACGTCGGTATGAAGAACATTCGCATCATCCTCGAAAAACATCCCCAGATTCTCTCCAAGGAACTTCGAGTATTTTTCATCAAGTACTCCGATCCGTTGTACCTCAAGTTGGAGAAACTTGAAATTATGGTTCGCCTTGCTAACGATTCCAATGCTGGACTTTTACTCGGTGAACTCAAAGAGTATGCCATGGAATTCGAACCCACTCTCGTCACCAAGGCTATAAAGTCGGTGGGTTCGGTCGCAATCAAACTCAGCGTGTGTGTGGTGAAAGCCGTCAATCTTTTGTGTACTTTGATCGACCAGCGAGGCGGAGATTTGGTCATAAACGAGGCAGTGGTTGCATTGACAAACATTCTTAGACGATACCCTGGAAAGAACGACTTGATCACACTCATAGTGCCGGTCATTTCCAACCATGTCGAAGACCTCACCACCTCCGAAGCCCTTGCTGGCTACATATGGCTCATTGGTGAGTACCCAAAGTATTTTTCACAACTTCACTCCAAGGTGGATGCACTCGTGGATGGATTCCTCGAGTACGAATCGCAATTACAATTGAACATTCTCACGTCTGTGGTGAAGATTAATCTCTCTACGAACGACTCTAGTTACTCCAACCAACTTCAAAAGGTGCTAGAATTAGCCACCAAAGAATGTGAAAATGCCGACGTCAGAGACAAAGCATACATTTACTGGAGATTACTTTCATCTTCATCGACGGATGCCCAGCAAAAGGTCATTATGGCCAAATTGCCTCGTATTGATACCACAATAGCGTCGTTCAATCCGGTGGTTTTGGAGTCGTTGATCAACGATTTATCTACTTTGGCATCGGTTTACCATAAACCTGCCTCCACATTCATCGACCCCAGTGCTTACAAGAGAGCCGGCACGGGTACCTCCAAGGCGGCTAAGAGCGGTAACATTCGTGATCTCACCAAGTTGGCCAAACAAGAGATCATTAATAATGCCAAAAATGAGAACTTGCTCGATTTCGATGACGAAGGAACCGAGGCTTCGGATGCCGCTCCGTCATTGTTGGACGAGTTGAACGACTTATTTATAACACCTGGCGACAACCAGGGCAGCCTGACCACCCAATCGACCAATGACATATTGAACTTGTTCGGACCCCCACAGCCCAAGCCAGCTACAAACACAGAAAGGAAGGACACAAATGACTTGTTGGATCTCTTTTAGACTATGTATAATACAGCGACTATTGCGAATTCTCCCTAAAGTTGGTTAAGATCTCAGACACAATTGCCTGGCGATTGGGTTTTTCAGAAGAAGGCTCAACTACTTCAGACTGGCCTGTGTCTTGGTCCATGATTGCCTCTATTCTCTGTCGAATACTGTCGCAAGTTTTGTCGATTTCTGTTATTTCAGACCGCTTCTGTTCTATGTTTTGCCGTAGCAACATTATCAAACTCTCTCGCGACTGGTGAGGACGATATGTGTTGAGAATGTGGTTGATGTTGATGAGTATTAATTTGAGGTCTTCGATCTTTACGTGAAACTGCTGGGGCTCAATTGACATGATACCAATGAGCTCGAGAAAACAAAGTAGGAGGGAGTCGGTAAGTTTGTGTAATTCGTGGATTTTGGCTCTGCTGGTATCTTGGTCATCGACCGACTCGTACAATTTTTTCCATCCCAGGTCCTCGAGACTGGGCAATTTGTCCTCAAAGGACCACAAGCTTCCATAGCCTCGGTAATGGGTTCCCTCTGGTTGTTTTGGAGGCACAAGAAATTTCAATTCGCCTGGAGGTTCAGGTACCAGTTGTTCTTTTCCATCGTGGTCCTTTTGCCAGGCTTCGAGTTTAGCTCTGTTTTCTTCCGTGAAGAACTTGAAGTACGGTGGGGGCGGAGGATACAACGAAGATATCAAGTCCTCGTTTTCTGACATGGTGGGTCAAGATAGTTTTGGTGCGCACCGCGGTGGTTTTTATTCGCATTTGTAAGAAACGTCAAAAGTCAACTTAATATGAGTGATGAAAATGACCGCATGGACATAGATAGCCGTACGTATGGGGATTTTCGGCATCCGGGGCCAGCTACTAACCCAGATCATGAAGAAGAAGATGAAGAAAAAAAGGTGAAACAGAGATTCGAGGTCAAGAAATGGACGGCCGTTGCATTCTGGCTGTGGGGTACGTATTACTTTTAAGTGTTTTGAAACCAAAACTAACTCAGATATCGTGGTGGAAACATGTGCTATTTGCAGAAACCACTTGATGGAACCATGTATTGAATGCCAACCTAATACCCTTGTTAATGGAAATGATGATTGCATAGCAGCCTGGGGCGTATGTAACCATGCGTTTCACTTGCACTGTATCCAGAGATGGCTCAAGTCTAGGCACGTATGTCCGTTGGATAACCGGGAATGGACGTACCAGAAGTTTGGGAATTAGATAGATCTAGGTATTGAATGGAGATGTGGGAGGTATAAAGAGGTGTGTAGTAATTGAAGAAGGTTAGTAATTGAAGATGTGTGTAATCTGAACATGCGTCTGTATTTTTATTCTAGTTTGCTATTCGCTTGGTTCGTAGTAGCGTCCACAGCGCCGAAAAGAGCCCACGATCACCACATTGCAATCTTGGCGGAGACTGGAAAGACTTTGTTGCACATTTTCATCTCGTTCCGATCCGATGATCTCCACGAAAAAAACATACTGCCACTGTTTTATGTGAGAAGGCCGCAGACTGATGGCTGTAAGGTTGACACCATGCTGGCGAAACGAGTCTAACGCTCCACACAAGGTGCCAGGATCGTCATTTTTCAATGTGAACATGACCGAAGTTATATACGGAAATTTTTCATTGTCATCTTCAAGTGCCCGTTTGCTCAAAACTAGAAACCGGGTGGTGTTTTTGCTATTATCTTCAATGTTCTGGTTTAGTACCGGCAACTTGTATATCAGAGAGCAGAGCTGCGACGAGATACATGCAGAAGTATTTGTTTTATCTTCTGCCACCAACTCGGCTGCTTTGGATGTGCTGGAGGTGTCAATTCTGGAATATGTTCGAGGAAACTCTTTGAGGAATTGTCCTACTTGTCCCCATACTTGTGGATGGGAATATATTGTTTCAATGTCATTTAGTGAACCAGCGTTCGATAAGAGACAGTGATGTATGGCAACAAATTGTTCTCCCACAATTCTAAACAGCGGTTCAGAATCAAGAAACCAGTCCCGTAGCAAGTCGAGGGTATACACTACCAGACCATTAGTGGAATTTTCAAATGGTACAACTGCATACTCCACTTCATCATTATTGACTGCCTCGAAACAGCTGCTTATAGATTCTTTTGGTATGGATTCCACATCAGATTTGAATTGCTGAGCGAGCGCCTTTGTTAGTTGGAAGCGTCAAAACCAAAAAATGAACGTACCTGATGAGTATATGTGCCTGGAGGGCCCAAATAGGCTACTTTGACCATTGAAAAGTTAGATGTAAGTTCGATGTAAGGATGTGGTTAATGCTGGAAACAAGGGAAATACTGAAAGACCGACAGACGCTGAGTACTGCAGACGCTGAACGTAAGCGTAGGCTTTTCTCGATTGGCTTATAACTTTAAATTCTAACAACCAAGCTAACGATTCAAACGGTACAGTCCGCGTGAAAAATTAGTATGCAGTAGTAGAGAGAAGCTGGAGCGACCTACTAGCTTACAACTAACTGAGCCATCTCCACTTTACTCGTAAGTAAAGTTTGAGGCCAATACTGGCTCAGCGCTACATATGGATCGTTGGTGGCTCTGTATTGGTTAAGCTCTATAACGCATCCTCAAATTTCACATCGAATGGATCACTATATATCCCTAATCATTATTATTACATTTAAGCCTCCTCGTCAATGACACCACGCTCGGAAACGTAGATACCATCCAAAAACTTACGGATATCCTTGTTTCTGACACGGCAGATTTGTTGGACATCAGCAGCGTTTTGAGACACAGCTTCCAACGAGTTACCGGAAACAACCAACTCATCCTTTTGGGTGGTGGATTGTTCAACAGTAACACCATCGAAGATCTTGACGTGTCTCACTCTCTTTTCACCCAAGAAGTTTCTGATCTCAATGAATTTGTCACCATCCTTCTCAACAACATTAACGTTAATTGGGAAATGCGCATAGACATATCTCAACTTGTACTTGTAACCCTTGGTGACACCAGTGATCAAGTTGGCAATCAAAGACTTGACAGTTCTCAAAGCAGCAACGTGCTTTCTGTCACCGTTGTGGACGGTAATCTTGATGGCTCTGTTGTTGATCTTGGCAAAGGTGACATCAATGTGCTTCAAGTCCTTGGTCAAGGTACCTCTTGGACCAGTCACGGTGATGTTTCTGGCCTTGATGGCAACAGTGACGCCCTCAGGAATGTCTAACACTTGATCAGTTTGGATGTACTTCATGGTGGTGAAAAAATTTCGCAGATGCGGGTGCAAAATGGTTTTATACTAGCGTGCGGCAGGAAAATTTTTCAGTTGGGCGTGTGTGAACGAAAATTGTGACGGCCCCAGATGTGCGCAGGTGCGTAGGAGAGATACTGGACCTGAGACACCGACCTAAGACATAGGTGTACCTTGAAGATTGCAAAATGGGGATGTACTTGAAAATTTACTTAAAATGCACTGAAGGCATTTAAGTCACCCGCTCAAGTATGCATTTGACTGAATTACAAACAGAATTTAATACGGCATCTACTTCTAGTGAGTGTATTTAGTAGTCTACTCTATTCCTCGTCGTCTTGTTCGTCCAATGTCTTGAACTCCCATTGTTTCTGGTCCTTTGGGAACGTTACTCCGAGCTCCATCAACTTGGAATATGCCTTAGAAAAGTCCTTGAAAAACAAGTCCTGGTCTTCAGCGTACATCTTGACATACTTGACGAAATAAGATTCTTCTTTCAAAGCAATGTCAGTTGGCAACATCATGAACGAGTTGGTCTCGTCATCTTCATACTGCTTGGGGCCATCCCACTTTTTGACGTGCCACTTGCCTAACAAGCGCACGAAAAAGTCGTTGGTGAACATGTTGTACGAAGGACCCCATGGACCAGAGTAACCAGAATAGTAAGAATGGCATTGACCCAAAACATGGGCACCAATCAAGGCCACTGTCTCCCGCTCGTCCATGCCCAATCTCGCAAACAAGTTCTTGACGTATTCACCATCTTTTGAAGCATCTGGCAATCTTCCAGCTTCTGGCACCCGGCTTCTCTCAGGAATATCCTTACGTCCTGGTCTCCAAGGAATCTTGGGTCCCCCAGACTCCTGGACAGCAACCACACCTCCCAAAGTCCACAAATCTCCACGAGAGAGAAATGGGTACTTGTCTTTGAACTCGTACAAAAAGTCCCTTGCAACCTCCATACCGGCATTGGCGCCGTCAATTGACTCAGGACTGTAGATCATAGTACCAGCATACGACCCTCCTGTATTGTCATTCTTGTCGTAGGTACCACTGGTGTGCCAGCCAAGTCTACAGAGCAAACCATAACGACCAATGCCTCCATCGGCATCTTCTTGCTCGTGAACCTTGGCAGCAATATCATTGTAAACTTTTTGGTAGTCTTCAAAGCCAACTCCCTTGGGAACATAAGCATTGTTCACCACTCCTGAAGCTGCCATTAAAGGACTTGGTCCAGGGGTTCTTCTGCGGTATTCTTGGTAGGCATAAATTGAAGCTCCAGCACCAGCAAGCCCAGCAAGAGCGTAGCCCATACGTGAGGAAGATTGTCTGGTGGCTGCAACAATCGACATTTTTGATTTTCTAGTTGTAAAAAAGTACAAGTCAATTGACGCGCCGGATAACCGCTGGTTTTTATACCCCTCCTGTCAATGACCAGCTCATGCAGGGAAGCCCACGACATGGGTGCAAGTGGAAATGTCTGCAGGAATTCCGTGGATTTAGTAATCGCAAAGGGCGAGATCTCATTGGTCTTGGCCATGATGACATTTTAAATTGGCTACTTTAACCGGCCAAAAATGACGTTTGCTTTATTGTTGATGCCGACGATCTCGATATTTGGTATTTTTTAGCCAAAACAAGCTTCATCCACTCCATTATCTCCTTCTTTTTTATCCTTCCTTCGTCGTATTTCTACATCCATGCACCATACCCCGCAAAATCCACGGATAATATAATCGTATTATGTATTGGCACTTATTTGTGATTGGAGATTACCTCCTCTACTGCGTCTGCATCGTTCCAGACCCACGATCCTTCTTCGTTATATGTTTTGGCGTTGGAACACATGAGTTTCAATGCGTCCAAAAACGCTTCGAATGAATCAAATTCGTCATTTTGGAGTCCTTTTCGTATCTGCTTGAGCGAAATTGGCTTCTTGATGATTTTGTAATAGTCTGGATAAAGTTTGCGTGGTGGTAACTTCTCAAACACCTCGTGGACACTATGCCCATCTTCTGCCACCAACGCGGTGATTTCATCTAATACACCAGTACATTGGGGGACCAAGTCTTCGTCATTGATGGTACTAGACTTGGTTCGACTGGGCTCTTCTTCCTCAATATCTTCCATATCGTCGTCAAGTGTATCATCCCCTGCTTCTCTCTTTCTTCTTTTGCGCTCTGCCCTAGCTTCTTTCCTCGCAATGGCAGCCTCAACCAGGTCATCGTCGTCATCCATTGCCATAAGCCATTGCTCTTCCGTCAACCCATCATCGTACTTGACTCTCTTTCTCTCTCTTGTTCGGGTTAAGTCTTTAGGATTCTTCTCAAAATGATGTGAAATATCCTCGGTGAATATGCTGGGCAATTCTTTCGTGTTCATCAACCTAGTCTTGTAGCCGTCTGGTTTGCGCAGCTCCACCTTATCACGGAGAATTCGCTCGTTATCAATTTGCAAGAACAAATCCTTTTCATCTTCTGAACGAGCCAAAATTTCGTTTAGTTCTTCGTCATCAAGAGCGCTGTTGTCTTCCTTATTTTCACCATCGGATTCTGCTTCCAAAAGTCGTTTCAAAAACTCCTCCTGCTCCTCAGCAGTAGACTTGTTATCAAATTTACCTGCTTGGATAACCTTACCATCAATATCTAACTTTTGATGCGCTCTCTCGAGAATCACCTCCTCCACCGATTCGTTGGTGATCAAACGCAAGATTCTGACCTCATTCTTTTGTCCAATTCTATGAGCTCTGTCTTGAGCTTGCAAATCTTGATGGGGATTCCAATCGGTATCGAAGATGATCACGGTATCGGCACTCTGTAAATTCAAACCTAAACCACCAGCTCTGGTTGATAAGAGAAAACAGAAGTATTCAGAACCAGGCGCATTGAATAATTTAAGCATCTCTTGACGATCTTCAGCCTTCGTTGCACCATCTAATCTCAAATACTTCATGTTACGAAGACGCAAAAAGTCCTCCATGATATCCATCACGCTCGTCATCTGGAAGAAAAGCAACACACGATGACCACTAGCTTTGAACTTTGGCAAAACTCTGTCAAGTAACTCGAACTTGCCACTACTACGCCATATCAGATTGTTAGTCATTCTCGAGGGATTCAACACATCTTCCACTTCTTCGAATACGAACGGGTGGTTGCATATCTTTCTCAATTGCATGATCTTATTGTTCAAGCCTTTGATACCAGACTTGGCTGAGCCCACTTCAGCACCGACGAATAAAGCATTGTGCTTCAACATTTGCTGATAAAGGATATACTGAAGTCCCGATAAGTTACACTTGAGAACCTTTTCAACCTTATCAGGAAGATCCTTCTCCACATCCTTCTTTAATCTTCTTAACAAGAACGGACGAAGGACCTTGTGCAAACGTCTAATAACCAAAAGCAGCTCTTCTTCCGTTAATTCAATCTTCTCCAGGGTTCCGGTGTTGGCAAATGGTGTATTGAACCACTCGTCGAAAGACTTCACCGAGTTGAAAATTCTTGGCAACACGAAATTAAGAAGAGCCCATAATTCTGGCAAATTATTTTGAAGTGGAGTTCCCGTCAAAATCAACCGATTCTTTGTTTTGTAGTACGTCTTGAGGGTAACGGAAAGTTTCGATTCGGTGTTCTTCATCCTGTGACCTTCATCAATAATCATATGCGAGTAGTTGACCTTGGCTAAAAGTGGTCTCTCTCGGATAATGAACTCATAAGTGGTCAACAACACTTGGAAATTTCCCAGTCGAACTTCCCATTGAAGATTCTTACGTTGAAGTTGAGAACCCTTATATACAATCACTTTGATGCTTGGAGCCCATTTTTCAAATTCAAGGGTCCAGTTAGTAATAGTAGATAAGGGAACAATAACAAGAAACTTGTCTTCACCTTTCTTTTCTATCAAGTAGGAGATCAAGGAAATGGATTGAATGGTTTTTCCAAGACCCATTTCGTCGGCCAAAATACCATTAAGTTTATTATTGTACAAGGACACCATCCATTGTAAACCCTTTAACTGGTACTCCTTTAATTGACCACCAACTAACATCTTGGGCTGTTCTTTGATTTCTTCTTTGATAGAATGTGCTACCTGATAGTAATCTATCTTTTCTCTGACTTCATCAGGATTTTGCTCTTGAGGTTCTGGATCGCCCAGTTGCTGGGCCTTGACCGCATGGGCCAAAGAATCCAAGAACAGGTTCGTCTGCTTTAACAAGTGAGTAATACGATGATCTTTGGTTTGATCCAACAATTTCATGTACGCTTCTTCATCGTTGGACTTCAAAGCTTGCAAACGCTGTCTCGCAGTCTTCTCAAGCTTCTTGGACTCGTCTTTCTCGGTATTCAGGTGATATGTATGTACATTCCGAGCGATGTGATTTCTGTGGGTCCAGTGACGTTCCTTTCTAGCGTTGATTTCTTCAACTGCGTCCAAAATACCACGGACTTTCTCCACATGCAAAAGATGTTCACGCTTCTTTGCCTCCAATAATTGCCTGGTTTTCAATTTGGAAGCAAGAAGATGAGGTTGTGGCTGAACAATCTTTGGACGAACGCGGAGCGCTCGTTGGGCCAGAAGTGTCAACGGAACATCTTTGAGTTCCGCATGCTCTGTTTGTGCTGACAGAACGTCGGTGAGAACTATGGCTCGTCTGAGTTGTTTTTGCTTGGAGAGAACTCTAAGAGCTTTCAATTCAACAAGTGCGTTGATTTTGAGAGAGTCATCAAGTTCACTGGAACCTTCATGGAACGTACCAAGGTTGGATGGAAGGCTCTCCAATTCCCTTATACGATTGGCAAGTTTGTTGGCTACTACCTTTTCAAAGTGTAGTTTGGAACTGTCGCTGAGAGAAGACTGGTGACTATAGTCATTACCAATGGCTCCAAGAGCACGCGCCCGGCGAACAAAATCTCCCGAAAAGCATGCTGGGTCGCTAAGAGCCTCTATTAATGCTTGAGAGTCGATCGTCTCCGATTCAGCGTTTGGGTTGGTCTCAAGCGACTGTAGGTAGGCTGTTTGAAGATCGGGCGGGAGATCCAAATCGGTGGAAAGAAGCTGTAAACCGACGATTTGTTGCTTCAACACATCAATATCAGGCTTCTGGTTTCCTTGTTGCTTCTTGATATCCTGTTTAAGTTCTTCGAATAAGAGGTCTTCCTCGTGGCGAAACTTCTTGTGTTGCTCAGAAACTTGGTGTAATATGCGTTCTATGGCCAAACGATCAGCCTCATTGGGGTCCCGGACCGCCAACTTGACGTCACCTAGCATCCGGAAATTCTGGGTTTGACCCAAAAGCTTCTGTTTTTCTTTGGCCTCATGGGACGATTTCAAGAGTTGATGATACCGCAGAAGAAGGGAATTTAGTTGCTCATGCGATGCAGGAAACGCAATCGGCGGCTTTGAATATGGTTCAGAAAAGCCGTTCATCGTGTGATCATGCGTGTGTTGCAAGTTTTAACCGGATGGATTTAGCCAATGCACAGTTGTCGCAGGACCGTGTTGATTTTTCACGGAGTCGCGACTGGTCGCGCACGACCAAAAGATGGGAAGAAGAAATATGTCAGAAGGGAGTAGATTAGTGGATATGGAGGAATAAGGATAGAGGTGCCTGTAGCAGTATCCTCTTAATTGAAGAAAGTTTCGTTTCTGTCTGATTCTGGATTTTGTCCTTTCGTCAGTGTCCTGCATACAACATCACCTCATCCTCGCAACTCCCAACTTGACCATTCCTCTTATCATATCTATTCTATCGAACCATGTTCAAGGTTGGAATTAGAGCTGTGCGCTTCAACTCAACGCTGGTAGGAATGACCTGGCAGCAATATCTTGCATTGAAGAAGCAAAACAGTCGGATCAATACTGTCATGTCTGCATTCACCGCAGCTGGAGGAGCTTTGGCAACGTTGAGTTACATGGGTAACCTTGAAATTGACCCTGAAAAAACAATCTTTGGTATTGATCCGCTTATGTTTGTCGTTGGTGCGGTTTTGGCCGGAGGATTTGGAGGGTTTTTGGCGGGACCGGTGATTGGAAACCCAGTTTTCAGATTGATGAATCGTAATCAGTTGGCCCAATTTCGTACCAGAGATCACCAGTTTCTTGAGCGGATTAAGCTGAGGAGAGTAGATCCTTCGTCGCAGTCGATGTCCAACCCAGTTCCTGATTACTATGGCGAAAGAATATATTCGTTGGCAGACTACAAGCAATGGTTACGGGACTGCAATGCATTCAAGAGAAAGGCCAAGGAGTTTCTTTAGTCCGTGTACATAGATAAAAGGACTAAGTCGAAATTGGTAGCTTTTCTTATTTTGTAGATTGTAATCTGGCTTCTATTTGTGTTTCTCTTCTTTTCGATTCTTCTCACTTTCCATTGTCGCGGCTCCCCACATTTCTTCATATATTTATTACTAGTGTATTGATTTGCTCCTAATTCACACTTTTGCCGTTCGTTTTGTCCACTATGGATCTGGACACATCACTGGCGGACTTTCATAGCACGGAAACTTTGGTTTCTACCCCAAAATATTCTTATGGTGTTCTTATAAATGTCATCTTGTTGGTTCTGTGGACATGCTTTCGCGTGGTGAATTGGTTCTTGGTGACGCTACCGTCGATTTTGCTTGGAATGCTCTCCAAAACTTTCCAAATCACCTTGTCACTTTCGTCGATTCTCATGTTTGTGGTTGCAGTGACGGCTATTTGTTTCTTGGTGGTTCGGTACAAATACTTGACAAGATACTCTCGAAACTCAGCTGCCAAAGAACCAGCGAAAAAGCTGTTTGATATCGATGATCTTTCGAAAAAGAAGAAACTGCTGTCCAAGACTTCTTCCAATTACTTGGACCAGTTCTTAAGTGCAATTCAGGTTTTTGGATACTTGGAGGGCCCGGTTTTCCACGAGTTAACGAGAAATATGACTACCCAGAAAGTCCTTCCGAACGAGGTTTTGTACTTGGATGAGTCGTTGGGGTTCCTGATTGTGGTCGAGGGAACTATGCAAGTATACACCAAAGTCACCAACCTCTCGAATCTGAGTTTGAACGCTGAAGACGATGGGTTAGATTTGCGGTACGAAAATGACGACGTTCTTTGCATTGGAAACGACAAGTACCAGCTTTTAAATGAGGTTAAGAGTGGAGCACCGTTGTCTTCACTTATGAGCACTTTGGACCTTTTCACCTCCAACGAAGTACCACTTCTGCCAACTAAATTTGGCTCTTATAGTCTCACCGCTGTCACCCCTCTTGAATTGAGTCCCAATAATACTGGTGGCAACTCTCCACCTCCTTCACTTGCTCCAGAAATTGTTGCGAGGCCAAAGGGCACCACAAGCACAACTTTGGCAATTATCCCATATACAGCATTCCAAAGACTCCACAAAAAGTATCCCAAGGCAACTTCACACATAGTCACCATGGTATTAACCAGACTCTACAAGGTTTCGATGAACACTATTTATAACTACTTGGGGCTTTCTAAGGACATTTTAGATTGCGAACGAAATCTCAATGCTGAAACTAACGAAAGGCTTCCCAGTTATCTTTCCAAAGGAATCATCGAGAAATTTCACAAAACCGAAGAACTGGCTTCTGTTGAAGGCCTGCCAACGCTCCCCCGGAGATCTACCGTCAACTTGAGAGCACTTACTCGTCAAGCATCTTCATCTCGCTATGTCGTTCTTGCATCTCGCTCCAAATCTACCCATCCAGGTGATCTCTTGTCTTCCGTTCCCTTGTCGAGAAGATCAGACTACTACGAAACCCAAACCATTCCAAATGAATCGGAGGATCTGCCCACCATCCAAAGGTCCTCTCTCAGACGGCGAGCATCTCATTCCACTAGTCTTCGAAAGAGTAACAGTGTTCTTGAAGATATCCGTGTTCGTGGCTTTTCCAATGAACGTGAAGAGACCGAAGAGACATCTTTGCGTACCGCAATTGTGGAGCAAATCTTCACGCATTTGGGTATATCTGAAGACGATCCCACTGTGATGAATATCAATCCGACTTCGGCGTCTTCTTCAGCATCGTCTTCAATTGTGGGCATTTCAAAGTTGAACTATGGGTCTTTAGATTCCATTAATAGTCCTCGTGTGGACCCCATGACCAGTATTCGGTCCAGTTTAGCAAGTAATGGGAACAAAGTGTACCAAACAATCAACCAACACACAAAGGAAGCAGACGTTTTACAAGAAAAACCAAAGAAGGTGGTTTTGCCCGGCTCTAGAGGTGACGATTCTGACTTTGTGGCAGTGAAAGATGAATTCGCTCGAGCTATACAAATGAAATATATCCAGCCAGGTAAAACTATCATTGAACAGGACTCGTTCCACACAGGTATATTTTACGTCATTGATGGTTCTCTAGATGTGATACAAGAGTCAAACGGCAAGTCGAAAAAGATCTATACCGTGAAAGCTGGGGGCATCACTGGCTACTTAAACTGCCTTATTGGCATGAAATCTTTGGTGCTGGTGAAAGCATCTGAAGATTCGAGTGCCATTGTTGCACACATACCCAGTCACATGTACTCCAAGTTGATTGACAAGTTTTACTTTCTTCAACTACCCATTGCTAGACGCTTGAAGCGATTGTTATCAAAGCAATTCCTCACCATAGACTATGCCTTGGAATGGTGCCATATTTCTGCTGGGGACATCTTGAGCAAAGAGGGTGAGCCAGCAAATGGATTCCACATAGTATTGAGTGGACGATTTCGAGTGGTCAAGTTCAAAACACCTTTTAAACCGGTTGCCTCAAAGGCAGGTCATGATACTTATGACTACAACGACAACTTGATCGACGAGAGCAATAAAAAGTATACTTCGAATGATGTTGAAATTTTGGGAGAATACGGCCATGGTGAGTCTATTGGAGAAGTTGAAGTATTAACAGCATCTCTCAGAAAAAACACTTTGATTGCAGTTCGTGACTCAGAAACAGCCAGGATACCTAGAGCGCTTTTTGAATTACTTTCGCTCCAAAACCCATCAATAATGGTGAAAGTTTCAAGAATTGTCGCCAATAGACTCTCAAAAAAAGACTCGGAGGAGATCCTAGATAAACCACTTGCAATGACACTGTCTGACAGTCCATATATCTCGAGCAACTTCAAGACGATCACCATATTACCCACCGTTTCCCAGCTTCCCGTTAGAGAATTTGCAGACAAGTTAGTACAGGCATTGAAAGCGATAGGCAGAAACGTTATAGCACTTGATCAAGCTTCTACACTTACTCATCTTGGAAAGCATGCATTTGACGAACGACTTGCCGAGCTTAAACTTTCCGGCTACTTTGCCTACTTGGAGGAGAAGTATGAAACGATTGTCTACGTTTGTGATACTCCAGTCAAGTCCAATTGGACTTCTACTTGTATCTCTCAGGGTGACTGTATTCTTTTGCTTGCTGATGCTGACGATGAAGATACTGCTGAAAGTATTGGATCTTACGAGAGACTACTTATTAAGCTAAAAACCACAGCAAGAACCGATCTCTGTTTGATACATCCCGAGAAGTATGTGACTCCAGGATCTACGAGTATTTGGTTGAAGAACAGAGTATGGGTTCAAGGTCATCATCATATACAGATGGAAATAAGCCCAACGCAAACTACGCTGGTGATGAAACCAAAGATCCCAATAATCAGTGAGTTGGCCAAGAAGATCAAGGATAGAGCTAATCCAAACATAAAGTTGAAATTAGAGGAGGTCAAGGGAAAAGCATTAGCATCGTTTGTCAAGTTGAACAATAAGATCAATGCACATGGACGGATGTCTTTCAATGGAGTGTCGGTGCACAAGAACGATTTTCTTCGACTTGCTCGTATTCTCTCGAATGAGGCCGTTGGGCTTGTTTTGGGTGGAGGAGGGTCTCGTGGAATCTCTCACGTTGGCGTTGTAATTGCACTTGAAAAACATGGTATTCCCATAGATCTTGTTGGCGGAACCTCAATAGGGTCGTTTGTGGGTGGACTCTATGCTATGGACTATAACACAGTTTCGATTTATGGCCGAGCCAAAAAGTTTGCAAAGAGAGTGTCTTCGTTTTGGAGAATCCTCACAGACTTAACATACCCCGTCACTTCCTATATGACCGGTTATGAGTTCAATAGAGGTATCTGGAAGATTTTTGGCTTTACAGAAATTGAAGATTTTTGGCTCCGCTACTTTTGCAACTCCACCAATATTACCAACTCCACCATGGATATACACGAAACTGGGTACCTGTGGCGGTTTATTAGAGCTTCAATGTCGTTGGCTGGCCTACTCCCTCCGATTACATACAACGGTTCTATGCTTCTCGATGGAGGCTACTTGGACAATTTACCTGTTCTGGAAATGAAGAAAAAAGGTGCCAAGTACATCATTGCTGTTGACGTTGGGTCAGTTGACGACAGAACACCCATGAATTACGGTGATACACTTTCCGGATTTTGGGTTCTTCTCAACCGTTGGAACCCATTTTCTAAGCATCCTGATGTTCCAAATATGATGGATATTCAATTGAGATTGGCATATGTCGCAAGTGTCAATGCTCTTGAAATCTCGAAAAAGACACCAGGCGTGATGTATCTCCGGCCCCCAATTGAGAACTATGCTACTTTGGACTTTGCCAAGTACGATGAAATCTATCGCGTGGGGTATGTGTACGCAGATGAACTTTTCACTCTGTGGAAAAGCAGTGGTAAGCTACCCGATATCGCGGGAATGGGAGACAAGGTTCGGAAAGACATGTCTGGAGAGCATGTTTCGTTGAGCAGACGTAATTCTATTTAAGGCTGTTTATAGCTACTAATGCATTCACAGAGTAGATGTGCGATGAGCATCGCGAATTCGAAATCAACTGCATGTTTGTACGATATAGATGGCGAAATATCCAGCCCTCATTTTTACAAATTTCTAAGCGATATGCTTCTACGAACAAAGTCCGAAACGACCCAAGAGGTCCTTTTACTAAACTAAAGTTCGACCCGAAAGAAAATGGAAACTTTTCCAACTTTGGAGTTTTGCCATTTTTACAACAACGACTCAACCAACTTGAAAAATTGAATGACGATCACGACAATGACCGATTTCGAAAGCTAGGCGTACTTCCCAAAGACCACAGTAGGGATCTTTCACCTACTCCAGACCAACGTATAATTTTATCGGTCCTTGGTTCCGAGCACAGTCTTCTCTTTAGAGGCGATTCTTACTCTGGAAAATCCTTATCAATTGCCATACATGCCTTGAACTTTACGTTAAGTCGGGTTCCCAAGTTTGGCCAAATCAGCTCCGGCTACTCGGTGGATAGCGTGATACTAGTACCAACGGACGATCTTGTCAAAAAGTATTTGAAATATTTCAGATTCCTAACCAAAGGATTGCCCACGGATTGCTGCCCTGACCAGTTGGTTCCTGAAAAAGAGGAATACAAAGTCAGCAGAAGACCGCTCGAGATAAACTTTGTGTACACCGATATGAACTCAGACACTCTTACAACCGGGGAAGCTTCCAAGACTCCTCCTCAAATATTGGTAACCACTCCAAGTATATTTCATCGTCTTCTCAACCAAAAATCCCAGCTCGGACTTGGACCGGAATGCTATAAAGAAACCCAATTGCTCGCAGTTGATGGCTCCAACTATATATTGGAAACGACCGATATACAGCTTCCCGAAAATGTCAGCTTGACACTTGAGGGACCCAAAAGGAAATACCGAAACATACTCAAACTGATCGTCAGCACCGTCCAGAAGCTTCAAATGGATCATTATATGGATAGTCTTCGGCGACGTTTGAAGTCAGTTGAAATTAAAGCAAAAGACCAAGACCTGGACCCAATTCCACGGGGATTTGACTACACCAAGTGGACTCTCGCCAGCAACGTTTCTGCCCTTGACGTTGAAAAACTGATCAAAAAGCAGTATCCCAAAAATGACAGACCAAATCTCAACCTCTTGCGGAAAATGGTAAAGACGAAAAGAAAGTATTTGTACAAGCCGTTGCAATTCTGCTTTGTAATGGAACCCATTTACCAGAAACCATACCGAAAACTTATCCAACTTGACGGTTCAAAAGTTTCCAGGGGTCCCGCTCAAGTGCGCCAACTCCAAGACCAACTAGATGTTAAAAAAGCAAAGGACCACAATATGCGTGTCACGGATCCTCAACGATCATTCGTGGAACGTATCGTAAGATTTTCAGATCTGGAACGCACAATTCGAAAGTCTGGTAGAAATCTTGTTGTTGTCGGTAGTCAAGACTACTTTGAACCGACAAATAGCATTCAGTGCTTTCTTCACAAAAAAGGTGATAAGAAATTGAAAGAAATAGATACCACTGCCAACTGGCCTGCTAATGAATTTCATGAAGCCTGGCTCGAAGCATCGTTGTCTGAGAACGAACAAAAACGTTCGTTACAACAACTTCTCCAAAAGCTGTTGCAGAATTTGGCGTCTGATCAAATACTTCATATTATCAGAAACTCGATGAAAAATGTTCAAGATGGTGCTGTATTTGTAATTCCGCCGTTTATCGACTTGGAAGACATCAAAGCCAAACTTGTGGACTCCAACAATTCTGCTTGCACATCGCTCATGGAACCGTCAGAATTAACTGTTTTGACCCACCCAGATGCTTTGCTTGTTAATAAAGTACGAACAAAGCATTTATACATTCTTGGCTTGGAGTGCTTATACCCCCAAGCCGCTCTAAGCTCATGGTCAAAATTTAGTGTCAATCTGGTTCCAGGTATTGAAATACCTTTTACCGACATGTTGCGATTTTATCTTAAAAGATGTGAAGATTTTACCAAAGTTCTGATCGTTTTACTTGACCCAGAACACTTGGAGATGCTATCTCGAATACTATTGATGAACAAACTTCAGATTTCCAGCAAGGCTGGCTTGAAGTTGACATATAGAAAGTCGTGAAAGAAGCCTTTGTCTCGTGTATATAATTAGTAAATAGGGCATAGAAGTCGTTGATATACATAGGTCATGAGTGCATTATTCTATCTATCTTACATGTAATGCATTGAGGGCTTAGGTGTTGAAGTCTGCTCTGCCTGCAACAGTAGAGAAAAAATGATCCAAAGACCGTTGCCCATGTTCATGTTTTCGGTCAGCTAGAGATTCTTCTGGGGTAAATAGTGTGGAATAGAAGTCAATAACTTTTGGATGTGCTCTGATTTTATACTTGTCAAAGTTGAGAACTTGCAAACCTGCTCGTGATACAGCTCGAGAAAGAGCAACGTATGCCTGGCCATTCTCAAAAACCCTCTTAAGGTCCACCTTGACTTTTGGTAATGTTTGGCCTTGGGATTTATGGATCGAAAGAGACCAAGCAAGCATCAATGGAACTTGTGTACGACTTGCGAGAACCTGTTGGTGCTCATCTTCAACGGTCCAAGTTTCTGGTTCGACCAAAACTTCTCTTGTATTGACACCATCAGGAAGGAGGAACCTGACCAATGGAAGAAGTTTCTTCTTGTCTGCTTCCTCTAGCATTTTATTTATGAATTCGAGTTTTCGATCTTTACTTTCTTTGAAGCTGCTAGTCAATTCTTCACTAGAGAATAGTTCAGTGTCAGCAAATTCAGTCTCAGGAACTTCATCTAAAAATCCAAAAACAGAGTCGTTGTACTGCTGGCTACTATAGTCATTCAAAGTCTTGTCCTCATTATTCTTTTCTTCGTCCTTGAGTTGAGCGTTGAGAGATTCAATTGGAACATGGGGAGCTGCCTTCATCTTCTCGAATAGTTTATATGTACGCTTGTCCATAAACCCGACTACTTGTCCGAGAGATCCATTGACCAAGGTTTCATCAAAATTCTTTATGCACATTACCTGGGCATTTTTCTTGAGGAAAAGTTTTTGTGGGGCCAAGAAATTGTTTAGAACCGTTTGTCGAGATTGTGCCGGTAAACTACCATCATCGACTGAACTAAATAGGTGAGTTTCTCCTTTTAGCAAGTTGAGTCTGGTATTGTTGGCATTATCGACCTCATAACGAGTCGAATAAAGCTCAGCTGGTACTATACCTTCGGGGCATTCAAGCTTACGAGCAAGTTTTTTGAACTCCATCTCCGTGTCTGGTCCGATCTGTCCTGATCTCATTTCATTAAGCATGTCGATAAAACGCTGGTCACCCTTCTGTCGGAATACCTCTTGGAGGAGAATGGACTTTTTTATGGTACTTTTCCAGGCCATGCTCTCAAACGCAAACATGGACTCTTCGATTGGGCTACCATCTATTTTGTTCTTGTTTACAGGAGGCAACTGATAAAAGTCACCACATGCAATTACCTGTATGCCACCAAATGGAGCTCGGGAGCGGCGAATACGCTTTGCAAGCTCATTGAGCTTATCGAAGAATATGCCGTCTATCATCAGGATTTCGTCTATAATCAACACTTTCACCGAACCCCAGCGGGAATATGCCTTCTTGTTGGAACGGACTTTTTTCATCCAGTTATCTATCGAACCGTCTCCTAGCCCGACTCCTGCAAAACTATGTAGGGTGATACCACCGATATTGCAGGCTGCCAAGCCGGTCGATGCTGTAACGGCAATATTACCATCGTGCTTTTTACGAAGCTCTTTTATGATAGCTCTAAGAAGAACGGATTTACCAGTTCCAGCAGAACCGGTGTAGAAAAGCGACTCGCCGTTGCGAACGAGTTGAAGGACATGTTCCTGCTCAGCTGAAAGAACTATAGGAACGACAGATTTGAGTGCTTGACCATGGGTAGTGGAAGGTGTAGTAACGTCTTCGTAGCGCTTTGCGTTGCTTGTGGAACTGAAAGGTCGTTGGGTTTGGAGTTGGATGGTTGGGTAATGTGGAGCTTTTTTGGTCTTTAATGAGGGCTGATGAAGAAGGTCATTTTTCTCTTTTTTTCGCAACAGACTATTGAATGGTGACTCTGTCGTTATGGTTGGTTTGGATGATATTGGTGAGTCGGCAACTGGTTGTAAATGGGGTCTTTTTTTGGGAGGCGAGCCTAATGCCAGCGGGCTCAGTTGGGAACGAATTAATGCCAAAGGAGAACGGTTGGGACTCGATGAGACAGCATCGGATTTTTGTGAGCTTTTCCCACCACACGTAGACAAATCATCAGTAAATGATGAAAAACTGATAGCTTTAACGGCATCGAAGTCAACCGATAGTGTCATGGGAATTTTGTGGCTCACAATATTTCTTGCCCTATACATAGGCAAAAATTATGCACCTGGGTTGACAAGGTTTCCGGGACGTAATCTGTTTAAGCCAGGAGCTTGCTAAACGATATGGGAGGGAGCTTAATTAAACGTTATCTGAAAGAATTTATCTACGCGCGTCCTTAAACTATTCGAGTGCACACAGAACAAATGTGAAACTGCAAATTGTGCGAATCGAGAGCAAACGGCTATAGTGTTCCTTCGTAATGTCTGACGATGCCACGGTGTATTTCGAGCTTGCGGGCATGCTAGCCGAGTCCAGACAGTACACAAACTCAGATTTGGTTTCTATACTTGGTGCAATAGTTCAATTAGTCCAAAAATGGCCGGGAGAGCATTCCAACACCGTCACTATTCTACAATTATTGGCACTTCGAACCTCGTTAGTTGTGTTCCCTGTGCTGTGTTTGGTGGAAATATTGACCAGTTTGCCATTACCGTCGTCAAAAGTGTCAAATAGTGATTTTTTGGTTGAAAGCAACGACTGGGGAGAAGTGGCCCAGCTGCTAAGTCTGCGATTGAAGCCTGATTCGAACAACCTCTACAATCGTTCAAGCCCTATAGTACGAGAGGAAACGGTTAATGAGCTTCAGAAAGAAATTTCACAAAAGTGTCGTGATTTGGGGTGGATTACACATAACACTGATGATGTACAGCAACTTCTCTTTCTGTTCTGCAAGGTTTATACCTGTCGCTACTCAGAGATATCCCGGGATTTGCGAGCTTGTCAACCATTGTTTGACCTTGTTTCAGATTATGATCCATTCAAACGCTGGCTCGAGGGGATCGTGGAACCCCATCTGTACTACAGTGAAGTTTGTGAGAACATAGTTGACGATTGTGTCAATTTGCGTCGTTTCGACTCTCTAACTTCGGTTCAGGAACAACTTTCCGTATTGTATGAGCCGTTGGGCGTCGAACTGTCTTCGAACATTCCCATTGACCGTTGGATAATTCGAGTCTTGCTCCCGTTAACCAAGTTTCACAATTGTGGATTGGATCCCATTTTGAATTGGATGGTCAACACTTCTGCCGATATGAAGTTGGCTGAGATCTTTACGTTTTGGAACAAGTGTATCTCAGCCATTTTGCTGGTCGGTTCGTCTTCACCTGCCGATTCAGATGCATTACTCAAACGTTTCCTTGCTATTGCATATTACTATTCCTTGACCTTGGATTCCAAATCCACCTCAATGGCCATTCTATCATCCTACTATCTGATCCGAAGTACTTTGCAGTTTTTCTTAGATCCAGCTGAAGTAGCTGTGCCTCACGCAGATATGAACAACTCCTTGAAAGATATCAAGTTGGACTCATTCGACCAATTTTTGAGGGAAAATCCATTGGTAATTCAGCCAAACGCGGAAAGTGTGCACCATCTTTTGAGCATTATCGAAACATGTTCCTCATTATATCCTATAAACAAGCTCACCATCTCCGGCTATTTCCAATTAATGACAAGCGAGGTGAGCAGCGAAAAGGAAGTCACAAAAATACTTTCTGGTGTGAATGCCGGCAATTGCACGCAGCTCTTGTCGTCAGTAGACTCGTTTGTGTCGACATTTATGGGTTCTGAGCAACTGAAAGATGTCAACAAAGCTGTTCTCGAGCGTCTTTTGGTAGCCAATTTGTTTGAGGAATCCAAATTATTTGCATCGTCAAAGAATATTTCTCACAACGTGATTTCGGAGCTTGTAATGGCCAAATTTTGGGACAGTTTCAATAGTGCTTCCAGCATGAACGAGAACATGGATGGACTTAAGCATGCTCACGAATGCATAAAGATTATGGATGGCATCGAAGGAGACCATAGCGACATTGTAGGTGTCAAGCACTTACTCAAAGCAATTTCAAACTTGAAAAACTTTAAGATTCTGGTCAATGGACAGAAAATTGTACCAGCACAAGTCATTAGCAAATTCGGAGCCTCGAGTTCTCAGCTTGGTTCGGGTACACCTATGACATTAATAACACTAATTTTGGAGCAGAACCCCAAATCTTATTTGGCATTTGGCAAGCTTCACAAAATCCTCAATGATTTGGGGATCTTTTTTGGACACAATCTCGATCACAGTTTCAGCAAACTCAATTCTGTCTGTATTGAATCGGCCCTCATTGACAACAACTTTTCCTACGCTTACAAACGATCCAAGGAGTTATTTTCCCATTACAAAGACAACTCACAAGCTACAGAAGATATTGGAGAGTACTGGCTCACATTCTACCAGGTTGGCAAGTATGCGCTGCCGGATTGGATCAATGATTTGGACGGTATAAGTGACTCTCAGTTACAAGTACTTATCAAGCAAAGAGAAATATTGTCGACTGCACTCATCTATTGTCGAAGCAACAATAACAGTGTTGGTAATAGCAAGCTTTTGTTGCGTCAATGGGAAATAGTCAACGATCAGATTGACATGTATTATCAGAACCTTCTGACACCACTGTCAGTTCAGCAGGAGACAACGGTGGTGAACAATTTACTTAGCGAGGCAGCAAACACCACCCACCAAACGAGTGAAAAGATCTCCAAGCTCTTTGCATCTGGTTTGGGCTGGGCATTGGGTGCTAATCCCTCATAATGATATAACGACTTTAGTATGGAAAGTGCAGATTTTGTCTTGATCCTGCACCAAATTTATCAATCTCATTATACATAGTTGATGTCTCTAACCACCAATCGCCAGCAAGAGCTCATAGAGGAGTCCATATCAAGTGCTCTTCGGTACAATGACAAGGTTTCCCAGCAGTATCTTCGATTGAGGCACGATATACTTGAATTAAGCAGAAATAGTCGAAACGAAGAATCGCCCAAAAATGATCTTTGCCGAGTTAAAGTTGAACAATATCGGTTTGAACTTGAAAAAGTGTACGAATTGTACCGTATTCATGTCAAAAGCATGCAGAGAATCATATTTATTCACAATAATACCCGAAGTCTGAATCTTGAGCTGCTTCCTGGACAACTTGAGATCATGACGGAACAACAAAACGAACTAAAAGAACAACTTCGAAGACTCCAGGATGTCCAGCGGCCCATGTTGGAGAAGATGAAAGCACTTTCGAAGAGTTTTGATGCGAGATTACGGCCAAGAGGAGCCAAAATGTTGACACAAAAGATAAGGAAAGATGACGATGGAACGAGCGATCCAACGAGTATCGACCTAGATTCCAGCAATTTTGTCTTTGAAGAGGCTGAAATACAGAATATTTTCAAGGAGAAGCTCTTTAATGCTGAGATTGACTGGCAACATAGTGTGGAGGAGCACCTAAAAGGACGGCTGTGTCGCAAGCTAGAACACAAATATGTGTATGATGTTAGTCGAGGAACCGGTTACGCAGCACCAGCTTCTACCACTGTCGAGGAATACGACAGGATTATCAGTGGCTTGGTCGAAGAAATCGGGTCACTTTTGGAACATGGACAAGCTGCCAAAGAGAGGTGGCTTGCCAATGCCGCAGCCGTTGACCAGTTGAGGAAAATAAGAGAAAATGAGGATAGATGAAAAGAAAAGACAAAAAGAAAGGACGGAAATGAGGAAAAAGATACTGAAGTGAACTGATCATAGAACTTTAATCACAGAAAAATCTGCATAGACCGTTAATCATAGACAGTATTCATAGATGACTGTAATCTCAATCTGTACAACTCTAGTTTAATCTCCAACCTGTCGGTCTACATCGTTTCGTCATCGTTCATTCATATAGAACTTATCAAGATCACCGAGTCTCCACGAACAAAAACCATCTCGCTTTTTTTCTCTATAGGCTTGGATTCATCATTTGGGTTATCGTATATGAACTCAACAGCATCACTCAATACCATGTTGCAATGGGAATCGTAGCCCTGTAATTTGCCCTTCATCTCTCGCAGGCCCCGCAACTTCACTAGTATCGTTTCATCAAGCTGGTACCGTATGGAATCCAATGGCTGGTCACTCATGGTTTGGCGGTGAGTGTAGGTTGAGATTTCAAAACTTGTGCGCACTGAAAAAAAAAACTTCAACTTTATGAAGACCGTAGCCAGAGCCCTCTCCGGCAGCGCGCGAGCTATGGCCCGCAAGCCCATGCGGTTCACAGATCTTCGTACGGTGCAGCTAAGACCCCCCATAGTACCCACACATAGAAATTTCGAGGTTTCTCCCGACCATCCTTTGTGGGCATTTTTCCCCGACGGAAACAACTCTCAAACCTGTTATAGAGAAGCCTCAGACCTCGATATCCAGTCCAGGGCTTGGACCACTGCCGAGTTACGGCGCAAACTGTTTGAGGATCTCCATCAATTGTGGTATTTGGTGTTGAAAGAGAGAAATGTGTTGGCTCGTGAAGTGAGATTGGCCGATGCCATCAACGAAAGAAACACCCACGTCCACGACCAGGTGGACGAAAAGCTCTTGTTGACACAGAAGCGTATAAAACAAGTGTTGTTGGAGCGCCAAACTGCTTTCGAAAGAGTTCAAACTTTTACACAGCAGCAACAAGAGTACTTGGAAGAATTTCGCCAACGGTACTTGGATGCTGATGCCAGCCAAATTGCCAGCTACAACGAGAAATTGATACGCCTCCAGTACGCCTTTTTCGGTATACAACCACAATTGGAAGATTACAATTGGGAAACCGATATTAACGAAAGATTCGTAGACGGCTTGAATTATGTGTCCCACATCAAATTGGCTCGTTATTTTGCACAAAACCCCGACGTGGAGGAAGAGATCGGGTACCCCTTGAAGGGTGTCGTGGAAGAGCTTCCTTTCTTACTTAGAGATCCACTGGAAGCTGTGGAAGAGGTGAGAGCATTGAGACAAAGTGGAGCCCAAGTCAAATTGGACAAAATCGATGTCCTTCCTTTCTTGCGTCTGGCCTTGCAAGCGGCGTTGGAGCAGGAGGGCAGAATGTAAATAGATACGAATAGTACAGAATGTACAGAATTGTACAGAATCATCTTAGACAGTTACTGAAATAGGCTTGAGAATTTCACTGTGGGTGTTGGGTGTAAGTGCTCACTTACCAGTGATTTCGCTCACACCAATCAACATGGGCGGCAGAATCCATGGATTCTTAGGTGGTGTTCTACTCACTTCCGTGGCCACATACTACACTGGTGAGTTTGTGCGATCAAACAAATTGTTTGTATCTTCCCAACTCCAATCTTCAAGAGATATTATTGAACATCAAATTATTTCCCACAAGCATGGCCATGACAAAATTATGCCCGTCAATAAGCTGTTTGAAGAAACACGCAGAGTGAGCATCTTGGAAACTTCCAAGGATCTCTGGAACGAAGAGCTCATAAAGGCGGTGAATTGGGTTTATAGCATAGATTGGTACAAATTTGGTGTCCAGACAGACCAAGCAATTATGGACTTGACGGACAAGGTAGCGTCGATAGTGGAGAAGAAGTGAAATATACTCCAACCTTTCCATGAAAATATATTACTGACTCCACAAATTTTTGCAATTCATGGTCTATTCATAGTACATGTCTTCTGTTCTTCATAGCTATACATGTCTATTTGTTCTCACTTTGTCTTTTTGGCCTTCTTCTCTCTTCTTAAAGTACTTCTCCACGTCTCGGTAGATCACCCAGTTCACTATAGGAGCAATAAGCAGAAACAAGAAACTGACAATAATTTGAAAAAATCCCCATTGTCTAGGAAGCATTCCAAGTACAGAACAGCTGAGTAACCATCCTATACTATCGGTGGTTATGGTATCGTAGCCTTTACTCAACTTGTCAATGACTATGTCCGCACACTTTTCTGTTGAGATTGGCTTACTTGGACCCTCAATATCCTTGGTTATTTGAGGTTTTGTTTTTTGTTCTTCTTCAAAACCTTCACTTGCAAAGTTCCCAGGGAACACACAGGAGATTCTATAGCCATAAGGGCCCATTTCCTGCCTCAAAGAGATCGAAAGCGACTCTAGAGCACTCTTGAGTGGGGCATATTGAGAGTAGCCTGCAAACGTGAAAAAGCTCACGACGCTACTGAAAAATATAACATGTCTCTTTTTTGCAATTGTACCTTTAGAAAGAACATGACGAAACCCAGAATGCGTGACATTGAGAGCTGTCATATAGTTGACATTCACTCCTTGAGCCAAATCTGCGCCTGTAAGATCTTCAAAAAGCTTGCAAATGGTGCTTCCAGCACAGCAGAAAATAAAGTCTGGATCCAAGCCTGCCTCGTCAATCTCTTGCCACAATTGTAAGCATTGGTCATACTTGGATACATCTGCAGCGATATACAATGCCTTTGGATCTCCTGTCTCAATTTTTTCCTTTTCAATTTCATCAACCACTAACTTCAACTTTGCTTGTGTACGTGCGACCAATATAACCGTGCAACCTTTTGAGTACAATTGACGAGCTAATTCGGCACCTAGGCCCTGGGAAGCACCCACTATAAGAGCACACTTTCCTTGGGGCTGGAAATGTGATTTTGAAAAGTACATTGTGAGATAAGAGTGACAAAATGTTGTGAACTTGTGCGACACGAAATTACATTGAGATACGGACAGTTGCATTAAGTGACAATTACACCAATTGAGTATTCAAGTGTTTTCCCACTAAACTTCATTCACGCAGTTTACTCTTCACTAGTTCATTTAATTTACTCACTACTTACTCACTCATTTTACTTACTACTCTCTTCTAACTCTTATCACTCTCTTCTCCACTATATACATGCTAATTTCTCAAAAATGGCGACTGGGGAACCTCTACCTCTTCCTTTGAAGGACGCTGGACGGTTGGGTACTTTTTGGAAACAAGAAGTTTTCCTGCTAAGCTTCCTCCGTGGAATTCCAAGTTTGTAGGCTTATTTTCCAAATTACGTTTGATCTCTTCATCTACCACATTTCCCTCGTCGTCCACCTTGAAAAACTGTTTTTTGGCAGTTTCCACTGCGTCTCGGAACTCCTGGTCTCCGTCCTGTCGATATTGTGTGAGTTTACGTACATTGTGTGCCGTCAAGTCGTCCAATGGTAAGCCCTGGAGTTCCAAACGAGCAACCACTTTGGCCATATACCAATATTTGATTTGATAGTCGCTGTCTACGAGCTCCAACACCGACATAGGTGCCTTGTCTTCACCCAAACGAGGCTCGAGTTTGATGATTCTGGTGAACCCATGGGTTCTTTTGGGGTATCTTTTGGCAAGGTCTTCAAGCACCCGGGTGCCTATTTCGGTTCTTAATGGAGGATGCAAGTAGTTAAGGGCCTGGTTCCGCTGTATACGTTCTTGAAGATCGGTTCCCTCCATTTTGCGGTTGGCTTTAAGAGCGTTGGCCAAAAAGCGCTCGACGTGTGGTTGGGCTCTTTTGGCCTTTGTACGTCCTGTGACAATGTAGTCGTGGCGCATTATCTCGGCACACAAGTTTTTGTTCATCAGCTTGACGTGGCGGGCCACATTGGCGTGGAACTTCTGCAACGACGGCATTGTTGAAGAAAAATCGCAGAAAGTTTGAAGAAATTGTTAGAATATGCAGGACCTCTACCATGGAAACCAATCATGGGACCAACCATGGGCACGAAATTCGGGTTTTGTTGGCGTTTTACGCTACTTTTCGCAAGAGAAACGTCTATACAATACACAACTACATATAAACTTTATTTTTTGCCGCTCTTCTTGATTCCACCACCAACTAATGGTCCACCTTTTTTGGCTTGTTCAGCCATCTTTTTGCGTGCTTGAGCATCAGCCTTTTGTTTTTCCTTGAATGCTAATTCCTCATCGGTGAGGTCGGTTTGCTGTTTCTTGGCCGACTTTAACGGCTTGGCTTTACCTCCTTGACGTGACATTGGGTTTGGTGATGGATTTGCGAAATTCAGTGTTCACCACCATGTTGGTGTTGGGGTGTGCTAACTGCGAAAGTCGACTTCAGTTGATCTCAACCCTTTTGTTGTATTTCGTCAATTCGGCACCATGGGGCTCTTAACTGCCGCCGATAAAGAGAAAATCAAGCGGGTTATCCCAAAGGCAAACAACAAAATCATCGATGCCACCGTGGCACGACTCTACATTGCCCATCCTTCCCCCACCGAATGGACCTACACCGGCTTGGTGGGTGCCATTGTACTTGTGGATGACTTGGTGGGACACACTTACTTTCTCAAAATGGTGGATATCCTCGGACACCGCGGAGTGGTTTGGGACCAAGAATTGTGGGTGAATTTTGCCTATCATCAGGATCGAAAGTTCTTCCATACGTTCGAAATCGAAGACTGTCTAGTGGGATTGCTCTTTGAAGATACCAGCGAAGCCAGTCATTTTTACAAGCGTGTGACGTCACGCAACAAGCATGGGCTGAAGCACACCGTCAACAACAAAAGTGCAATTGCGTTGCGTGATCGGGTTCATTCAGATGGCCGTCGTCAACAGCCTGGACCTAGAGGTGAATTTATGGATGTTAATACTGCTCAAAGGTCTCGGCGTGCTAAAGGCATACTCTACTACGATGATGCTCCTCCTCCAGAGTGGAGGTCGTTGTACCACGAGCTCGAAGCGGCAGGGATTACCGAAGACATGATCTACGATAACCGTGAGTTTATTAAAAATTACATTGCAGAGCTGGGAGGGCCCTTGGTGGGCCTCGAGCCACCAGTCCCGCGCAGATTCCAGCGCAAACACGAAGCTGGAACAACAGCGGCTGCGCCGGCTGCTCCTGTCGAAGCTCCTAGGAAGCACAAAAAGGCTCCTCCACCTCCTCCTCCGCCAGCTGCAAACACATCTTCAGACTCTGCGTCTGCTTTTGGCTCAAAAATACCTTCCCCCGCTTCGTCACCTTCTCCTTCTCCTTCTCCTTCCCCCGCAGTTTCAACTCCAACAGAAACTCCTGAACCTCAACCTACACCTCAGTCTCGCTTCCGGTTACCACCAAAAGATGCAATAGTTCCTCCTGTCAGAAACTCGCTGTTGCCCCCACCTCCATCAGTGACTCCCCAAGGAACAGGTCCACCTTCATTCCAGTCAAATAATCGCCCACTTCCAGGCTTGCCAAGCCAAAATGCTGCCCCCACTTACCAAAACGGCGTAAACACACATATGCTCCGCCATCTCCTTGTCAACCGCGGCGAACGTTCCTCCACCGCCGCCGTTGCGTTCCCAGGCCACTCCTCCTGCTCCTCCTCCTTCTCGCGGAAACGTGCCTCCGCCTCCTCCAAGAGCTCCAGGTTATCGGGCCCCACAACTGACTGGAGGTCCTCCTCCACCTCCTCCTCCAAGAACAAACAGATCCGGTCCCCCACCTCCGCCCCCACGAGCACGAGGAGCAACACCACAGCATACGGGTACTGGCCCCAGTTCACCACAAACCTACCAGCTAAATCAACACCAAACCTATCAACCCACTTCTGTTCCCCCACCACCAGCGAACAACTATCCTCCACCTCCAGCTCATCTGCCAGCCTCACAACCTCCCCCTCCACCACGAGCACCACAAGCTCCTCAAGCTCCTCCAGTTCAATCTGCCATTCCACCTCCACCTCCAGTTCAGTCTGGCGTTCCTCCTCCACCTCCATTACCTCCTGCAGAACAGCTGTCTGGTGGCCCTCCTCCTCCACCTCCTCCACCAGATTTGTCTTCTTCTGAGCCAGCAGCTCCATTGCCAGTCGTGGATGCATCTCGCGGCGCTCTCTTAGCCTCGATTCAAGGCGCTGGTGGAATTGGAGCTCTCAAGAAGACCGATAAGTCTCAGCTTGAAAAGCCCAGTGCGTTGCTCCAAGGGAAGTACAAGGAGGCTCTAGTAGCGGTGGGTTCGGCACCTGCCGCCGCACCTGGTCAGCCCGCCAGTTTAGCTGATGCATTGGCTTCAGCACTTAACCAAAGAAAGGGCAAGGTTGCCGGAAGTGACGACGAAGACGATGACGATTGGTAATAGCATATACCGTTCTCTAGCTCATACATTTCATACAATTCATACATTTCATACAATTCATACATTTTATGACTCTCGTAGTCTCACAATATTCATCCATGCACAAATTTAACATACATTTTCCATTTCTTTCATAGTCTACCACAGCTCACTTCGCTAGGCTCGCACTGAATTTCGCACCCAATCCAAATTGATCGCATCTCATCGAAGAACCACCTCGTACTATGGTGCCCACCTCAAACGATCTCCTAAAGCTTCTCAAATCTTTCAGCGAGGCCCTGAAGTACTGGAGGACTAGTCTAGCCACATCTGAGGTCACACTGGCCCAAACTGCTCGTCTAGAAAAACCACTCGAAGAACTCGAAAAATTGGCTAAATTGATTAAAGCCCATGTAACGAAAGTTGGCATTGTGTTCAAGCCCGAGAACTTGCGGCTGGTAGATGCTGCCTACAAGACTGTGGAGCAATTGTCGGAAACGGTGGTGTTGACAGTAACTGTTGTTGCCCAGTTGAGTCCCGTCGAAATTAGCGACATCTATCATTCAGAAATTCTTGGCTTGGTGAAGTCTCTTCTCTCCACCACAGACACGTTTGCTGAGGAGCTCTCGTTGCTAGTAGAAGAGCAAGAAAGTACGAGTACGGAAACCTCAGATTCAAAAATTGACCAAAGACTTGTTTCAGTGGGTCGTCTTTGGGAACACTGCGATGAGCTCATTGATTTAATCAAAACAGGCAAATTAGGTCTTCTCAACCGTCGTATAAAACAGAGCATTCTCTTAATAGATGACGGACTCGACGAGTTTGCGGAATGGGCACAGGATCCCGA